TAAGGTAATTTTATGTGAACAAGTAGCTCATAATAATTTCACAGAGGAAGTCCAAGTATACAATATATCAATCCTATGTTCACGTAAAATAAGGTAGAGTAACGTTAAAACATTAAGCCTATTTTCAGACATTCAATTAATAATTTACATTGTTTCTTGCACAGGGTGGTGGAATTTCACAGCTGTCAGAAGAGCAGATTAAAGAACTCACGGAACAAACACCGTGTATGGAAGATGTCTACTTTCAAAGAGATAATGATTATTAGATATTCAACAATACATTTGTTTTTGAGATGGTTGATGACAATAATTGCTATGATGTTAAATATGTTTTAAAGATGACAATACTTTGGAAAAAAATTACTTTAAGCATTGTCTCTCCAACCTCACTTTGTCTCAGTCATTGTTTTTGTGTATGACTTACTGGTTTTCAGTAACTTATTATCAGTTATTTAATGCACAGACACACACACACACGCGTACTGTTGAGCTCAATTTTTACAAATAATTTTAATTTCAGTTAATGCTAAAGAGTTGGCCAAGTTGTTAAAGCGATATTCACACTATGATAACTCTGAAAAAGGTGACTTAGGTGTATCACTGGAAGAGCTCCTGAAGATACCTGAACTCATTGGATATTCACTGATTCCAGCAGTTGCACAGCTGTTTGTATTAGACTCCGGTCGAATCTATCCAGAGCAGTTCATATACATGTTTTCTGTATTGAACTCGAGGACTACAGTGGAGAAGAAAAGAGATTGTAAGGATTTATATTGAAATGATAAATATTTATGATGTAAAACAAGTCATCACATACGTTTTGCCATTCTCTTGCTAAATTTTTGTCAATTTTGTTGATTAATTTGTAGTGTAAACTATGAGTTATACCATTAAATTTTTTATCTTGAATTGTGATTTTCTTAAACTTATATTTTAAATTACACCTTAGCTACAAATGTTTAACAAATTTAATTGTTTTTCTGCCCCTAGTGGCCTTTAAGCTGGCAGATACCAACAAACAGGGTGTGCTAAATAAGTCGGATGTGATTGGATTCTTGGGTCTGCTTTATGCAGGTGCTCTTTCTGCCAAAGAAGTTGAATACTTGGCAGAGAAGATCTTACAGAGAGAGGATCTGGATGAACAAGGGCAGCTTTCTCGTACTGACTTTGATAAGGTAGGTTTTCGTGAAACTCAAGTGTAGTTGTAGGTGATACTTTCGTTTTTCATGTCATGAATCATATTTTACTTTTTTGACTGCAATGGAGTAAATTGGTGGCCTGTGCTCCAAGAAGGGCAATAGGCATATGTGTGTAAGTAGTAAGTTAGGAAACTATCTATGTAAAATTTATGATTAACATGCTTTAGCACTAAATAATTAAATACAATTCAAAGGGATTTTTTTCTCATTTTGTAGTTTGTGTCAGATGCAGAACTGAAAGAGCAGTTAACAGTTGACTTACAGCTTCAGTAATGCTGCGTGCAACTTAACCAACATCAATGTCAAAAGAACACTGTATGTGGTTAATAATATGATGCAGTGTAAGAAGAGATTTTCCAGACCACAGTAGTTTGCAGCCACACTTAAAGAACTGTGAATTATTACGTGTTCATGCCTTACTAAAAGACAATGACATATATTGCTAAAGAAAGGGGTATTTAGATATTTTTTTATTAAAAGTCATACAACATAAGATGTCTCACACAGCTTCAATCCGTGAGCGAACTAAAGCCCAGAATTCCCTCGTTTGCCTCCTTCAAGCACTGGAAGGGATGGAGACAACAGTAGAACTGAGGGATGAGAGTAGCGTTAAAGGCAAAATAACTGATGTGGATGGGTTCATGGCTATCTGTATGTCTGATGTTGTATTTACAGACAGACATGGAAAAGTAAGCAAACTGAGTAATTTCTCTGTTCAGGGGAGAAATATCAGATTTGTGCAAGTGCCTGATGAAGTCAATATGATAGAGGCAATTCAGAAGCAACTTGCCTCTATGAAAGGTGCAAGAACTATGGGAATGCAGTGGAAAAAGAAAAAGGAAACAGTCTCTTGGGATGACTTGAAAGCTGCCAGAGCTAAGAAAGTGACAATTGAAAATCGGGCAAAGTGGTCAGTGGAGACCCAGGAGACCACACATGCTAGCATGTCAGAGCTACAAGTAGTCACCCAGACTGGTAGTGTTGAGGTAGAACAGGTTAAAGACTGTACGACAAATTTACCAATAACTCAGGTTGGTCAGTCCATAAATAAATCTGACATTGGGAATTTCACTGGTTCAACAGAATTACCAAGTACCTCTGTCACTAAGTGGTTTAGTGAAACCAGTGGAGAAGATACATCCAATGTGGCTATTGTTAAAGAAAATTATACAAATGATGTTTCACAAGACTTTGCAAACTTACAGGTTGATCCTGGAACAGGTGAATTGAACAAATCATAAGCAAAACTCTACATCAAGTGTGCAAAGACATGTATAACGTGTATGGCTCACTAAGACCCAATTGACATTCTTCACCCAAGTCTCAATGTGAGACAAAGTATTTGTTTTGAATGGTGGGTAAATCTTTAAATGGCAAAGGCACATGAAATGAGAAAAATGGCATTGTTGTTGACATTATATCTGCTAATATCTTACCCATGTGATACTTCATTGACTCTCACTGTTGGAAAGGTATGCTGTACTAGTGTTGTAAATGCAATTGCTTCCTTATTTCTGTGTATTTGAGATGGTTTGCTGATTATCAAGATAGTTTGAGCACTTGAAAGTGGCATTTTTGAGTATAATTTTCTGCCAGAAGTGTTCTGTATGCCACTTCAGTTAGACAGGTTTAAGTATTGTAAAACTCTTATTCTATAATTTCAGAGTTACATAGTTTATTACTTTCATACTTACAATTATAAATGCCATTAAAATTTCTGAAAGACTAGAATAACCAGAGACTTCATGTTTTCAGTTTTTTTTTTCTTTCTCATATTTCTTTACATTAAGTTCAAATTTGTATGGCTTTTACAATAAGACATTTGTTTGAATCTGCACTGCAAACACCCTTGTGTAGTTTTCAGAAAAAGCAAAGTCTTTTTGGTTGCTGGTCATGATTACTTTATCAATAAGGTTTTCAATTTGGGCCATGCACCTTGCAGATCTGGCTGAGTGTGATGGCTGTTGCAGTAACTCATCTGGTAAGCTAGAGCTCATCTGAAAATGGCATTGTTTAATTTAACAAGGCCAATTCAGGCTGGGGAATATTTACTTTATCTCACAGCCACACAATGGTGCTTGCAATGGGGCACATTTTAACTACGGTACCTGTAATCCACCTGTAAGATATGAACAAGGTCTAAAACTTGTCCAGAACAAAGCACATGCATCTGAAACTGACTACAGCTCTTTGAAAAGGTCCAGAAAAGGTCAATCAGATGTATGTACACTAAAAAAAATATATATATATATACCATCTTTGTTTGCAATCATGGTTTATGCATGTTATAAAAAATTTGATTGCAAGTTTATGTATATGTCATCATTGATATACTGACCATATTTTTTATATGACGTAACCCTGTCATTTATACTGGCAGTGTTATTGCTTGTATATGATAAACAAGTAAATGCAATTTCTATGAAAACAATGCTCCATTTTTCTTAATTATTACACCTATACAGAAAAACCTGAAAGCATTGATAATATGCTCTTTCCCATTCACCAATTTCAAAGAATGTGTATAATTAAAAATATATTTAAAAAATTAAAATAAGCACCATTTAACAGTTCCCACACCTGTGAAAAATGCCCTTTAGATATATTCTATTACTGTATCAACAACAAGATATTATTTCATCTTAATGTAACCAGTGTATCTGCAGTATAATTATTTAACTACAAACATTAATGGCATCTTCTGTTTTATAGTGAAAGGTTCTCTGAAATTGAGTTTTTGACCACATTACCTTTTTTCCAGGAGGAAAACAGCGTAATGCATTTTACTTATTTTTCCTGTGTAAACAAGACGATTTCTTGATTTTTAAAAAAGTTTCACTTAACCAAATGGCTTAATGATTTCAGTTTAATGAAATCTATTAAAAGGGCACTCCATGGGATTTTCCTGCCAAAATTAACATCTAGAGATTCTCTCCACACATTTGAAAATCCCCCACAGTCATATTCATGTCTTGTAGAGCTTACAATTTCCCAATTCATACTCTAAAGACAATAAAACCCTTTAGATAAAGTTTAGCTGAAGTGACCTTGTGTTGTTATTACCCTTTTATCTTCTTTGCTGAAGCCATTGCCAGCTGGCAATGTCTGTATTACACGTGACACAGGGCTGCGCCACAAAACACCCCAACATTTTCTAGGGCAAAAACCAGGCAATGTGCGTGATGGCAGATGTCATGATGTTGACTGGCCAGTCATTTTAAACTAATTTATCAAATTGTATATGGAATAAAACATCGAATCCAAGTCCAGGTACCGTCACTGTACGGGTCAAGCTATTATTCAGGAGAAGGAGAAAACTGCCCTTTACCCCAGGAAAATTCATTTCAGTGAAAAAATTCCATGGAATTGACCTTCCAGCAAATAAATAAAATTAAGCACTTATGTAAATATGTTACAATTGTTTCAGCTAAAAAAAAAAAAAAAAAAGTGTGACCTTGTATGGTTCTAAATGTAAACATTTTCTTTAGAATGTATCTGGCATTTGTGTACAGAAATTTTCCAAAAAAATTATATCAAAAATTATCAGCATCTTAATGACTTTACTTTAATTATTAAGTCTCACTACATCAAGAAGCAATAAATATCAAAGTTCTGTTGCTTCAATGCATAATTCTGGATTTTCTATATCCCTTTTACTCTGAATAAGTCTTAATTCTAATTGACCTGGGCTTGGATGATTGCCTGGTCCTGCCAGTTCTGAAAAGAATTTTGATAGTGAAATAATATTTAAAAACAATTTGAAAAAGACAAACTTATAAAAATAAATTTACATTTACAAAACTTGTGTAAAAGCCAAATTATGTTACCTTGTGCTACCTTCAGAGTCCGTTTTAATATAACTTGTATGGTTGATATGGTTTTCTCACATGCAAGCTGAAATGGACAATGTACCATTAGCTCACTTTGAAAAATAGTTTGTTAATTTAAAATTGGTATCAAAATCTTTACAATTCACTTCTGTATTTTAACTGGTTTAGTTTTACCTACCTTTAAATTGCCAGCATGTTTGTCCATCCAAGCCAGTAATAATGCAGCAAACAGATCACCAGTCCCAGTGAAATTTGCAGGAAGCTTGGGTATTTCCAAACGAATTCCTGTTTTGGACCCATCTAGTGAAAAAATACAATAATGGTCAATAAAAATGCCATTTTTGAAATTTTTGCTGCTAAATTTCCCTTAAGCAAGTACATTTATAAACATATATGATTGTGTAAAACATAGCAGTGACATTCATACCATCCAATCTTCTTTTGGGCAAACTGTTTATTTCAGCAAAAATTTGATATTCTTATAATTAAATTTTTCTTATGGCAAAACTGTTTAAGCAAAATGTTGTATATTGTTCACATTCATGAAAATGTCAACCATGATTTATACCAAGTCTTTTTTAGTTAAGTACAGATACAGATATCAATTAAACACTAACTTTTTGTTGAACTTCCCATAGCAATGAGAACATTCTCTGATCCCAAATCTGTGCTACTGATCACGACAGTGTTAATGCCCCTATCATGTAGACAATGCATGGCTTTCATTGCATCTGCTTCACTGTTAATCTTTATGTCAGTGAGAAGTCTAGAAAACAATTGTAATGTTATAATCGGAGGAAAAGATGGAGCACTGGCAGAAAAATTGGACTAATTGGAAAACAATTTCCCAACAGCTCTCAGTAACTTCTAAGGAGGACAAGATAAGAAATCTAACATTTTGATGAACTTTTATCTTAGGTACTAACCAATTCACCAACTGAAATAAGAAATACTTCTCCTAATGAGCATTAGCAGGTTAAAATGATTTTTGAAATAACAGAGAGAGAGAATATCTTAAGTAAAAAAAGCACTCACTCTGCTTCAAACTGATTAGGAGTAATGACATCTGCCAATGGAAGTATGACCTCCTTGTATATTGCTAGCAGGGAAGATGGTACATACTGGAAGATTAATGCAAGCCATGTCTTTACTCTGGAAAGCACATATTATACTGTAAAATTAGTTTATAGTTAATGCTTCATGCTGTCATACTTGGGCTCAGATTTTTACAATATTCATTTAAATGTAACAGAACAAATGAAAACGACTGATGTAAGAATTTATTTTTAACAAAATTCAACAATTTGTGTCCACTGTGTACACAAAACTCATAACAATCCATATCAGTATGGTGAAATTATTGCTCAGTTTCTAATAGTGAATGCGTTTATTGCTACTACTTCTACAAGCCATTGGTGACAGGTGATTTTTTTTCCAACTACACTAATTGTCATATCAGAGATAGCATGTATAATTTGCTCACACAAAAAACTGTTCTATTCTACTTAATATTTTTGTGATGCTTACTTACATAACCTATCACATGAACTGTTTATACATAAGGAAAACAGAAATTTTATGTGATAGACTTCAATAAATTTCACTAAAAAGACCTACTAATAGAACCGCAAAATAAAGTGAAAAAGATCCATTATCTTTATACTTCAGCACATCTCAATGTTTAGAAATAAATAATCTAAATTGATAAATTCTACCAGTCAAATTTCAATTTTCTCAAATGTTCATGTTTAGTCAAAGAACTAATCTATTTCCTAGCCTTAAATAATTGTTTTCATTCATTCTATAACATTATTGCTGACACTTCTAAACCCAAGCCTCTCTTTCTTTGCTACAGTACTATTACTACTCCCAGTTTGGCAATGATTTGCTAAAGAACAGCTTATAGTGTATCATGGTGCCGAATCATCTTATACCATTTAATTACCATGTAAGAAAACCCATGCTTACCATCTGCCCATCATCTCCCATTACAGGGTCACATACTGAAAAGCAAACAGTGCAATATAAATAAGTATACTGTCAGTATCTAATTTTTCACAGATAAAACATTTATTCTTATGTGTAATTCATAAACACATGTGAGAAGATGATAAACATGTACCTATGTGATCACAATACTTACCATATACCAGGCCTGGGTTTACCCTCTTTAACTCTTTGATGACATCAGCCACTTTGTGAAGGAATGTTGGATCACCAATATAACCTGAGTAAATATGAGCAGCATGTTTTAAAATTTTCTAAATTCAAATCTTGTTGATTTTATTCTTAAAGATAATGACATTGGTCATGCAGTTTTTTTACTCGTTTTCAATATTTCAAAACAATATATTTATTCATACACTTAATAGTTATTTCAGAGCTTTTATACAAAAATTAAACTTACCTGTAAGTAAGTAGGAGAATTTGTCCAGATTGTTGTCTTGTAATCCTTTAATTAACTCTCCTAGTTCGTCTGACTTAATAACTTGTCCCGTAAAGGATTTATATCCTAGAGCAATAATTACAAACATGTCACACAATTTTGTTTGTCACAATCTACAAGTCGTCTTTATTTCTATGTAGTACATTAACACCACTAAGGACATTTAAGTTTCCATTCTTTTCTATATTTTACCCTTTTATAATTATAATTAATATTTTTACTTTTGACAGAGATATATTTTACAGCATATAATGCTTAAAGCTATTTAACTTTTTTCCCTTTCTTGAATTCCTTTTTTCAAGGACCATTTCATAATATTTTGGAAATAATTAATGGAATAATTGAAGGGAAATAAAAATTACTTTTCCAATAAGCATGGAAGATATAATCATGATAAATACTGATTTTTTCCCATTCAACAGTTATCTAAGTTGTAAATTATAATTTGCTCTTATAAATTAATGCTTATTGCATTTTCGTATCAAATGCTTATGATTGTGTTGTAGAAGTGTGCACTTGAATAAATGTTAAATAGCATCAAGAAATATAATCTATGATCATTATACTGTGGAACAGCACTTGGGCTTAGGCAATCAACTTCTAGGTATCTGAATATTAATTTTAAAAACAGTCAATTACCCAAATGTGATACGAAAACTGTACAGGTGAATTAAAACAGATGAATTACCTGTGTGGTTTGAAAACTGTACAGAATTTATGGCATCTACTTCGAAACCAAGCACCTTGAAAAGAATGAAAAGACAGAGAATGTTTTAAGTAGAGTTAACGAGGAAGCCTTTTAAATGTCAATGCTGCAAATGCATGACAAACATAAATATTTAAGCATATACGCTAACTGTTTATCTATTCCATTACCCTACTTATGCATTTGTTCGGTCACAGCCTTTGTAAAAAATTGCTGGAACTAATAAAGATTATTATTATTATGATTCTAGCAGACCATCAACTTCAGGAGTAGATCGACGTCACTTAAGTCTTAGTACCTGAAGAGGGAATGTTGCGCTTTTGTTCCCGACATAACCAGATACAACATGACTTTGAATAGACAGCACTCGACCTCTACCGGCACTTTCCATCATATAATGTTAAATGGAAAAATCGCACTACTCTACTACTTTTCAGCTGATCGTGTCTTTCGGACGACCTTTTTCCACAGTCTGGGCTTGCACCCTCGTGAACCGGATGTCAGTAAACGGAAGAAGTGTAAATGTCTCTAAAATGGAGATTCAATTTAAACTTTGCACTGCACTTCGAATATTTTATTCCAGTACCGATTGAATAAAATGCTCTTTCATGTAGAATTTTATTTTTCTACAGCAATTTTATCACTTGTTATAGCCTTAAAGCAAGTTTATACTCTAAAGTTAATCAAAAGTTATACTCGATGATGCCTAAAAATGTAAACAAAGAATCCCAGTCTTGATGAAACATTTCATGTGGCCTTTGGACATAGGCGGTCTGATATGGTCAGCTTTAGAACTGGTAATTGAGCTGATAAGTTGTGGTAGAGATGGGAAGATTAGACGGAAAGGTAGTCGTCCTTTCTGCAGCTGCACAAGGAATAGGAAAATCAACTGCTTTGGTGAGAATTTCCAGAATGAATTTATAATAAAAATAGTCAAATCTACAATAAAACAAATAAACCTATTCATTCAATATCGGACATTATGGACACCTCTACATAACTGTTCCATTAAAACTACATATTTTGGCAAAATGAATATTCATTTAAGTTTTAAAGCTTTACAATGAAAGTACTCTTTGATTAGTCTATGCTGGAACCGTAAAAATCCACATTTGTTGCGTTAGGATGATATTGCTCTTTTACAAGGCATTTGCAAGAGAGGGTGCTCAGGTCATAGCAACCGATATAAATGGAGAGAAACTGAAGGAACTAGATGGCACACCAGGTGATACATGTTTTTTGTTATGTTTTGTTCAGTTGTTAATTTATTTGTTTCTATTATAGTCTTTTTCACTCATAATTTATTGAAGTGAGTTCACATGGTGAGTTTAAGTAAATTGTTGTTGCCAGGTCTAAAAATGAACCTGGCTTTTTAAAAAAAAAAAAAAAAAAAAAAAAAAAAGGGAATTTAGTCAGAAAGTATTATTTTATTCAATAAATTGAGAAAGTGATCCATTAGCAAGTCAATTTTGTTTGGGCAAGTATGCGTTAATTCTAATTGGTCCACTGCAGAAATCACTTGTGCAGGGCAAGTTGCATCAATACGTATATGTACATGTATGTTGAGCCCTGATTATTTTATGAAGATGCAAATATTTGTATAGATTTTAAAAGTATTGACATTGTGATAAAATGATCTCCTTTGATAGGAATAATAACGTCATAACTTTAATTTTTAACTTGATAGGTATTGAAACAAGAGTAGTAGATGTCACAAAGCAAGCAGACATAGAGGCACTTGTGAGTTCATTGGACAAGTTGGATGTATTGTTCAATTGTGCTGGGTAAGCTAAAGATTATGCCACATCAGACTCATGTTTTTTTGTTATATGAAGGGGACTAATAAAATGCATTTTCATCGAGAGACAGGTATATTTTGCATAGTAATACCGTAGTTCCAGGTGAGTTTCATTTTAAAGGTAGCAGATGAATGTTGCAACTAACTACTTTCATTTTCAATAATTACACTTGCCTTGTTACCAAAATTCCACTCTTTCTAAATGAAAATATACTTATTGGAAATAAACCTGTCTTCTATACATCGTGGTATGACAAAAACATTAGATTTGTTAATGATCTACTCCTGGACTCTGGGGAGTTCTTCGACTTCACTGCGTTCAGGGATATCCACGGTATTGACACAAATTTTGTCGAATACCAAGGAATTATCTCAGCCATAAAAGAATGGCTTGGTGGTACTCCTGAAAAATTAAGTAAAATGGCCACTCCTCTAATTCCTGATCATATATTGTTGCTCTCAGGTTGTTCAAAAGGCTCAAAGATTTATTATAAAACTTTAAGTAAAGTAGGTGTTTTTGAGATGTCAAAAGGTATGAATAAATGGAAGGAGTTGTTAAATTTGGAAGAAAATGAATGCCCGAAGATTTTTGAACTTCCTTTCACAAAAACAAAAAATTCAAAGCTTCACTGGTTCCAATTAATTTCAAATTAATCATAATATCCTTACCACAAATTCACTGCTTTTCAAATATAAAATGGTCGACAACAGTATATGTTCCCTTTGCAAAGGAGCTGAAGAAACAACAGAGCATTTATTCTGGAATTGTGCGGTTACCCAAAAATTATTGACTGACTTGGTAGAGTATATATTATCTAATACTCAAGTTAATCTACCTGTCTCAAAAAGGAATTGCTTAGTCGGCTCTACGAGCCTCTCTCCAATTATTAATCTCATTATGTTGCAATTTAAATTTTATATTTATTTAAGAAGATGTTCACAGGGTAAACCAACATTAGGAGGTTTGATTTCATCACTTAAATATCTGGTGAAAACAGATAAGTCAATCTGTCAGTACAATTAAAATATAATTAAGTTATTTTCAATTTGAATATTTAGCGTACGATGATGTAATTAACTAAAAAGTGCTATATAGTATAACATCTCTTATGTGTGAGTGTGTGAGCGAGTGTCTGTTTGTTTGTTTTTGTATTGTCACGTATTCGTGATGTATTGTGTCAATTAAAAAAAAAATAAAAATAAAAAAAAATTTCACTTGCCTTTGATTTGGTAGTTTTGTTCATCATGGAACCATTCTGGACTGTAAAGAGGAAGAATGGGACTTTGCATTTAATCTGAATGTTAAGAGCATGTTTCTCATGTGTAAAGCTGTCATTCCAAAGGTAAATATGGTATATCACCAGTTTTGAAAAGATTCTATTCTTTTAATGTAATATGCCTTTCAAAATTATAATTTTCAAGCTCTAAGTGATTAGTTGCAAGAGAAGTTCTCATTGATTGGGTAGCTGGTTAAAGCATGTAAAATATAAATTAAGAATTGCACATGTATATTGTTTTGTTGCACTATATTATCTTGTCAATACATTTCAGATGCAGGCCGGAGGTGGTGGCAGCATCATCAATATGTCATCAGTTGCATCTAGCATTAAAGGTAACTAGCACTGGAGAACAGGAGAGAATCTAATGCTCATTTTTTGAACTGGTGCACTAGTTTAGCCTAAAGCTATAATGCAAAGACTTTAGAATGCAATTGTCATGATTAAATAACTTTGGATACAGAAAAAATTATGAAAATTCTCTGAAGGTAATTGAACAGTGATTAAAAAAAAAATAGACCAAACAATGGTACAACAGTAGGCTGAAAGATATTTAGTAAAAGTAAGTCTAAAAAGGCCAAGCAACAGCAATGTTGTTGTTTTTGTACTCTTACCAATTTTCTGTTTTAGGAGCACCAGTCCGCTTTGTGTATGGTGCTACCAAGGCTGCAGTAATAGGACTAACTAAGTCGATTGCAGCGGATTTTGCTGCACAAGGAATCCGTTGTAATGCAATATGCCCAGGTAAAATGTCAACCATTGAATAAATTCACCAGAGATAAGTTATGGGTCTTTATTTGCCATCTTTTGCAAGCTAGTAATATTTGCTCTAAAAGATATGAGCTGATCATGTCTATGTGATTAAGTTATTTGCATTTTGCCACAGTGAAAATTAGACACTTTGTCATAAATTAATCAGATATATTCTAGCTAAGTTGAAGCAGACAAGAAGGCACTTTTATCTGGGATTTCCTCAAATTAATTTTATTGCTCAGAGACCATCCCCAAGAGATTGGTCCAGACCCTGGCAATTTGATGGTTTGCCTTATCACTTTTNGAAAATTCTCTGAAGGTAATTGAACAGTGATTAAAAAAAAAATAGATCAAACAATGGTACAACAGTAGGCTGAAAGATATTTAGTAAAAGTGAGTCTAAAAAGGCCAAGCAACAGCAATGTTGTTGTTTTTGTACTCTTACCAATTTTCTGTTTTAGGAGCACCAGTCCGCTTTGTGTATGGTGCTACCAAGGCTGCAGTAATAGGACTAACTAAGTCGATTGCAGCGGATTTTGCTGCACAAGGAATCCGTTGTAATGCAATATGCCCAGGTAAAATGTCAACCATTAAATAAATTCACCAGAGATAAGTTATGGGTCTTTATTTGCCATCTTTTGCAAGTTAGTAATATTTGCTCTAAAAGATATGAGCTGATCATGTCTATGTGATTAAGTTATATGCATTTTGCCACAGTGAAAATAGACACTTTGTCATAAATTAATCAGATATATTCTAGCTAAGTTGAAGCAGACAAGAAGGCACTTTTTATCTGGGATTTCCTCAAATTAATTTTATTGCTCAGAGACCATCCCCAAGAGATTGGTCCAGACCCTGTCAATTTGATGGTTTGCCTTATCATTTTTCAATCTCTGGCTCTGGACTTGGACATGTATTGTAATCCTTGACATTTTAGAAATCCTTTGCCATTGCTCACAATAAAAAAAGAAGAAAAAAAACACTGATGTCCTGCAAAAAAGGGATCCAGGTTAAAATATTGGTTTGTTTTTTTCCAGGCACCGTGGACACACCATCATTAAGGGACAGGCTGAGAGCACTTGGAGATGAGGAAGAGGTGAGGTTCATCATTATATTGGTAGATTGCCATATTATATACATGCATGTATGAACAATCTGTTAATATCTACTTGTTTTTTTCAAGTAATTTTTTAGGTGTTAGCACAAGTGTGTTTAAATGCTGTATTTGATATTAAATTAGATGATCATGAGAGTGTTGTACATATTGTACTGGCACCAGCAGCTTTGAAGTTTGCACATATTGTTTTTCACCTCAGGTTCTGAAAACCTTTGTTGCCAGACAGAAGATGGGCCGTCTTGGCACAGCAGAAGAGATAGCAGCATTGTGTGTATATCTAGCTTCAGATGAGGTTAGTAGTGGANTTTGATGGTTTGCCTTATCACTTTTCAATCTCTGGCTCTGGACTTGGACATGTATTGTAATCCTTGACATTTTAGAAATCCTTTGCCATTGCTCACAATAAAAAAAGAAGAAAAAAAAAAAACACTGATGTCCTGCAAAAAAGGGATCCAGGTTAAAATATTGGTTTGTTTTTTTCCAGGCACCGTGGACACACCATCATTAAGGGACAGGCTGAGAGCACTTGGAGATGAGGAAGAGGTGAGGTTCATCATCATTATATTGGTAGATTGCCATATTATATATGTATGAACAATCTGTTAATATCTACTTGTTTTTTTTCAAGTAATTTTTTAGGTGTTAGCACAAGTGTGTTTAAATGCTGTATTTGATATTAAATTAGATGATCATGAGAGTGTTGTACTTATTGTACTGGCACCAGCAGCTTTGAAGTTTACACATATTGTTTTTCACCTCAGGTTCTGAAAACCTTTGTTGCCAGACAGAAGATGGGTCGTCTTGGCACAGCAGAGGAGATAGCAGCATTGTGTGTATATCTAGCTTCAGATGAGGTTGGTAGTGAACTTCCTTCTAAAATTCCAAACTGAAAAAAAAGTTCACAAATTGTAAACATGTAAAAGTTGAATAGGAACAGACTGAGTGTTTTAGCATTTTCATTGTAATAGAAATGTTTGTCATTATGAATCAAAATATTGTGGCCTTTTTTTGTGAATGATAAAATTAATTTTATAGAAAGTAAAGCTGGTCGATCAGTTGAAAGTTGTGGTTTGTAGTTCCTAGTTTTTTTCATGCACAGTATAATGTGGTTATTGGTAGTATTAAATGCAATGCAAAGAATTAACTTATTTTTTTTCAGTCTTGCTATACCACTGGAACTGAGTGTGTCATAGATGGAGGATGGAGTGTTTGAATACTGTCACAATTTAAAATTAAAAATCTATGCAATATCAGGTATTATTGTATAATAATATAAAATACATTGTTATATCAGAGGATTCCAGGTCTGATAAAAATCATTACGACTGCTGATGTCATCACCATCACCAAATGACGGTGACATAATACGTGGTGTATGACCAATTACAGTAAAGGAAATATATTATTAATCAGACAGCTGACTAATCTGAGTATAGAAAAACATATCAATCAGACAAAATCAATATGCTGGATAACAGCAAAACTTTTTTTTGTTATCCAGGCGGACATTGACATTTATGTTTTTGATTATGTAATAGAATAATTATTAATTTCACTTTTTGTGAAAATGTTGTTTTGAGATAAATCTTGGCTGTGCCTTGAGATCAACCAATAGCACTTTGCTGCAAAAGACCATATTAACTTCAGCCAAAGTCAATAATGAAATAGGATCAAACTAGATGATAACAAGATCAATATTATTTTTAAATCAGTATTTTTATGAATGTTTATATTTCAATCAAGCACAAAAACATTAAAATAAGATCTGAGGCATGCAGTGCTTGCTACATGTATCTTGTTTGTGTATGATAACTTTCAATTTCATAACAGAAAACTGAGTATTTTATAGCCTTGACATTACAGTAAACTATTGGAACTGTGATTGCAAATTTGTTGATCAATTTGTATGTGCTGGCACTGTTTATCGTCTAACCAATGTCTTAAAATATAATCTTTTCCCATTTTGTTAATAGATTAAAGAAAAGTCATGTGTACTTATATTACAAGGTATTCAAAAATGCAAAGGTGACAATTTTTTATTTTGATCAATGCAAAAATGGTTCGGACTTAAAGTTTGCAAATAAACGTGATTGTAGCATTTGTTTTTAGTTGTAATTGGATTTTGCACAATGACGATGTTGCTGAAGTTGAATGTCTGTATGCATGCATGAGTTTCATTGTCTTTTCATACTGTTTGTGCTAACTTCCAGGCTCTTAAGTTATACACCACTGTGAATACTTTATTATACTATTCCCTCTGTAAACATTTCACAAGACAACTACATTGATAAAATAATATCCTGTATTTGAATTTTATCATATGCACACACTCACTTGTCATGATTTGAAAAACTAAAAAAAAAAGTTTGGCACTGCTCTTGATATCCAGTTGCCTGTTATATCATAACTTATTAAATCACTATAACAGATGAAAATTTTTGTGGATTAAAAATTCATACATACAATACATGCATTAGCTCACTTGACTCAGGGTTGAACACGATCGACTGACAGTTGGAAAGGTAAAAGAATGTATAAGTACCTAAGGAAAATTTTTGGTTTGAAAATTAAATACATGTAGCGATTTTCAACATACTGCTTTCTCTACTTCTACGTTTAAGTGCACCTTCAATCCCGATCCATTGTGTTAGTTGGGAGTGAACGAGTTTATACACGTTGGTCGTCATGACCTAAATTCGCCAATCACATTGTGACACCTGCAGTAGTGCGGTAGTGTCATCTTGTGTGCCATCATGGCCGCCTCAGGAATACTGCCAACGTATCAGCGGTTTGTGAACGGGATGCCCGTTCCCCAGGGGCGGCGGACACTGAGACTGAGGGAAAAATATATTGTAGGATTAGTATTTGTGACTTTTGGAATTGTTTGCTTTGGTGCAGTACTCTTTTTACCAGACTTACAAAGCGTCAATGTAGGCGATGTCAGGGTACACTTACGGAATCCTGGTCGGGATATGTTTCTCCCAGAAATTCGAGGGGACCACAAAGCCATTGTAGGCCATGGCGAAGGCAGAATATTTAGACACGGCCTTGGGGAGGCAGTAGATCCCCATAGGGTTGAAGACAAAGCGGCCTTGTTCAAAAAGATCGAGGGAGATCAACAGCATCAAAAAGTTTTAGAAAATTTTAGAAATCGATTAAATATGTCTAAAGTAGAACACGAAAAAATTATGAATGAAATTGATAGAGACAAACAGGATTTCATTAAGAAGAAGAAGGACGAGGAGCAGAAAAAACTGGATGCTGAAAAAGAAGAGCAGGTTAATAACGTTGTCGTAGACCATCCCACCAAAGAGGGATCCAGAGGGGGCGTGCCTTTGGATGAGGAGACCAAGATGAGAAGGGACAAAGTAATTGAGGTAATTGTACAGTTTATAAACACCAAAAGGTGAATGATTATTCATTTTGTATCCAAATTACCTTTATCTTACCTTATGTTTGTTCCATATGTTAGTTTGTGGTAATATACATGTATTTTGGAATGTAATGCATCTCTACCCTCGAGTGTGTACTAATTATTTATCATGTATTTATTAACTGTAGACATGTTTTAGGAGAATGCAATAACGTGAAATTGGTTTTCTTAAGTTCCTTATGCATTAACCCTTAACCAGGACCAATGTGTAAAAATGATACATGTATGAAAAAAGCCTCAATGTGCATGTTTGTCACTGCAGCACTGTATAAAGGTGTACTTAACACATTCGAAAATGCCCTAAAATCATATTTTCTCTGCCTACCTTTCCTGCAAAGCTACTAATTAGTGATGATTAATCATGCCTAACTCAGACCATTAAAATTTGAACGAAACCCAAATAATTCTGAAACATACAGGAAGACATGGCATTCCAAATAAATCGCTAAATTTAAAATGGAATAAAACACTGAATCCAAGTGTAGGGATGGATTGAGCAATGACCTGTGGGAAAATTCATTTTGGCAGATAAATCCTTTGCATAGTACCTTCAAGGATAGGAATCTCTATTTAATTTGATTACAAATTATATTCAAACATATCTTTGCATCATAAAAGATCTTTTGAATAGCTGTCAGTATTCATGCACTTTTGTCATGCACATTTTTCATCCAAGATACACTAAGTGTTATAAAATGTGTTGACACTATTGGTAATTTTATTACCAGTCTAATAACTAAATAAAAAATTTAAATTTAAATATATAGTATAGATTTTATATTCCTATATATATATTGGGTTAAAATTTTGTGTTCAAAGTGACTTAATTTTAAATTTGTAGGTCAGATGTTCTTATACATTATGTTCTTATACATACTGCTATGCTTGTACTACATGTACAATGCCTTGGAGGTATTGATGTATTTTCTCCCCACAACTTTCTGTTCATTAAGTAAGTGATTTCCTATAACTTGTCAGTCACAATAGTTGAAGTTATAATTTCTACTTTGAATCATATTAAAAATTGCCACTTATTTAATGTACATTCTTATGTTTTTCTTTGAAGGCTATGTTGTAGCTGGGTCCATTAAATACAAACTAGGTCCAAACAAAACTATAGTTGGCTGTAAAACTAGCCACCTGTTATACTGATATTTCACTATTGTTTGACCTACATTGATTGCCAGTAGAAAGACACAAAAAGATAACAATAAAAAATATCATTGGATAAATTCTGTTAGCTCTTATTTATTGCCAGACTCTACTTGCTAGTCTTCCATTATATGTGACCTGACTCTCTGAATTCTGCAAAATCTTTCTTGATTTTATGTTAATTTTATGAGACTTTTATGAGACTTTGTGCTATCTTGGTTGATGCCCATTTGCTGTGAAGTAGGCCTCTACTTGTAGTTCTGATTTAAATCCCATTAGTACTCTGCATATGGTAATGCAATCAACTTGACTTGGCGTGTCAAAGGCCCTTTACACATCTACTGGTATATTTGACTGGACCAGTCCAATTAGGTAATAACACGGCTGGCCTTTCAAACAACAGAATGATTGCACATATATTTTACTTACTAGTACATGCTTGCCTTTATATGCTTTGGTGCTTTCCAAATGAAATACCACTTGCAATCATGCCAATTATCCCATTTGTTCGAAGCACCAGCCATAGGATAAGTTGGTTACAGGTACTGGTGGTCTAATGTATGTGACTAACAAGTGTAATTGCACTCTCCTATGTTGCATACAGTGCATGACTTGACTAGTACTTTCATTACTATAACAGGGGGGTTTACTCCCTTCTTCAAGTTCTCCAGAAGTTTATTTCCTGGTCATGACTTGCTTCTTGCTTTGACTCTCCCACATAAAAGCCAGGCTATTTTGACTACTACTTAAAAGTTGTCAGTGGACTTGTTCAGTTAAATGTACCACTTAATATATGTTCACATTCTACTTTCAGTAATGTGTATATATACACAGCTTAGCTTTGTTTTGAAAGGCTAAATTAATCAATATCTTTATCTTTGTGTTGTTAACATGGGACAAAGACCTGTGCTTAAGATAAAATGGCAAAGTAGCTGATCATTAATTCAGACTGTAAATATGAAGGCAGAGCTGGTATTATGATTCACTATTAATCTGGACTTATATGTTTAGTATGGTTTGTTATGCCAGGTTGTACCTAAAGATGCTCTCCACTGGATTTTCCCATCAAATTTTTGGAGGTTCTCTCCAGGCATTTGAAAATCCACCACAGTCTTATTTTGTTCCTGTAAAGTTTTATAAATTTCCAAATGTAGACTTTAAAGATAATAAAACACTTTCAACAAAAAGTTAATCTGAAGTGCACTTTCAACAAAAAGTTAATCTGAAGTGCACCTAGTGTCATTATTATCTTCGTAGCCTCCTTGGGTAGCCATTGCCAGCTTACAACGTCTGTATTATGAATCAGGGGCGGATTGAGGCCGTCTTCTGGGTCTTCCGGAAGACAGTCAGATTTTCAAGTTTACATTGACGGATATCTAATTTTTTCTCTGGGAAGATGGTCAAAAATACAGGACGGATCAACAAAGATAATTTAGAAGATTGTCAGTAAATAGCTCTGGATCCGCCCCTGTGAATGGCACAGAGTTGTGATACAAAACACCCTGCCATTTTCTAAAATAAACAAGGCAATGCCCATGCAGACAGATGTCTTTCTATTTGACTGGCTAATCACTTAAAAACTTAAATATTTGATTGAAAATGGAATAAAACATTGAATCCAAGTGCTGGGACTGGTCAACTGATTGTTTGTGAGTAGGAAAAAAATTACTCTTTACCCCAGGAATATTCATTTTGGCAGGAAAATCTGTGGAGAGCACCTTGAAAAATTACTTATAAATATAGATATAAATTTTTATGTATGTGTCATGATAAGTTGCAGAAGTTATAATACAGTTTAGAGTTTTCTCTATTTGTTTTCTGCTACTTACTTTCAGTCTCTCTGCAGTTTGCAGCATGCATCTTTGACAAAATAAATTTAATAACGCTAAATGTTTTGAATTATTTATTTATTTAAAATTTTTTTTGTGTATGCTTGAAAAGAATATTGCAAAAATGGGTATTCAAGTTTCTTTACAATAAGAAGACTATTTTAACTACTGACCCAGGACCTAGTTCACTGTATGCGCAGTACAGATTAGTACTATAATTTCAGAATAAATCATCTGATAAGCAGATAAACATCTAGTCCCAATTGCCCTTTTTAGTGACATGGACTGTAGCATGACAGTATGCATAAACTTTGCCAGCTTTCACATGATGTTTCATTATTCAGCTTCAAATCGTGAATTACAAAACATTGTAAGTTTCTGGCCTGATAACAGTAAACCTTTTGTCTAAACCAACATTTTTTCAGCAAGAACTATTCATACAACAATGTTTGAAATACCTAGATCTTTGAGTTTTACTGTTCCACCACAGGTGCCTTCAATCAGAGTTCCAGTACAAAATATATATTCATTTGGAAAGATTTCATGGAATGTTAACTTGTTAACTTTCAAAGCACCATCTCAATTTCCAATCAAGATATAAAGAATTCCTTTAAAATTTTTTCTCATTTTTAATATGCCTTATATTTTATGTTATTGAAAAACCATAGTGCTTTTAATTATGCAGTATAAAAGTCCACATTTCCATGTGTATTTAAAATACAAGTGTACTGTGGTATTTATGTGGAGAAAAATGTTATTATTAATGACACTTAAATATTGATAGGGATATGCTCAGTTAATGTTTGTAGGTCACTTGTCAGTGACACATCTTTGCCAGGCGTAACCCCATCCAGAAAGGCACAAATCAAACTAGTTGGGTTGGTTCGAACTCTGCGGGGGATTCTTGCTAAGTACAAAAAGTGGAATCATCTTAGCAGCTAGTTGTAATTAATTTATAACTAGCTGCTCACAGAGGAACCCCCCCCCCCCCTTAGACTGGGTTCCCATACTTAGATCGATACATCTGGATCGACCTAACTCCCTGGGAGTTCACGTTAAATACCTATCAGCTGAAGAGGCTTAAATGTCGGTCACATACCGAATCAGCTAGGGGTAAAGATAATTACCCCCTAACAGTTTTACTAGGCGCGACAGATGTTTAAGCCGGTTAGTTTGCTAGCAATTTAGTGAGACTCCCCAGGGAGATAGATCAAACCAAATAACTGTGGTAAAGGTCCCTTGGATACATGAAGGAGCAGGATCAGTGAGCAAACTTATCTGATACCAGCTACATTGTGTGATAGTGGAGGTCACATCACTCACATGTGATAGTTAGAAAAGTAGTAAATATTCATGTGACCTTTAAACAAAAGAAGTGAACATGCATTTCTATTCATGATAAGATACTTGTACTATATTGATTCTTACCACTGCAGTTTTTGGAATAAATTTTATGGTATTATTAATGTAAAGTATAGAAGTGGAATCAAAACTATAATTGGTTACATTGGTATCTTATTTACAAATCTTGCTTAGAGTATTGAAAAGGTAATGACAGAAATGAGTGCTTTGGCATCACAAATATTTGTAAAAGAAAAAAGAAATTTTATTTTAAGAGAAGCATAGACTCACAAGACAACTGTGAAGAGGAAACTATGTAATTTGTTAATTGCCAAATTAACAAAAAATGTATATATATATAGTGTGTATTCTTGGTTAAGATTTTATTCTTAGGTGTCCTGGATGGTCCTGGATGGTCAGATAGAAAAGAATTCAAGTTTTGTGGTTGCCATAGGCTTGTCATATTATAGTGCAGTGTGTGTGTGTGTGTGTGTGTGTGGGAGGGGGGAACATTGAAAGAACTGACCTTTTGGCTGTAAAAGGTATACTCAGAGGCTAAAATATGATCTAGGTGCTATGCCATTTTTCAAGTTGGGTCAACTGAGGGTACTAGTACACTTTTACAAAAGAAGATCCCCATTGAGATTGCTGGCTACAGACCTGTAACCTTTTTAGTATGAAATGCCAGCCCATTTAAAGAAGGAAGTAGGCAAGCAGAGGTCTTGTTTGTGTAATTGTTTCTGTTCTATGTGTGCTAAAGCAGGAAGTGTCAAATGCTCTGATGTATGCACAAGTTGGTGAGTTGGGTAATAAAAACACATTGCCCCAAGAAATAATATTTCTGGATAAGTTGGGTTTTTTACAAGGGATATTTCTAATGATCCATGCTGCCAAGGAATGGTCATTAGAAGTGCGTAGAATTAAATTTTTGCTGAATGAATTTTTATTACAAAATGTATGTCTTTTTTATCTTCTCTATGTTGAACCACTCGTAGCAGTAGTAAGAACCATGCCTGGGTTAAATTATGTGTTGTGCCCCACTGCTACATTTCTGAATTGTACAAGATATATGTCGTGTGTGTGTGTGTGTTTTTTTTTTTTTTAGTTAATGCACAAAAGACTTTGCGTCTGATTAAGCGTTAAAAATTATCATATGCAGACTGAAAACTGTCAGTGTCCTGGCCAGAAAGGGACAGCGACTGAGGAAACCATGATCTCACATTCAAATTATAACAAGAATAAATATTTATATTTTATGAAATTCATTGTTATAGTTTAACTGTTCCACCACAGGTGTCTTCAATCAAAGTTCCAGTACAAAATATATTCATTTGGAAAGATTTCATGGAATGTTAACTTACAAAGCACCATCTCAATTTCTAGCATAGGGACCATTCCCATAGATATTTGGATCGATCTATCTCCCTGGGGAGTCTCACTAAATTGATAGCAATTTAGTAAAACTCCCCATTGAGTTAGACCGATCCAGATGGATTGATCTAGGCATGGGAACCCAGTCATAGACTTTTAATGATATAGCAGCAAGTTACAAAATGCACGCCACAGTTGTGTAAACTACATGTACATATCATTATGGTAAAGACACTAATCGGATAATAAATATAATCTAGCCAGTTTGTGATAAGTAATACAAATATGCTAAATAATGAAGTATGGAAATATGTCTTTTTTTCTCTGTTAAAAATGTTGCAACGTACGAAATACATGTACATGGAATTCTCAGATCTGAATAATTTTATCTGTGGTTGAAAAAGATAAAAAATAACTTGAAAACATCACATAATTTGCAGTATTTCTACAGTTGTCAGACCGAATGACATGTTTTACCTTATGTAAAGTCTATATGTGTACTAGTATAAAACCTGCTAAACTGTAATTATCATCTAGGAAGGTGTCGATGTGTTGAAATTACCAATCTCACTTATTTAACACATAGCATAAGATATCGCCATAACTTGCAGTAGACGTGTACCCATACCTGTCCATAAATCAGATAAAGTTGTGTGCGTGTCTGCAGGCTACTTTGATTTTATAACAAATATATTGTGTTTCTTTCACATATCTTTATTGCCAAAAGCATTTTAAAGAACTCTGAGGGTATATTGTCCGTCATCACTTAGACTTTGTTCCCATGACTAAATTGATCCATCTGGATCTGTCTAACTCCCTGGGGAGTCTCAGTAAATTGCTATCAACTAACCGACTTAAATGTCTGTCACGGCTACCGAATCATCCAGGGGGTAAAGAAAATTACCCCCTAACAGCTTTAAAAGGTGTGACAGAAAAGTTGAAAGCAATTTAGTGAGACACCCTAGGGAGATAGATCGATCCAAATATCTGTGGGAATGGTCCCTAAAGTAATTGCAAGGTTTGGATACATGCTTGGATGCATGTTGTACAGGGCACCATATTTAAATTGAAAAATAAAACATTTAATTGCTTGATTTACTGTCCAACTAGTTCTGTCTCCTTGCCTGTAGTTGATGCATTTCTGTGCTTCAGCCACCTTTTAAGGTCTGGCACTGTGCACGCTTCCAACAGCTTTTTTATACAAGCATCAAATACGTCACCCTCATGTACCAATGTGCATATCTTGCTGAAAACATCAGAGGACTAAATAAATGCCCCCTTAGGCAGGCTGTTCTGTTTTTGTCATGGGCACTTTTTATTTCCATGAAAGATGAAAAAGGCATTTAGTCTGTGCAGAATTGTTTAGAGTTGGCATTTCTGTAGCGATGCATTGCATACTCACACATTCACATGTTAACTCACTTACTGGGCCTTTATGCCAAGAACAACAGTTTCTTATCTTGCAAATATTTTATTTTTCACAACATGCCATTTGTCTTAAATTCTTTTCATGAAGACATTTAAACCATTTGTGTTAAATTCTTTTCACTAAAACATGTGTACTTTTGTGTTATTTCTATGATCTTTGACTCATTTTTAAGAAGTGAGGATCTGTCAGATTTGTAATCTCTCATTATAGGTAACATCAATGTAATATGTGATAACTTTTTCATATATGTATATAAGTATATGCATTAGAAGCTCTCTTCTCCCCCCCCCCCTTTTTTTGGAGGGTTGGGATAAGGTAATCTTGCAGTATTACCAGTAAGTGTAAAGATCATGAGAACTGTTCCAGCTGTTCAAAAGCCTGACTTCCAGAGTTTACCTAAATACTCAACAGGTTGCCACTGAAGAATTTAGAGTTAAATATAAACAGTTGATTCTTGTCAAGTAGAACAAGCTGTTTTTGATGCCACGGTTGAAGTTGGAACTGTATTTCTGTAGTCTGATAAGATCCGCATTTTAAAGTTATGACTTGCAATAATTAATAGACATTGGCATTTCCATTCTGACTATATATATAGTTTGTACATATGACACTCAGAATAACAACTTCTCATTCTACATGCTCTAGCCTTTTTAGCATTGGGTTTAATTTTAGTTGCACGTTATCTGTATTACTCCATTTCCTACCATTTGCACCAAATCATGTCAAATCAAGAAGTACTTCAGTGCACTTGATAATTTGTGTTACATGGGCCATCCAGAATAGATGATCCCAGTACTTACTGATCCCCAGAATAAATAAGGCCGACCACACTTCAGAAGCGATGCTGCTGATTCCCGATGGTCTCCCCACCTCAGATTAAATCTGGGCTCTCAGGTTTAATTGCACATAACATTAAACAGATTAAGTCTGGGCTCTCAGGTTTAATGGCAAGACCCTTGCAGCAACAGCACGTGTGGAGGCAGGAAGACCATCTTGGAATTGGCCCCATTGCTTTTGAAGAGTGGTATGCCATATTTAGACGGCGGATCAGTTAGTACTCGGATCAACTATTCTGAATGGCCCCATGTAGTAGAATTCTCTGGTTTTTAGCAGAAAAAGACTTGTGTTCCTGATTTTAAGCAAGGGAAAGGAAAAATGAAAGAGATATCTTGTCCACAAACAAACAAACAAACAAAAAGAAAAACCAACAGGGAAAGTAACGTAGAGTCATAACCTTTTTTTTTTGGTAGGGTAATTAGCGTCGTTAGGAAAAGGATATTATCTTTTTTTTTTCCACTGGATGCACTGCAAAAACTAGTATTACTAAAAATGCATTTTTACATGTTTTCACTTTGGTTGTTTATGATAACTTGAAACATGATTTTAAAAATGGTCTGGCAAATGTCATATTTGAATTCTGCTAAACATAGTTTTCTAGATAATTCAAGTGCAGAAACATAAACAAAAAGGTCTATTTAAATTGGTTTCTGAGGTAATCATCAAAGGTCAAATATAAGATCATATTTGAACCACTAGAAATGATTTTCTGTGTTGGTTCCATGGACTAACTATGGTTCTGTCACTATTGGTCTCTTATGTTTTTGCCTGAATTCAGTCAAAATGTTAATAACAACATGAATCTATAAAAAATATTAATAGATTCATGATTGAAACTGTTACCAGTTGTAATCTTGTCAAAATTTTTGATGAATTACTTGAGATATTTTGTCAAACAAATGTCAATGAAAACAGTAGCAGAAGTATGACATGTCATTTAATGAGATTGTTTTGACTCTTTCATTCTAGATGACAAAACATGCATGGGATAATTATGTGAAGTATGCATTTGGTGCCAATGAATTGAAACCCTTATCCAAGAGGGGACATTCGGCCAGTATTTTCGGAGCGACCTCATTTGGAGCCACCATTGTAGATGGATTGGACACCCTGTGGCTGATGGGGCTGAATGAAGAGTTCAAGAAAGGACGAGATTGGGTTGCACTGTCTCTGAACTTTGAAGGGGTATGTATATTTTGAAAAATACTCACAGAAAATAGGTGAAATACCAGAGGACTGGAGATAACTTAAATGCTACAAGTATAAGGTCTAGACCTATTAAAACATTGCCTGTTATGGAAATTGCTCATTTGCAAAAACTCTGAAGATGAAGAAGAAGAGAATAAACCCATAGCTTAAAGACATGCTTGGCTGTGCTGCAGGTAATAAAAATGCAGTTTTACAAGAGGAAGCCACTTTTTTGTGTCGGTTTTTACATGCGTATAATGTGTGTGAATAATGCACATGCTGTTGTGTTTCCATGTACTCAATATATGTCACCATTACTCACTTGGTGTCTAGATTAAATATTTTATATGCTCTACAAGATCATGGAAGCTGTAAAAAGATTAAAAAAAGATTTATTGGTTTTGTTTGCTTTTCAACTTCATCATGAAATCATCAACAATCAAAAAGTTATTATATTGATAGAAAGATATGGAATATAAGTGAATCAAATACAGACATTTGCTATGTAATCAACAATTAGCCATTACTTCATGGTCTTGACCTGAGATTTTTCACAAAGAACTGTCTTTGATGAGCTGGATATGAAAGTTATGCTAAAATTCACTTATTTTCATAGCACTACTGGATGACTGAAAACATTCACTCATTGATTAATATATAAACATATTATTCCTAATTCATGGAGTTAATCAGGTTTTCCCTTATGATTATTGAAAAAAAATTAAATTATAGGATGATGTCTTTTATAATTGCTTTTCAGGCCTCTGATGTATCTGTGTTTGAAGTGAACATAAGATTTGTGGGAGGACTTTTAGCTGCCTATGCTTTGACAGGGGACCAGGTAAATATTGCAGCTATTTAAAAAGTTATATGATCACAATGGAGAAAACTGCAAGTTACTGAAGTCATTAGATACTGTGACTGATGGAACTGAAATTGAAAATTTCAGATGATGGATGTCTTTATGTCATCTGGTGAGACCAGTTGGATTATTTTTAGTCAAAGAAAGGAAGGTGGGGAGCAGTGCTTTAAAACAATGGTATATCTGAGTTGCTTTATTGTGAACAAAACGAGTGCATCCAAATAACTGGCCATTTGATAAAAGTACAATATATACTAGATGAGAACCCATGAGGAGCACTTCCATTTGTATTTTCCAAATATATCCTGCTATCAACTTGGACCAGCTGCTGCCAGCAATATTTTCTACCAGATGGGATTTCTTCCATCAATTAAATGCTTTTATTATCTAATATCCTATGAAAAAGGAAAAATGCAATAACACATTATCCTTACTCATCTACTGTAATTTGTGGTGACGGATAGTTTTTCAGAAGGGAGAAATACTTTGGAATAGCCTTTAAATAAGAATCCATTTCATGAATCCAGTATGATTTAGTTCTGCAAGTGTGGTATTATCAAAATAAAAATAATTTATATCTGTTGGGATTTATTTTGGTCATAGCTCTCAAAACAAAATGTGTTGTGATGAATATAAAATAGGAAGACTCCCTAAGGAATTAGTTCTTCACCTTTCTTACTGGTTATACTAATAGCTAATTCTCAAATATTTTTTTTCAGATTTTTAAAAACAAAGCAACAATTATTGCTGATAAGCTCTTACCAGCTTTCAACACACCAACAGGAATTCCTTATTCTATGATCAACTTAAGAACGTGAGTACTTCTTGTTTTTGGTCTTGAATTTTTTTTTTCCTGAAGTGATTTGTTGTTTTACAATGAGAATTGCTCAAATCACAAGGGGTATGTCCCCATATTCTCTGCTCCTGCACTTGTTTTTTATTGAAAAGAGTAAGGGATAAGGACCAATTCCTTTAAATCTGAACCAGTGCATATATTTTAATTAGCACATGATATATGTGTCTGATTTATCTATTTTTTTAAGTGGTGGTGGTCGGAACTGGGGCTGGGCTTCAGGTGGCTGCTCTATCCTATCTGAGTTTGGCACCATGTACCTGGAGTTTGCCTACCTCACAGATATCACCGGAGACCCTAAGTACTTGCAAAAGGTAAAGATGTTGGTTTATTGTTACTGTTGTGTGACTATACTTAGCTCTTTTTTTCTGTTTAGTCATAGGTGTAGAATTTATCTTTTTTTTTTTATTTTTTGCATTGGACATTCTGATTGACGGGGCACAAATGTCATGATGGATGTTTTCTGACACTGTGTATGCATGATACTGTGTATGCATGTGGGGATTGCATACTATTACTCAACATATTTAGAAAGTACTAGGCACTACTACTGGCATTAAATGTATGAAAATATAGTGAAATTAAAAAAGTAAAGATTTGCAGTATGGTGTTGCTGCAGGGCCATTTCTCCATTCTGGATGGATAAATATAACATGTTGAAACCATTGATATTTGACCAGTTTAATTTCTTTATATGCAGGTTGAGAAAATACGAGACTTCTTGGATAATATGGACAAGCCAAATGGTTTATATCCTAACTACTTAAATCCAAAGACTGGGAGATGGGGACAGCGTGAGTGCTCTCTTTTAATCTTAGATGGAGGTTTACTGCTTCACTATAAGATTTCAGATGTTTTGATGCTATATGAGCATTTTTATCCTTTTTCTTGAACTTAAAGCTTTTGTGAAGTATCATCTTAAAGTAGTGTAGAAAATAGGAAATACTTTTGGATATACCCTTACCCATTTCAAAGTCAAAGCTCAAGTATCAAAAGTGGAATTTTTTGCATAAAAGGAACCATTTTAAAGTTAAAAATTAAAGATAATGTAATTATATTTTCAAGAAACAATAATCATTGCATTCTGCAACCAGAAATTTGAAGATTTTTCCCTATCTGCATGCATTGAATAACAAATTGCAAAATATTTCTGAGTTTAAGATAACCAATTTCCTGCAGTTATGGACTATCATCATATGTCTTGCAAAAATAGTTCCCACAAGGGCCATTGTAAACAATACATTATCTTAAAGCCAATTAACTTCACATGAATGTATTTTCCATAAGCATGAACATATGCTGTCCTGTGACATATACTATTTGCATTTGTTGTGTATCAATATAAATTCTCTGCTTCAAATGTTAAAATCCTTTTATGAACCTGGTCATGCATTGTTCCATTTGTTGCATATGCCTAACTGTTACATTTTTTTTCCTTTTTTAATTACTGAATTATTCCTTTTGATTGCAGAGCATGTATCTGTTGGGGCTCTTGGTGACAGCTTTTATGAATACCTACTGAAGTCTTGGATTTTCTCAGGGAAAAAAGATCACACCAGCAGGAAAATGTATGATACTGCTGTGCAAGTAAGTAAAACATGCTGGTGAAGCAAACAGTACCATGTCAGCTTTATTCAAATTGCTCTAACATGCTTAATAGTACCCAGTCTGTTGGTATTGAAAGCTACATGAAATATTAATGAAATAGCCTGAATGGATTCTCAGAGAGTTAATTGCCAGTGCTGCAAGAGCCACTGGGCAATAGATTGTCCTCACAGAATAAATGAAATGTCTCTAACATCTGATGCTTGCCAGGAAAGAATGCAATATGATTGAGTTTGAATGTTATAGATATAAATAACCTTACACACAATGAACCATTCAGTTTACCTCCCAACTGACCAGATTTATTAATCAATGGCCTTTATATCTTTCCTGTACATTTTATACATAGGCCATAGAGAGTCGGATGTTGCAGACCTCTCCCAGTGGGCTTAAGTACATTGCAGAATACAAGTCTGGGCGCTTGGAACACAAAATGGGCCACTTAGCCTGTTTTATTGGTAAGCTTCAAAAGTAGGATATGTGAAAATACATATTTTCAGTCTTTGCATATCTGTTTGTGATGAAAGTAAGTTTCATGTACTTCTCTTCTTATGCAGATTAATAATTTTCATTCAAATCAATCTATCTTGTACTGGTGCATACATATTTTTGACCTTGGAATTACAATGGTGTAGGGAGAAATAATGATAATAGAATTGATTATATCTTCAGTGCCAAGACATTAGTGAATCTGTTTTTTTTTCAGTTTCTCAAAAACAGAAAAATAAATATACAATTTAATTAAAAATACACTTGCTGATAGAACAACTAGATATAAATGAGATTGAAATTTTTTTGCTAGTTCATAATACTATAATTATAAATTTGCAACTCTATTATAAACATATTAAGTCATTCAAAAAGCACTTATAATCTTTTATGATATAAGGCAAATACAATTTATAACAATATGATAGGATTTGTTGGAATATTTTCACCAGTTTGGTAATGTTAATTGGCAGTTTTTTTTTTCACATATAAATTTCAGATCACATCAAAACATATCTTTGATTATTATAAAATTATTAGTTTGTGACAAAAGAATATTTCTAACAATATGCTAAGTGTTACCACTTCACCTCTTCTTTTGAATGAATTTGTTTTAAATTTGGAAAGAGAAGTTAATTTTCCTTTGTTGACACTGATGATAAAGTGGCAGATGTATCCATCTGCGAATTCCCATGTGTCACAGAAACTTTAAGAATTTGAGTCATTAATTATATGTTGATTGTGCAGCAGGTGGCCTTTGCTGATTCAAGTTAATTTTGGTAGATAACATCCATTTATTAAAAGCAGTTATTGCAATGTGAAAAGAAATTTATTTTTTCCTGAAAGAAAATCCAAACAGATGACACTAACAGATATATGAGTGGTGACTATAGAGATTAAATATTTAGTACTCTGAAGCTGAATAAATCATAGCACAAAATAAGTGATGTTAATTAACAGCAATTAATGTGCCAGTCTGAAACCTATCTAGGGTGGAGAACTAGCACAGATGGGGCTCATCAATAAAGATCACACTGGCTGTGGCAGTAGTACTAGCTCAAATCTATATGTGAAGAGCATGCCTAGCTAACCTATTGATCAATTCAAAATGAGTTATTTCACTACTCTCAGTATTCAGATCTGCATGAGAAACCAATTTGGTTGTTTTTACTGCCATTAAGTTGTGCTTTGACTCAGCTATAATTCTTTAGGGACTAGAGGGTGAAAATCACACCACTTAAAGTAAGATCTGAAAACATGGTTTGATGTAGGCAATAAAGCAATTGCGTTTTCACATGGGATTTTGCAGGCTTACTTTGTTGCCAGTTTGGTTGACCCTGAGGGCTCAATTTTTGGCTATTCAACAGCATTCTGCATTTTGATGTTAGGAAAGCAGAACTTTTTATTTTCTTAGTTTACATAAGTGAAATTAACTTCATCAGCAACATTTCAGCTTATATTCAGGGACATTTCATGTTTTCATATATATCAATTTTCAGGGATTTTAAGAAATAATATCTTTTCATTTATGTTAATTTTGTGCTTGTGAATAATAATAATAAAACAAATGTTGGTTCATTTTTGCTGAACTTTTGCAGGTGGCATGTTTGCACTGGGAGCAGAGGGTTCTGCAAATAAAGAGAAATACTTAGACTTAGGCAAAGATATTGCCCATACATGTCATGAGTCTTATACCAGATCAGGTAAGAAAGTACTAGAGTACTTAAAAGATACATAAAAAATTGAAAATTTAGGTGAGTTTTTAGGTAGTGTTTTTTATTATTCCTTAGGTCATTGTTTTTTATTATGTTCATAGCACCAACTTTGAGTGAAAAAAAAATTACGTTAACTGTATTTATTGTTTTCTCATCAGTGGGTTTCTTTATTTTATGAACTTGAGTTTATGGAACTAATTATATTGATTTTGACATAGTCAGAACAAAAAATATCATTAATAGTTGCAAAATTTGGAAATGGAAATAATTAATAGTTGGTCCATAAAGACATTATTTAGTTTGGTTGTGAATATAATTTATTATTCCATAGACTATTAATTTCAGAAATACATTTCTGGTAACATTTGCTGTTTTAAATTGACTAATAATTTTTTCTAGCAACCCAACTGGGACCAGAAGCATTCAGATTTGATCCCAACAATGAAGCTAAGGCAACTCGGCCCAATGAAAAATATTATATTCTTAGACCAGAAGTTATAGAGACTTATTTTTACATGTGGAGGTTTACTAAAGATAAAAAATACAGGGACTGGGCTTGGGAAGCAGTGCAGGTAAGTTTTATATTGTTCCCAGGATACAGATAACTCTTACCCTATATTTTATAGTTTGTATAGTTTTTTTAAAATAGTGCTTTTTTCCAGTATATTGATCATGATAACCTTATTTTTTTGTGCATTAACTTTATTTTTAAAGCACAATACATTTTGATAAAGTAAACGGGAATGAAAATAAAAGAAGATCAATATCACCATAATGGAAGTTTGCACTGTGAAAAGATTACTTACCCTTTATCAACATATGTCAAAGTGTAATGATATGCTGTGACTCATTAATAAAAGTGCTCCAATGTTTGACACTTAGGCACTGGAGAAACACTGTAGGACGGACAACGGGTACTCAGGACTTAAAGATGTGTATAGCACAAACCCAACAAAAGACGATGTACAGCAGAGTTTTTTCCTAGCAGAAACATTGAAGTACCTTTTCTTGATATTTTCTGAAGATGATTTACTGCCCCTTGACAAATGGGTGTTAAATACAGAAGCCCATCCTTTCCCTATAAAAGGAGCCCATTGAATTATTTGAAGTGCAGGAACAGGGCTAGCCAAGGGAGTGCTTCAGAAATAAGGTGATTCTTGCGCAAACCCACCTTACGTAGCTGATGGGGAAAACAGGAGCAAAAGCTGATGCAGTTATGTATGAATATGTACTATTTGGATCAAATGTGCGATATGAATATGCAAAATATTACTTTCTTCCAAATTGAGTCCAGAAAATGTTCTATTCACCTGAACAGGCTGTGATGTGTTATCAACTGTTGGTTACTTGGATTTATTTCACATCTGTCTACATGCAGTAATTTTTATTGGTGACATTTTGCTTTACAACATGTTATTTTTCAACTGAAATTTTAATGACTTCAATATTATCTAATATTGATGTATTTAAGACCAATTAAGCATTGAAATATTTCTTATTAGTACCACCAGCGTGTACGCTGGCGGTACTCATGGTTTTAGTCCCAACCCGTCTCGTACGGCTCCGCCGGCTCATGCGGCTCNTCCATAAAAATAAAAAAGTGTGGCCTAACATTTGCTGTTTTTAATTGACTAATAATTTTTTCTAGCAACCCAACTGGGACCAGAAGCATTCAGATTTGATCCCAACAATGAAGCTAAGGCAACTCGGCCCAATGAAAAATATTATATTCTTAGACCAGAAGTTATAGAGACTTATTTTTACATGTGGAGGTTTACTAAAGATAAAAAATACAGGGACTGGGCTTGGGAAGCAGTGCAGGTAAGTTTTATATTGTTCCCAGGATACAGATAACTCTTACCCTATATTTTATAGTTTGTATAGTTTTTTTTTAAATAGTGCTTTTTTCCAGTATATTGATCATGATAACCTTATTTTTTTGTGCATTAACTTTATTTTTAAAGCACAATACATTTTGATAAAGTAAACGGGAATGAAAATAAAAGAAGATCAATATCACCATAATGGAAGTTTGCACTGTGAAAAGATTACTTACCCTTTATCAACATATGTCAAAGTGTAATGATATGCTGTGACTCATTAATAAAAGTGCTCCAATGTTTGACACTTAGGCACTGGAGAAACACTGTAGGACGGACAACGGGTACTCAGGACTTAAAGATGTGTATAGCACAAACCCAACAAAAGACGATGTACAGCAGAGTTTTTTCCTAGCAGAAACATTGAAGTACCTTTTCTTGATATTTTCTGAAGATGATTTACTGCCCCTTGACAAATGGGTGTTAAATACAGAAGCCCATCCGTTCCCTATAAAAGGAGCCCATTGAATTATTTGAAGTGCAGGAACAGGGCTACCCAAGGGAGTTCTTCAGAAATAAGGTGATTCTTGCGCAAACCCACCTTACGTAGCTGATGGGGAAAACAGGAGCAAAAGCTGATGCAGTTATGTATGAATATGTACTATTTGGATCAAATGTGCGATATGAATATGCAAAATATTACTTTCTTCCAAATTGAGTCCAGAAAATGTTCTATTCACCTGAACAGGCTGTGATGTGTTATCAACTGTTGGTTACTTGGATTTATTTCACATCTGTCTACATGCAGTAATTTTTATTGGTGACATTTTGCTTTTCAACATGTTATTTTTCAACTGAAATTTTAATGACTTCAATATTATCTAATATTGATGCATTTAAGACCAATTAAGCATTGAAATATTTCTTATTTCATTTGGTCATGTTTATATAAGTCCAGTCATTGTAATTTTACAAGAAATGTTTTTTTCATTCATGAATATTAATCACAGTTCAGGTATATATAACTATAAATATGTCACCTTTAACAAAAGATATGGGACTTTCCATTTATCTTTCTGTAGTCAGTGCATAATTGAATTTATGCTCGTGTTTTCTTCCCAAAGAGAGTGTAATATTTGCTTTGAAGCATGGATCATTTAATGATTGCAAGTTGTTTTTGTCCATTAAGTTGTTCCTTATAGGAAAAGGACCAAAATTTTCCAGGTATTTATGAGTGCAAGTGGACGAAGTGTATAAAACTGGTGTTATATTGCAGTCTGCAGGAGTATTAGAACTAAGAGAAAACTTGTGCAAAATATTAGGAAAGTATGTAATATAAGTAGCATGTTTTGTTTATGCAAAAGAGTTGTTAAAGTATAGAAATTGGTTGTGTTGTTTTCTTTGGTTTAAAAGCCGAGAATAAAAAAAAACATTGTGTTTGGTTTAACTTATTTATGATGTCTTACTATGAGTGGTCTGATTGTAGATTGTATTTCTCATAGGGCACCAGATGGTTTTGTTTTAAGTAAAAGAATTTTAGACTTTTGTTTTGGTCAGTATGTTATTTTGTTCTGCTACCTAGTTGATATCACTTTTCTGAGGTAGGCCAAACAGCATATTGACATTGACCAAAGTTTATAATGTATATCATTCTTCTAAAACTACAAGAAAGAAAGGATAAGATGTGTAAGGATAATGTGTAGTTAAGTTGATAAATTATCTGAAATGAGAGCCTTTGTTTCATAAGCTCACATATATAAATATAGTTTTATAAGTTACATGTATAAACAGAAGTTGTGACATAATAAGTATAAACTTATTAGTTACATAAAATGGTGCCAGTGTTTGATTTTCACCATCATGGCAGTTTGAAGTGTAGTTCAGTTTGAAATCTTAAGCAATCATGAATGTGTTTTGGTTAAGTATGAAGTTCTTTGCAAAAAGTTTGTAAAAATGTCAATCTCAAGTTATAATTTGACTACATGTGGCAGTTGTTTGCTTGCCTACAGTACTTGTCATTTTGTCTTCTTGAAGTTGAATATACAGATAGATATACAAAGAAACTAGGAAGTCATTGGATGGACAGTAAAGTATTACTATTTTGAAAAGAAGAGTCAAGCTATTAGTAATAGCATGGTGCAACAGATTTAAAGCAGCTGCATTCATCGTCAGTGTTTCAGCATTTGGAATTGTACTTGTGTGCAGTTTGGTGCCTGCTCAAGTATTATTTTATCATGGCAATATGTAAATATGAAGTTTGTAGCATGTACTGTAGACAAAAGCAGTATTGGAATTTGAAACTTTAATGGACAAAATTTCTGGCATTAAGATACAGAGATATGTACGACATCAATGTTTTGGAGAAACTTATGTCTGGTATATCGGTTGTTCCTTTGTGAAGTTGATTTTTAAGACAGTTTGGGTTTTAGTGCAATGTATATTGATTTTGTGATTAAAAGAATGAATTGTAGTTTTTCTGAATTAGAGAATTATATGGCAAAGAATTGAAAAATGAAATAAATTCTGTTCATTTAATGTGTGCTCCATAAGAATACTTCACAAACTGTAACTGCCTGGTCAAATTCATGTTCAGTCATAAATTGTAAATATGTCATATTATCAGTTGACCTGGTAATCAAAGACCTGTTATATTGATGATATTTTATGTTAATAAATGGATTTCAGAATGATAATTTTTCATTATTTGAACATCTTGCATGAAAAAAAACTTAAGTAATTGGTTAATTTTTTCTACTGAAAAGGCAAGTATATCAAAATGTTTTTTATTTCTTATACTTATCACTCACCAAATTTGGCATTCAGCAGTATGTAAATAATCCNTATAAATATGTCACCTTTAACAAAAGATATGGGACTTTCCATTTATCTTTCTGTAGTCAGTGCATAATTGAATTTATGCTCGTGTTTTCTTCCCAAAGAGAGTGTAATATTTGCTTTGAAGCATGGATCATTTAATGATTGCAAGTTGTTTTTGTCCATTAAGTTGTTCCTTATAGGAAAAGGACCAAAATTTTCCAGGTATTTATGAGTGCAAGTGGACGAAGTGTATAAAACTGGTGTTATATTGCAGTCTGCAGGAGTATTAGAACTAAGAGAAAACTTGTGCAAAATATTAGGAAAGTATGTAATATAAGTAGCATGTTTTGTTTATGCAAAAGAGTTGTTAAAGTATAGAAATTGGTTGTGTTGTTTTCTTTGGTTTAAAAGCCGAGAATAAAAAAAAACATTGTGTTTGGTTTAACTTATTTATGATGTCTTACTATGAGTGGTCTGATTGTAGATTGTATTTCTCATAGGGCACCAGATGGTTTTGTTTTAAGTAAAAGAATTTTAGACTTTTGTTTTGGTCAGTATGTTATTTTGTTCTGCTACCTAGTTGATATCACTTTTCTGAGGTAGGCCAAACAGCATATTGACATTGACCAAAGTTTATAATGTATATCATTCTTCTAAAACTACAAGAAAGAAAGGATAAGATGTGTAAGGATAATGTGTAGTTAAGTTGATAAATTATCTGAAATGAGAGCCTTTGTTTCATAAGCTCACATATATAAATATAGTTTTATAAGTTACATGTATAAACAGAAGTTGTGACATAATAAGTATAAACTTATTAGTTACATAAAATGGTGCCAGTGTTTGATTTTCACCATCATGGCAGTTTGAAGTGTAGTTCAGTTTGAAATCTTAAGCAATCATGAATGTGTTTTGGTTAAGTATGAAGTTCTTTGCAAAAAGTTTGTAAAAATGTCAATCTCAAGTTATAATTTGACTACATGTGGCAGTTGTTTGCTTGCCTACAGTACTTGTCATTTTGTCTTCTTGAAGTTGAATATACAGATAGATATACAAAAAAACTAGGAAGTCATTGGATGGACAGTAAAGTATTACTATTTTGAAAAGAAGAGTCATGTTATTAGTAATAGCATGGTGCAACAGATTTAAAGCAGCTGCATTCATCGTCAGTGTTTCAGCATTTGGAATTGTACTTGTGTGCAGTTTGGTGCCTGCTCAAGTATTATTTTATCATGGCAATATGTAAATATGAAGTTTGTAGCATGTACTGTAGACAAAAGCAGTATTGGAATTTGAAACTTTAATGGACAAAATTTCTGGCATTAAGATACAGAGATATGTACGACATCAATGTTTTGGAGAAACTTATGTCTGGTATATCGGTTGTTCCTTTGTGAAGTTGATTTTTAAGACAGTTTGGGTTTTAGTGCAATGTATATTGATTTTGTGATTAAAAGAATGAATTGTAGTTTTTCTGAATTAGAGAATTATATGGCAAAGAATTGAAAAATGAAATAAATTCTGTTCATTTAATGTGTGCTCCATAAGAATACTTCACAAACTGTAACTGCCTGGTCAAATTCATGTTCAGTCATAAATTGTAAATATGTCATATTATCAGTTGACCTGGTAATCAAAGACCTGTTATATTGATGATATTTTATGTTAATAAATGGATTTCAGAATGATAATTTTTCATTATTTGAACATCTTGCATGAAAAAAAACTTAAGTAATTGGTTAATTTTTTCTACTGAAAAGGCAAGTATATCAAAATGTTTTTTATTTCTTATACTTATCACTCACCAAATTTGGCATTCAGCAGTATGTAAATAATCCGTATGCCTGGAAGTAGAAAAAATATATTAATGATGGTATGAATTTAATGGCTATGGGTACTTTCTTTATTTCATTTTATAAATATACTTTTTTGGGAGGGAGGGGGAGACTGATCAGTTTTTTCAAGGGCAAACCACAGTACAAAGACTCATTGTGGTAGCTGTGAAAGTGAGAATTTTACTAGAGGTGGGACGTCATGTGGTTATTTGGTCCAATAAAAAGTCGACCTTGATCTTGTCCGTAGATCTACCGCTGAGGATGAACGACAACGATGAGCAATGAGGAATGTGGGGCAAAATCTTCTGTTCGTGAGACACAATAATGTCGTTGTGATTGAGAAAGGGAAGATTGCACAATTTTTAAAAAGGCACGGCGGACTTTGCTATGTCGTGTAAGTTATTCGTGGAGTTTTTGTATAATTTAATTCTGTGATCAACAACACGTACTCTTAGCCTCAAACTCGAAGGTGGTGGGGGGGGGGGGGGTCGAAAAATTGTGAATTTTACAGATACTGTATTTTTTAAGTCATAATTTCCTAAAATAAGAGCATTCCTATTGAGTGGTTACAACAAAATTTCAAAGCACACTACCTTATAGTTCTAATCTATGTATTAAAAGTACCACAAATGTTATAAAAATGATGTATCTGATAATTTTTGGTCATTGAAAAGATCGAGTCATTACCGTATGTTGTGACAGGATGGTAGCTGACAGTGGTGGAAATTTTCAAAGACCAAGAGATTCATTCTGTATCTGGGAGACTCACGGATTATCCGAGAGAGTTGACATGTATGCCTTCACACACACACACACACACACACACACACACACACACACTACCAGTTCATAACTAGTTTTCTTATATTCTGCAGTTAACCTAAGGACGAACTTAGTAATGGACGTGGAAGGCATCCCATTACCTGGAGCCAAGGGGTTAGTATTGAAGATGTTTTTGGTTATTTGAACAACAGTATGACTGTTTTATTCTGCCAGTTGATGCACAAAACCTTATAGGATAAAGATATGCAGGTACATTTACAGCCAGGTAACAGTCTGATAAAGATAAACTCACTATAAGCAGTATACTCAGTATAATCCTGCAGTTCCAACTTCCTAGAAGTAATTCGCAGTCCCATACTGTTGTAATAGCAGTGCCTGGGAGACAAAAGTGATGGCATTTATTACCTCTGGTGAGCTTGGCTAACCGGACAGCCTATGCAGTTGATGTGCCTTTGCCAAATAGGCCTTATTTTAGATTTGCTATTGTCTCAAACCATATTCAGAATGGATAAGGATTTTTGAAGCTTTGTGTTGTAGTTATGATTTCAAACATTAAGCTTAATGCCTATAATATAAATTACACATAGAAATTTAAATAGTTTTTTTATTGAGTACTTTCAAAAGTTTTATTACATCTTGAAATTACTTCTCAGGTCCATAGAAACCTCTGCTGTGGAAGAAATACCTTTACCCAAAAATACCAGTGCACCACAGGAATCCCACAAGCAAAAAACCAGGCCAATCAAACTGATACGTAAAAAGCTGGAGGAACTTCAACAGAAAAAGAATTCCACTTCAGTGTCCACATCAGTGGTACCAACAACCACTTCGGTTCCAACCCCGGCAGTAATGACAGAGATTTCACAGAAGCCTGCCCTCCCCATATCTGTTCATGTGAAAACTAAGTTGAATGAGGAGGCCAATACAAATGATGCAGAGGATAAAACGGAGAGCAGTAGATTGGAAAAATTGGAAAGAGAGAGACAAATGAAAGCAGAACAAGCCAAAGTTGTGGATGACTTATTCAAGGAGTTCCTGACTAAAAAAATGCTGGAGATAGAACAAGAGAAAACAAGAGACAGGGAAGGGAATAGGCAAATAGAGGAAGAGAGCAAAGATAAAAAGAAGAGTAAAAAGGGAAAACATAAACACAAAGATAAGAAAAAAGAAAGAGAATCATCAAGCGAGAAATATCAGACTAGCAAGCATGATGAGAAAGGAAAGAAAAGAAAGCACAGAGATAAAAGTGAAGATAGACCAGAAATTGACGGTCGTAGAGACAGTGGACGAAAGGAACATTACAGAAAAAGTAAAAAGAGTAAAGATTCACAAATGTCAGAAGATGATGAAAGAAACTTTTCCCATGAAGATAAAAGTAAAAAGAGCAGGACCAACGAGAATACAAAATCTGAAAGTGAATCTAGGAACTATGAGAAAGAAACAGTTCAGAGTAGAAAATCAGATGTTTTAGGGCTACATTTTTCTGAGGATGGGAAAAGGGCTCAAATAGATGACATTACTTGTACTGTTGGTCAAAACAATGACGAGCGTTTTGTACAAGTTACACAAGATGTTTCAAAAGGAAATGAAAACATTGATATAGATCCTATGGAGCCTGTTGAAGGAGAAGAAAATTTTGTCCCACCTAACAGAGAACCCAAACAGGAAGCAGAAGAAGATCAACAGGAGACTAAGACAGAAATACTACCTCAAGAGCCCAAGAAAAAACTTGGTATTGCTTTAAAGATCTCAGACTCTAGTTCTGCCTTCATCAAGTCTGGAGAAAAATGGATGGATGAGGAAACGAGGAAAAATTCGGAAGAGGGTATGCCATTCCCACTCAGAATTATATATATGAAAAAGTAAACATGATGTTTATAAATTTTTAACTTCAATTTTACTTTTTTTTCTTTTTTTTTTTGTTATTTTGATTTGAACCAATTTCTTATCAAAAAATGAAATCATTGACTCTGTTGTATTTTTATTCCAGGACAGCTGTCTGACTCTGAGAAGTCTGAAGAAAAATCATCCGATGATGATTTTGATTTTTTGTCAGATTCTCTTGGAGAAGCAGATTCAAACAATGACGGATCATTAGAAGAAGGAGAGATTGATACTGAGGGAGCAAAGTCAAAGAGCAAAAAGAAAAAGAAAAAACATAAGAAGAAAAAGAAGAAGAAAAACAAGAATAAGGAAAAAGGAAAAGAAGACAAGCCTTTATCTAGGTCTAGGTATGTTCTTTTTATTTTCAGCTGTGTTTGCAAGATAAGAATTTGTTTGAAAAATTTCGTTTCTCAAGATTCCTCATTTTATAAGTTATCTTTATTACTTCTGTACTTTTGCCTGACAAGTAGATGGTGTGTTCGGGATTAATTTTGAATGGTTTCAATAGTTGGAAGCAAACTTATGAAAAGAACCCCCCCCCCCCCCCCCCCCCCCCCCAAATAAAAAAAAAAAAATTAAAATTAAAAATTCGAACGTTAAAAAATCATAAAAAATAATGCTTTAGTGAAAAAACACCAATTTTTCCATTGGTTTGAATGGGGACTAGTGCGATATGCAGGGTGTAACATATTAGGGCGTAGTTCTCTTATTTGGTCGGTGACCCCCAAATTTTTGTGCAAATTTTTAATGTACTTGGGTGTCTCTTCAAACCAAAAATATTTATATTTTTAAAAATTCGAACGTTGGAACATGTAACGACCGATCTACCTTTACAGTTCCGCACCTATAGCAGCTCCTTATGTTTAGCAGCCTCACGCGGTTAGCAGGGGAAGTGCTTAGCCAATGTGCTTAGCTTGTGATTGACTTATTATAGATTCATATGCCGGTGAAGCTAAACACATAGCTAAACGTGTAACACTGCCAACGTGTCTTACTTTTTCTTCTGTTAAACGCTTGAAAAGCTATACGTGCTTAACTTTTACACTTATTTCTAAATGCATATAGGTGCTTAACGTGTCTTGTGTGTATTGAAATGCTAAACACTGTTTTTACAGTGTGTAAGTACAGATTCTTGTTAATTTAAGAAAGTTAAACATTGAANAAATTTTTAAAAAGTTTGAAAAAAAATAAAAAAAAAACCCCCCCCCCCCCCCCCCCCCAAAAAAAAAAAAAAAAAAATGGCAACATTACATTGCAAAATTATTGTTAGGACCTGTCAAAATATTGCGATACTAATAAGTATACTGCAAAATATGAAAGAGCCTATATGAACTTTATCTCACCCATTTCTCTTTGTAGATCAAGAACCCCTAAAAGTGGCCGGTCACCTAGGTCCAAGTCACCCTCTGGTTTTGACAGAAAGTCTGGAGTTTGGAGGTCAAGATCCCGCAGCAGAGATAAGGAAAGGCTAAAGAGGTCAAGGTCAAATAGTAGAGACAGGTCAAGGTCAAAAAGGTCTAGATCACACAGCAGGGATAGAGACAGGTCAAAGAGAAGCAGAGATGATGGGAGGGGTCATAACACTGACAGGCGCCATAGGAGAAGCAGTGAAAGACAACACAAAGATGATGAGAAACTGAGGAGAGATGGTCGTGATTGGGAGAGACGTCATAGTCGAAGGTTAGTATATCAAAAACTAATGCACATGTCTCCTTGTGACTGAGAACTCAAAGCACACAATCCAAGCCAAAAAATTATTTACAAATTTCTGTTCAAACCCTAGTGTTTTAATACATGATATATCTAAAATTATTAATTTTTTTGTGTATGCTTGTATTTTCTATTACAGTTCCTTTTAGATAAGTCAAGATTATGATTTATTTTACATTGTAAAAGAAAAAAAAATGTGCACTTTACTTTGATTTCTTTGCTTTCAGATCAAGATCTTTATCCAGAGAAAGGCGCAGGCGCTCGCGAAGTCCAGATGACTTGCGACTGACCATTGATAAAGCCAGACTGAGACAAATTGCAATGTGAATACTTTTGATATTGTAAATAAGCATCAAAATGAATGNCATATCATTAAATAAAATTTTATTAGACAAAACTAGCTATTTAATGAGGAAGGAAGTAAGTTAAGTAGATTTTTAAATTAAAAGGAAAACTTTGTCATTTATATATTAAAGCGTACCAGACTGCTTAGATTTTTGCTTGTTTACAGACAAAATGCCATGGCAAATGCAAAATCCGGACAAGGACCTCCTGTCTCTCTAAAGCCAGAAATGCTAGCTGAACTCAGAGCTGGAGGAAAGTCAGTTGAAGAACTAACAGGTAAGGGATTATTTATAGTGACATTAAAAATTTTTTTCTTTAAATTTATAAATCCATCTTTTTTTCTTTTTTGTTACAATAGATAATTATAAACATTGCACCAGATGACATGAACAAAAAGCCCTTCTTCAAAAGGGCTCCTTTTAAGATGGAATGTGATATGCAGTGTATAGTTTTCATCAAACATTTACTTATTTATATATAACAGACATGTGCAAGCGGTTGGCCAAAAAGGCAGAGGGAGGTGGAGAAGATTTATCCAGTGATTATGAAGTTAATAACAAACCCTATGAATCTGATGAGGGAGAAGATGGACCCTTCATCAACCACCCCTTTAAAGTGGCAAAAGCTCCTATTATGATGAATATTAAGGTTTGTTACTCTCTGTTATGTCGTAATCCACTTTAAAGGTTTTACTTTTTTATTTCTTGGTAGATAAAATATCTGCCTACCTTTTTCCATTGGGAATATGATCTGAAACTTGGCATGCCCTGCTTTCCACATGACAGTTTTAGAAAGTATGTCAGGTATGTTATTTAATACACAAGTTTGAACCAAAGTATCCTACATTCCAGAATGCCACCCAGCTCCCTGTGTTGACCCCTGCTGAGAAAGCTGCCCAGGGTTCTGCCCTTAGACTGACTTTTCCAGTGTCCAGTGGCAGCCATCACAGGGCCAAAGAGTCTGAGTGGGTCCCTGTAGAGAAAGAAGGCATAGATCCCAACACAGGGGGTGTCACCAGGACCATTGCTATGGCTAAACAAACAGAGAAAGTCTTTGAGGAAGTGAACAAGGTTAGTTTATGCTTTACATATTATATGATGAGCAGTTGTATCTATTGCCCTGGTAAACACTTTGAGAATATGTTACAGGAAGGTCCTCAAGTTGGTTTTGGTTGTTTTGAAAATTGCTTGAAACAATATTGACTTTTACAGGGTACATAATTTTTGTATTACAGTCAATAGATGTTGGTTCTATTGTAACTGAACGCCTGCGAGCTGTGAGAAAATTGCAGGACAATCCTCATGATGTGGAAGCTCTTGGGAAGATGTTTGAAGCCAATCAACAGGTAATGGTGGACATTTCTATTGCACAATGAACACAAATTGTTGCCTTACAATTTTTTGCAAGGAGTAATTTAGCAAACTCAAAAAATAAATCATGTACAAAAGATAATTTCATGTTATATATTATAATTGAAAATATTTGCCTATTTTTCATGAATTTTTTGGTAATTTCATGAAAACCTAGTTGTATGTCTAATTTAACACTAATTGCTTGTGAAAAAATATGCATGATAACAGCATGATATTTAGCAGTAAATGTCTGGCTGTCAATTTTTAATTAGAATTAAAAAAACTTGTTGGTAAATTCCAGATGACACAGTGGGCCAATTCCAAGTACCTTCCAGGTGCGTTCACTGGCACAACAGGAGCTACAGTGCTCAGTCAGCAGGAGTTAACAGGTGATCCAAAAAAGCAGGCCTGGCTCAGGAAGGTATGGATATCTCCATTACTTAGTATTTGATGAGAATATATAAATATATACTATGCTTCTGGTGTGTGTTTATCAAAAAATATTACATCCCATTACCAGTGGCCATTATGCCATGAAATGCATATTTTGAGTTTTTTTTCTGCTGATTTCAAAATGGTTAAATCCAAAAAGGTTTATACTGAGGACTGTTTGTTTATTCAACTCTTTTTTGTGAGTTGTAAGGTTAAGACTGAGCTTTGTTGCAAGGTGAAAGGTTTTAGGGTTTGCATGTTTTAGTATAGGTTTGCATGAGTTATCTGTCAAAGTGAATTTTTTGGCAAACACACACTTGAAGTCATGAAGAGAAGCATTTCAGATGATGCAGTCCGTGTGAATGTAGTTCAAGTGATGAAGACAAGAAGACCTGACTTTCTTTCCTGTCCTGTTGTTGCATCTTGCCTACCCTACAAGTGGTATGGTAGCAGTTGAGATGCAATGCTTATGAGAGTGTCTGATAAATGGGAGGCACTTGTTTCAGGACACATGCTAATTATGTTTTAACTAAGGGTGATAAGCAAAAGGCTGCTGAGTTTTTTTCAGGGGGCATCTTAGCATGGGAAATGAAATATATTCCCTTGCTAAGACACCACTAATCTGGAATCCTGTGATGGGAAATTCGCTTTCCCATGGCAGGATTCCACATTGGTGAGCTACAACAACAATTCTCCAGTGGTGGGATTCTTCACAAATTGCAAAGATATTTTGAACAGTATTTGAGCTGAGGTCTAAATAAATGGGTCCGAAAATAGATCTGCTCTTGTTGAGAGTATGCTTTTGGTTTTGTAATGAATTTGAAATATATGAAAATCATCAGTGTGTTTGTACATATCCATGTAGTCCCACTGCTGTGATCATTATCAGTGAATTGACTTTGGTTTCAAAGATGCCAAGAAGGACATAACTTAAAAGAATTATTGCACGAACTAATTGCGTACACTGTTTCTAAAACCCGTTTAAGTTTCATTTTAGAAAGAATACATAAAATATGTTAGAAAACAATGAGTTCATACCTTCAACTTGGTGATCTTGTTTTATGTGGCCAGATTCAGTTTCACCAGAAAATGGTCTTGCACTGTTTCCACATGTATTTGGCTCAAACATTTTACAGCCAGTTATATGTGAAATGAGTGCATTGAAAGCTTGTTGTAGGATCACTTGTTACCTGCCAGCTATACAGACACAACTGTTTGTGCCAGTGTAATCTTACATATGCTCACGACCTGGGAGACCTAAGACTACTGTTTTGCTACTTCCTGTCAAGTGTGGGTAAGTTCTCATTACAGAAACCATCCAATAGGAAACAGCACTTTGAAACATTTTATCAAGGTTCTGACTTCTCGGTGTTTCTGTGATGAGAGTCGTGACTGAGGTGATTTAGTTAACAAAATGCTGAAAATGACCCTGAAATTTTCTTGATTGTATGACTATAGGACAGTTTTGAAAATCAAATTACCCAAAAGTAGTATTTTGGTTAAAAGTTATCTTTATGTGGAATAACAGCTTTGTAAAAGATTCTAATCAGTACTAAAATTTGTCTTATTGCCAGATCTTTTGTATTCTGCCTAAAGCGTAATTTTTTTAATAAACATAGCATGATATTTTGTTTTTTTCAGTTGTGCTGTTAACAAAAATTACATTTGTAAATTGTTTAATTTGAAACGACTATTCAAGAGATTGCATTTTAAATGTTCCACCATATTCAACATCCAGTCCTTTCCTTTCATACTACACATTAAAACATGTCATATTACAAGTATTATGTTTTTGTAAATGTTAAGAGTTGTTCACATTTATTCTTTGTAAAGTACAGATATCATAAATCTAATGCATAATGAAAAAATGAACACCTATAAAAAAGACAAGAAGAAAACATTTAACCTGGCATTGATTTAATGTGTATATTGTAGAACCAGCTGGTGAATGCCCTTCCACTACAGGGTGGGGTAGGGATGCTATTACTACGGAAGATGGGCTGGAAGCCTGGAGAGGGCCTAGGGAAGAATAATGAAGGTCCCAGTGAACCTCTTATGTTGGACGTCAAAATGGACAGAAAAGGTAAGCTTATAATCATCTAATATTTTGTGTATTGCAGCATAAAGAAGTGGTCTGTATTGTGGATATATATACTTAAAGGTACCATAATTTATGTTATATATGCTCTTTTGTCCATGTAATATCATGTGGCAATCCTGGAGAATTACAAGCCCCTTGGAACTAGTGGAAATTTTAACAATTATATCTATTAGTAGCTATTTTGTTTAGTCCAAAAAGGACTCCAACAAAAGCCTTAGTATACAGTTCATTTGTTGTAGCAGTGAATAGAATGAATACTTTAGAGCATAAAATTCAGACTGCTTACAGTTTCACATATGAACTATTTCAGGATTGTATGGAGAAGGAGAAGGACCCAAGAAAGCACCTGTGGCAAAAATGCCAAAAGATTTATCTGGTAAGTTAAAAAAAAAAAAACATTGTGTAAACAGTGGAAAAGTTTTTTTTTTTTTTTTTCAAATTTAAATTGTTGATAAATACATAGAAATAATATATATAAATATAATTTGATTCAACTCACTTTAATAAGGATTTCTAAATGAGGGAGCAAATGTATTTCTTGATGCTGACACTTCCTTTGTGACTTAAATAATATTGCTGTATTTTGATGTCTAGGTAAACATCCTGTGTCTGCACTGGTTGAACTGTGTAATAAAAGAAGATGGGGATCACCAAACTTTCAGCTCGTTTTTGAAGAAGGACCATCTCACAAAAAGAATTTCCTGTTCAAAGTATGAAACAATTTACCACTTTCTGTTTTAATAAATGTACCGAATAACAATATTAAAACGTTTTATTCAATAGTTAGGAATTTGGGTAAAAAATGCAATAGAAATTTATATTATTCCAATGAGAAAGCTTCTGTATTTTTTAAACAATATCAGATGAAGTAACTTATAGCTAGTATTTAAATGGGAATTTTTTTTACTGCAGGTGAAAGTCAACAACACAGAGTACCAGCCATCAGTGGCATGTAACAATAAGAAAGCAGCCAAAGCTATGGCTGCCACAGTATGTCTGCAAGCCATGGGTCTGGTGCCAAGGGACAGTGCCACATAGAACAATTTCTCAGAACTCAATTTACATGTGTAATATACAAGATAATAGCAAAGTTTTCAATGGTCTATATGGCAAAGCAGTAACAAAGTGAAGAGGACGTTTTACCTATTCTTTTGCCATAATGTCAGATATATGAATGTTCTAAGAACCAGCATACCACCTGATCAGAACTGTTTGTTCAGTGCATCAGAGACACTCAATTTTATTGAATATTTTTTTTTGTCATTCTTCAGAGTCACTTAAAATATATTTTAGAAAACATTCATGTCAGTCTTATTTTTTCAAATGGGTTTTATACAAAAACAATACAACAGAAGTTATAGTGTTAATACTAAAAATATAAAAACTATCATTGAAAACTTAAAAAGGTCTTCAAATCTTAATTGATTCTCACTTTTTTTTCATACTTCAGGTCTATTAAATATATTAATTTGAAAAAAAATGTTTGTGTAAGAAGAGTGGCACTTCAAAGTTTTTGGTACATTTATCTACACCTTTTTATGTACAGACACAGATGTGTCTGTACATATTGCTATCACCTGCGTCTGTCGTCGCCGTCGCCGATCATGTCGCCGTCGCAGTCGCCGTGCACTTTCAGCGTTAANCATTTTCTTCCATTTCTGGCAATTCCTATTCATCAAAATAAAATGTTAACAAAAAGAAAAACATGACACACTTGAAAAATAGATTGGTTATGAGTTTCATATAAATTTGAACATATCACAACAAAATAAAATTGAGAGCATTTCTTTATGTATTAAATTATCTACATGAATTTACAAGTTTAAAATCGTTTATAACAGTATATTATTCACAATATGTTAAATAATTTTTATCATTAATAAAAGAGCCTGGTAAACATTCAATTATTAAAAATGGAGTAAAACCACAAATTTTCAAATGAAGGAACAGTTCAAGGTGTACCATGAATTCAAGTCATTGTCCAGGAATACAATAACCCATCACAAGCTATTTCTCGAATTGCCTGTTTTTCTATGTTTTTTCCATCCTTGATATAGTGTTCAACATCCAATGGATCAACAACGGTATCCAAACTACCAGATTTTTTGACAGTCATAATGCCATTGAAAGGCACCGTTGGCTCATGTACATGACAGACAGCAGAAAATTGCTGTTCCTGTGAGCTTTCAAAGAGTCTGCACAGTTTGAATAGTGTGTGAGGGAGGATGGGACCAACTACCTCCACCATGAAAACTGTGTTGGTGCTGCCATCTGTGGCCTGTTGTCGAACTTTTCCTTGATGAACCTGATGGGGGAGAAAAGCAATTGCCCGTAAGCTTATCATGGTAAAGATTGCAATGGAAATGAACAAGACAGTGTAATTTACCACAAATAATCCATCTTTAAGTCAAAAAGAATTAACATTTTTTGTTCTGTCAATAAAATGACATACTGAATTTGTTTACTTTGGAGGTAAGAAATTTCTTATCAAAATATGAAATTTAAGAACAAATCTATTATTTTAATATATATATATATAAAAAACAAACTTACTTTTAAACTCTTCAAAGTAGCTCCCTTAAAAGCCACAGGGGACAGGATGGTGGGCGGAATCCCAGTCTGAGCACCAGTATTGGCTATACAGCTTTTGCAGTTCAACAGGAAGTTATACAGAGCCTGCACTTCATTGCCTTCCACATATACTGTAGACTCTGGTCTATTGTCAATGGCACGGAAACCTTCACGCTGACTGAGACAAGTTAAGGTCTACCAACAATGTGACTCAAATGAAATTAATATAGCTAATTTCTTGACGCTCATAATACATAAAAATCTTAATGAAGAGCAATTTAAGATCTTCTTCATAAACTTATGTTTCATGATTCAATACTAAAATAAAAGATACAGTTTGACTTTTGTAGCCTCCAGTTCAGGAAACTTGGTTTTATCCACGCCTAGACTCTCAAGCCATGTTTGTGCACCCCCATCTGTGTCCTCTATATCTTCTTCTACGTGATCTTCTGCTGCATCATCTTCTGGTGCTAGTGGACTTCTACTGGCACTTTCATCAGTAGCAGATACTTTGTCCTTTTGTTCACCTTCAGCGTTTGCCTGGGAATTGGGTATTTGGTTACTGCTGCTTTGTCTAGCTGGTCTAAGGGGCAAGGTGAATTCTATTCCTAAAAAATCCCAATAATACATTAGTAATGTATAATACTTCTTTGAACCTCAAACTAAATGGATTACAATAATCAACAAGTTAGACCCCATTTCCAGAGATTAGATCAATCTACTTTAGATCGACCTAACTCCCTGGGGGTTCACGCTAAATAGCTGTCAGCCAGGCGGACACAAAAGTTAATTACCCCCTTACAGCTTGTAGTAGGCGGGACGGACATTTAAACCGGATTATCTGACAGTAATCTAGTGAGACTACCCGCGGGGATAGATCGATCTAAAAGCTCTGGGAATACAGCCTTACACATCTCTTAAAATGTTCATTAAGACCATTCTGATGAACACTTTGCTTTACATTGTACATATATTGTATTGTATTTATATCGTGTTGTGCGTCAACTGCATAAATAAACCCATACACACCATAAACATTTATCATGATAGAAAGCCTTACCTTCAGCTTGCATTGCCTCCCTTAAACCTCGAGTAGAGGGTGTGAGAATAGCGTCCATGTCAGTGCTGCCACCTATCCCTGCTGCACGAAACAGCACACTGAACTGATGTGTACATACGTAGAAATAGGGACACAAATTTGCCCTGACAAGCTGAAACACTGAAGTGAAGCTTTCAATCCTAAAACGCAAATAATATCATGAGTAATATTCCTGTCAGCCAAAAAAAAAAAGCATTTATCTATCAATAAAACTTATAGAGCAAGGATATTTTCTAAATACTTTCACTTACCAATCTGCCAACAAATGTTTTCTGATATCTTCATCAACAGTAAGAGTATTAGGATTACTGAAATGACAAAAGAGACTGCTTTCATGTACTTTTTTGCATTTTAAAAATATCAAGACAGTTAACATCCATCATTAAGGTTATAGTACATCAACTGTTGGAAATTACAATTATATGTACTTGCACTTTTATCAAAATCATTGAATATACTTGTTTTAGGCCAAGTGCTGTTATTGCACTTAAAAACAGTCATGAGAAAAGAAAAGAAACCAACTCCAAATGGATTTACAAGCACCCTTCAAACATAACTTGGTGCTGACAATAAAAAGGCACTGACTGCAATTCACATCTTAAGGTAGATCGGTCGTTACATGTTCCAACGTTCGAATTTTTTTAAAAAAAATTTTGTTTGAAGAGACACCCAAGTACATTAAAAATTTGCAAAAAAAATTGGGGGTCACCGACCAAATAAGAGAACTAGGCCCAAATATGATACACCCTGCATATCGCACTAGTCCCCATTCAAATCAATGGGAAAATGGGTGTTTTTTCACTAAAGCATTATTTTTTATGACTTTCTGACGTTCGAATTTTTAAAAAAAATTTTTTGTGTAAAGAGGCCTCCAAGTACATTTAAATTTTGCCAAAAAAATTGGGGGTCACCGACCAAATAAGAGAACTACGCCAAGTTGAAGTGCATTACACCTTGCGTGACGCACTAGTCCCCATTCAAATCAATGGGCAAATGGGTGATTTTCACCAAAACGTTATTTTTTATGATTTTTCTAAAGTTTGAATTTAAATAAAAAAGTTTTTGTGTAAAGAGGCATCCAAGTGGATTTAAATTTTGCCAAAAAAAATGGGGGTCACCGATCAAATAAGAGAACTACGCCAAGTTGAAGTGCGTTACACCCTGTGTGACGCACTAGTCGGAAGTCCCCATTCAAATCAATGGGAAAATGGGTGTTTTTGCACTAAATCGTTATTTTTATTTTATTTTATTTTTTTTTTAATTTGTGTCTGTGTGTGTGGAGAGACATCTAAGTACATTAAAAACTTTCATTATGTTTAACAGTTGAAGTGAGTATACTCAGCTATTTTCAGATTTGTCATACTGATGCGAAGGTGTAAGCCATTAACTTAACAACCAAATTATTGAAGAGAGTAATAAGGGGAATACTCATGCATATGAAAATAGTTCATTGCTATTGTTATTTATTTATGAATATAACATGAACGTGACATCGTAAACACGGTGTTGTCAAGTAAAATGAAGCGTCTGATACAAAGTATCAAATGCGGCATTCACGTGCTTGCTTGCGGTGCGTTCAGTACACTTTGTTTACACTGACACAGACAAGTAGAGGTCAGAAGTGCACAATTGTTTCTGTATAATATAACGCAGTTTCAATTTTGATTAGTGAATTTTCTTCAAGCTGTATGGCCATTTTCTGAACATTTGTATAAGCTACGAAATATTTCTCAGTCCAAATTTCTCTAAGTCCAAATGAGTGGCGTTACGACGCACTTCCGGTTTTCGTCGAAATCTAAGCTACGGTTTGCAGCAGTACATTCAGGGCGTTCTACCTCAAAATGTACGCAGCCACTTTGATTGGAATTTACAACACTTATTCTTTACATGATATAGCACCTATGTGCATAATTTGTGAGCTTTAGCTGTCATACTTTTTCTAGTGCCAATTCAAATTGGAAAAGGAGCGATTTCTTGAAGGGCAAGTCTATGAACGTGCTACAGTTGTCGTATGGAATCATAGTCGACAATGTTGTCGAAAATCTGTATCGATCATACAGAGTTACAGACAAGTTGATAATGTATGTTTATCTTATAGATAATTGTTTTATTTCCTCAAATTGATAAAACAGACTGAAGTGTCGTTAGAGACGATTGACGATGCGCTAAAATTGCGCAAATCGTCAAATTACGTAACGACCGATCTACCTTAAGGGAGAAATCAATCACACTGAATATAATATAGTTGTCTTGGTCAGAGTCAGAATAAACAACATTCTTGTATTTCACAAAGAAGTCATTTATCCACCTTATTTTGACATCTCCTGTTATCCTTGGAAACATCCTGAGCCAAGGAATGTTAGGGTGGATCCAGTACATGCACGCCTCCTGGAACCGGAGCCCTGACAACGTGCTGTCCTGCAAAAGTACATGGCATCAAAACACCAACTCAATTTACCTTGAGAATGAAAAGTACGAATTTAAAATAAGAGTCTAAAAAAAATTACATACATCCAACCCTAGCATATGGTTCTTGGTGTGATCAGTATCGGCATCAAAATTAATTTGAATAGCATCTGTAGTAATTTATCCTTGTAAAATATCTACAACAACATTAATAGCACATCTATATGGTTTATTCAACAAATGGTCCATCCCACAGAGGTTTTATTTTTCTAAACATTTTTCTTGCTCAGTACTAGCCACTCGAGATCTAACCTTAGCATGTTACTAGGGTAGCTTTAGACACTATTCTTATACAGTGTGGTGGCACTTCTCTTCTAAATTTTTCATATGAATGGATGAGGTGAAAAGTTTTCAGGAAGAGAGTTGTCATGGAGTGACAAATTCTTTGAAATGATCTCAGCCCCTGCACTCACTCACAAGGCTTTGATGTTTAGAGTTTCAGAGGTTATCAATTTTACATGTCTCACCTTCAGTGCTGACCCCTTATGAGGGTTACAACAAGTAAAGTTGACAATCCCACTGGCTTCCTCATTGCCCTTTAAAGCTCCACACCAGGCAAATGACTTAGGGGATGTAAACCTCATTTTAAGGCGTAAACTCCAATCACAGGGTAAGCTTTTTTCTCTTTGCTGCGTTTCATCTGGTTTAACAGGTACCTGAAATATGAAAACCAAGTTCAAACAACTTTAAACTGGAACAATTAACTTACTTGTAAAACACAATAAATGTTTTTAAATTACTGGATTCAATAAAGAGGGTAGTTCTTTTTGTGCGTTACATTTTCTACTGAAACAGCCTATACTGACAAATTGCATGCTCTCTTGTAATTTTTTTCTTCCAAAGTTACAGGTTTAATAGAAATGAAAAAAAAAACATAAGTCTCAATCANAGGGAAAAAACAGCATAAATTCCTTAACAATAATCGAATCATGCTGATTTTCGAACTTGACTTGCGTATTATGAATATTTATCAGTTCTGCAAGTTTCAAGCCAAAAGGTAAATTGATTTCCACTTATGGTGTTATCGGTGCTGCATATATGCTGAAAAAAGTGAAAAAACAGCATAAATTCCCGAAAAATGACCCAATCATGCTGATTTTCGAACTTGACTGGCGTATTATGAATATTCATCAGTTTTGTAAGTTTCAAATCAAAAGGTAAAATGGTTTTCCACTTATCGTGTTATCAGTGCTGCATATATGCTGAAAAAGTGAAAAAACAGCATAAATTCCCTAAAAGTGACCCGATCATGCTGATTTTCGAACTTGACCTGCGTATTATGAATATTCATAAGTTCTGTAAGTTTCATACCAAAAGAAAAAACAGTTTTCCATTTATCGTGTTATCGGTAAAAGTGCACGGCGACGACGGCGACGACAGACGCAGATGAGGGCTATATGTACAGACACATCTGTGTCTGTACATAAAAACATAAGTCTCAATCACACACACACACACACACACACACACACACACACACACACACACACACACACTAAACTGACCTGAGGAAAGGAGTTTATTCTCAAATTTGAACTTTTGGACCCATCATTCCTTTGTAGAAGTGACTCTGTTGTGGTTTTTAAAGCATGGTCAATTCCATCAGTTTCTGAGATCTTAATGAAAACCACAAAGGAAAAATATTACTGAAGAAGGCAATACTAATTTTCTTGCTCTGGGAAAAAATTTATCTATTTATAACCTAATGCAAATTAATAATATTTATCAAATAAAGTGTACACTCAAACTATCTGACACACAAAGGTCCAATATTCATATACTCATCATTTTAAAAATTATCCTTTTGTTAAAAACTGTATATTACATAACATTTCATATTTCAAGATATTTCAACACGTTTACCTGATCTTGATCTAGTACTGAAAACAACCTGGCATCTATCACAGGTTCAGTAGACCTCATGTAACTATCAGGTGCATTGAGCCTTTTATTACTAACTGAGTCCGTGCAGCTAAATGGATTTCTCCTTTTCAAATTTTTTGTGTCATTTTTCAATGAAAGATTCTGAAAAAAAACAACAGCATTAACTTTTTACTCACTGTTTTTACATTGTGTACTGTGTAGTTGACAGAGTGCTTAAACGAATGAGAGCATTTTATTTTTAAAGTATGAGATTAACAACTTGTAAGCAATTACAGTCTTACTTGGACATTGTGTGGTTTGAGAACCACCCGTTGGGATTCTAGTCCAGCAGTCTTCGCTTTCTTCCGTTTCCTCATCTTCATCACCTCTGCTGGATTTTTCCACTTAGGTGGTGACCCATCTGTGCTGGTTTCAGAGTTGGTAGTTTCTAGGGCCATATCCATTAGCAAATAAAATCGTTTATCCACTTGATGTTGATGTTACCAGTGTAGATCTAAAACCTAATATTGTACAAAAATTATACCCGTTTTGAACCAATCTGAATATTTCTGAACCACCTACATTTGTACCGAGTACTTATCAAAAAGAAGATATAACTACAGCATAAGACCATTCTCTGCTCCATGCCGCAGACGTTCAAGCACTGATGCACTTAACTTCCCCAAATTTTCAACTCAACACCGCATTTTCAGCTTCAAGAAAGTGCTTTACTAAAATAGTCGATAAATTTGACTTACCGAACTCCCGCGGGTAATGTCTTCATATAACTCTCGCTTAACTTGGTCTCGATTTAGATAAATTCATGATCTATTGCTCCAAATACAGTAATTTAATCAATCGAAAACGAGGTTTTATCGTGGAGAATATGGCGTCAATATTTATACCGCCTTATACTAAGACCTTACCAATAGAGAGGTTGCCATATTTGTTTAGGAATGTAGTGAAACATTCACGGACACCTGTTTTTTTCTTGCCAAAATGAGGTAAAATTAGACGCACTTTTGCAAATTCGTGACCCCAAGTGTCTTAGGAAAATATTAGAACAATGTAGCGAACGACAACGAACGACATGAGGCGAGCGGACGAACGAAGGGAGAGGCCGGCAGAGCACCTGACAGGGCCTGGTCTTAGTATCGTTGGCATGTCTTTTTTGCTGACATCATGTTCACAGTGGTTTTCTTTTGTGCTGGCGATCTTAGTTTTGGTTCCAAGACCTGCAGCTGGTAAGTTGTTCTTATACCTTCTTTTTGCATTGCCGCGCAGTAATATCCTGGCTGTCAACAGTGTCAACAGAGCATTTCTTTGTAATGTTTTATCCCCCCCCCACCTCATTAATGTTAAAAAATACCTTTGCATATAAACATTTATTCATAATACTTACTGTCTGTTCATCGACCCACTTGCACTTGTGCTGCCAGTTACCTTTCAAATTGCTCAATGATGGCTGGTGGCTGGTATCTTTTGAATGTGTACAGTGTACCTAGATTTATATTTCTAAGCACTTTTTAATTTGTGAATATGTCTCGTGATATCATGACATTGTGGAGGTTATTTATTTTCTGCTTAAGCAAAATAGCAGCAAGATGCATTATATATTATGAAGCTTTTTACATTCCGGTCTGAGGTGTGTGCATGTAAATACAGTCTTCTTCAAAATAACTTTGTCATGAAAAAATACCTTTTTTTTTTTACACATAAATTTTTTTTTTTGATATACATAATTTTTTTTTCAATGTTATATCATGCTTTCTGTCTATAAACTGAGTTAACTTACCATCCTTTAATTTGCTCAGAGGCCATGTTCCAATCATATTCTTGCTTTGTTTGAAATCACTTATCAGTGCTTAGGGGAAATTAATTTTGACATATATAGATAGTGTACAAGATATTGACATAAAATGCTATGAAAAAATTTTCCCAGGGGTCTCAACAGATTTTGGTGGTACTTTCTAGTACTTATTAGTCACCATTATATTAAGTCAAGTTTTTACTTAAAAATACTAAACATGACTGTTACTATTATTTGCATTACTTTCTTATTTTATGTCATGTTTAAGTGTTATTTTGGATAGGTTAGTAATTTCATAAATAAAAAAATGTGAGGTGTGTTAAGTCATAAAAATTTCTTTTGAATTTAAAAAGGAAATAAAAGATTTCAAGGCCATTAAAATCCTTTTATCTATAATTTCTCTTAAAGTGAAAGTGAAGATTTGGATGTCATTTTGTCAAACATGTAGGATTATTACGTGATAATTACGTGAGGAGTTTTAGAAAGTTGCTGATTTTGCATTAAATATGTAAAAACAAGAATTGCGATGGATGCTGTGAGGCATGTACTGTAAGGTTTTCACCCTATGCAAATATTTTGTGGTTTTTTCCCAACATAACTAAGATACTGATATTTAACTAAGACATTTGAGCCATTAGCACAGAGAAATAAGTTTATTTTCAGCATTGCATTTAAAAGATGCCAAATAAGAGGTTTAAAAAGATTATTACTGCAATGAAACATGTGATTTTTTACTTTGGCTCTACTTTTCATTGTATTGTTAACATGATATGTTGTGGAGATGGTTTTAGTGATTTGTAACCTACAAACTCCCACTCTCAAAGAAAATTTGAGATACCCTCCAATTTAACTATATTGTACTGCCAAAAAACACCCCAAGCCTTTTTCTATGGATTGGAACATGTGAAGAGGAAAATACAAAAGTGTTTGCTTTGATCATTCATAAGCTATTGGGATAGAAATGCAGCATTTCTTTGGACAAAATCTGTCATTTGAATTCACTAGGGCTGTAACCAATATTGAATATCTGACAAGTTTGTTGACACAGGATCTTAATAAGTTTATAAAAAGCACACAAGTCTCCCAAGACAGCAGTGCTAGTAATTAGAATCATATCTGAAAAAATCAATAAAGTCTCTTGAAATGTGTGATAAATGCCTATTTTTATATTTTCTCACTTTCTTGGGCTATTAAGTGTGCTCACAATGTTTGTATATAAAACTTTCTTTGGAATCAGCATAAACTAGAAGGCATGTTCAGGTTTATGTACAGCAGAGCATTCCATAGTCATTTGGACAAGAAAAATCAATAATGAAAAATGTTTCTCAGAATCAGATCCACCTTTGATGTCTGATAGTTCTGTGAAAGCTTTTTAGCCATGTTTGTAGCCAGCAATATCAAAATTGGGTGGGTCTTTTTTGGAAACAATGTAGCTTTATACAGTAAAACTTGTGTTTTTTAATGGCATAGAACCAGGATCTCATTTTGATTCTGAATGGATCTTTTCTCAGTTAAAAGGGTCTTTTTTTCTCTGTGTGTGTGATGTGAACAGAGTTTTGTGTAGAGTTGGAGATATTTTTTATCTTGTAGCCTTATAGATAAACTAGCTAGCTCTGCTGGGGCTCCAGTAATATGTTTAAAGTTTGCAGTAAAGAGAGGGAAATTATCTCATCTGGTTTCCCCATTTATTTCCATTACGGTTTCTGTTCTGGGAGGAAAAGAGCAACAATGATCTTTATGTGGTATGTGTTTACCCAAACAGCACAGAACAGGGTGCTCTGTTACCAAGCTGAGTATGCCTCTAGCCCAGAGAATATTGTAAATGATGAACAGCCATGATGTATGGCAGCATGAAGTGGAAAGTTTATTGACATTTATTGGAAATATGAATATCTGCTGTGGTAACTACCACCAACCCATTGATTTAAAATTGTCTAGTGTTATGAACCTGCTAGCTGTCAGTCTGTCTTGATCTTTACATTTTGTATGTGATATAAATATGGCTGCATACTCTTCTTTTGTTATATCCCCTCGTTTTCCTTGGACAATTGGAATAATTTGATCTTACAGACCTAATCCATAATTGTCTTTTCCTAGTCATTGATTTCTCTATTAGAAATTCATTTGGGACATAGAGTAGAATTTAGATATCTTTAGTACTACACAAGACATATGGAAATGACATCTGGCATGATGTAGATCAAAGATTATAAAACATTGAGAATTTTGATAGTCTTCAAGAAAACTGTGAAAGTTAATAGAAATTATTAAGTAGGATTCCTTAAAAAAGGGGCAGTGGTGTATATAGTAAACTAAAGCCATGCTGTATTAGGGCAGTATAGTGTGCAGTTTGCTGTATTAGCACTCTAACATGTTTAAATTATACATTCAAAGGATTTGTGTCTCTTTCTGAAGTTCACTTTTCACCTCGGGGGCATAATAAATTTCACAGTTTGAAGGAAATGTCATTTAGATAAACCTGTGTGCTAAGGTAGAATTTTTATGCAAGGTATACATCAAATGAACATAATATTGTAATTCAGATGTAAAATATTAAGGCATGTACCAGCTCTTTATACTGTAAATGTGTGTAGTTGGCAAGTGCTAAATCTACTGGTATAGACTGTTAAGGTTGTCAGTTATAAATGTCAAAACATGATAAAATTTTTGAACATCATCAAGGTTTTTTATCCTAAAAATATTGAAATTAGACTGATTTACATTTATTCACTAGTGACATGTATGCCCATTGCTCTTTTCTCAACTTTTTATCTTTTCTCTTCTGTTTCAGCCGTCGATGCAAGGTGCTATGACTGGCAGGGTTACAAGGTGGAGGAGGGATCTCAGTACATCCCTAAGGGGGATGACCCCTGCATGGTTTGTGTGTGTGAGAAGGGATTCCCCACCATGTGTGCCTCCCCCAGTTGCTCCCCACCACAGTGTAAGATGTTTGAGGAGGTGGAGGGCAAGTGTTGTGAATATGTCTGTGTGGTCTCTCCCATTGTTCCACCTGCCACCAATGGCACTGGAGGGAATGTTGTCCCCAATGTAGAGAACACAGCAGGTAAAATGTGTTTCAAATGATGTATTTTAAAGAAACTTGTGTTAATTAATGCTGTGGATTTATTTGGCTTTACCTCACTTTTTCTTGGGTAATTTTTTTCAAGTTTTATGCATATAACATAAATTACAATGATCTTATTTCTTGATCAACATTACTAAACTATTAAAATTGTACAGAATATTTTCAGATATATATATATTGTATGTCTTTTTCAGCTTGTCACTCATTTTCTTTATTATTGTAGATGCTGCCAGTGCTGCAGACCTGGGATTACGTTTGGCTGCCAGTACCTTGACATCAATCCTCATCCTGGCACTGCTCCTGTTCATGATACATAGACTCAGGAAGAGACGCATGCTGGTCATGATGAGAAGTAAGTTCAGGTTTTGAAACAAAGTTCTAAAGACATTCTCCTTAGGTGCATGATGGAACACCTAAAAAATCTATTAAAATCGCTCCCTGAGGCTTTTGTTGTTGGAAACTACAGTGGATTAAAAGGTTTGTTCTCTGGAGCAATACTACTTATGCATGTCCATACTCATCAGTACACACACACACACTTTTTCGTACATGTACACATATGTTTGATAGTTCACATGTCAACTAGAAATGTCTGGAATATCAAGCACCCATCTTAACAAATTTTAAAGAGCTGAAGCAGATATTAAACATTAGGAGTTAAATGGTACTCTCACAATTTAAGCAAGTGTTTAATTGATTTTAGGACTAAACAGCCCCAGCAGTGAGCGCCATCTAGAGGATGACACTGTAGCATATGTGGCAGGCTACGATGAGGTGAATATTGGCTTAGCATTTCCACCATACGAGGAACCACCACCACCATATACACCATGGAAAGCTCCAGACATCCTACCACCAGCATATGATACCATAGCCAATACTAATCAGCAGTTAGGTCAAGAAAATAGCAGACCATCTGCTTCAGTGACTGGGCGGCTGCCTAATGTACCCCCTGCAGGTTACATAGCAGAACTAATCAGTAGAAATGCTGCGAGGGGTCAGGCTGCTGGAGAACATCCACACACCTCTCGGGAAATTGCATCAGAAAGTTCTACAAGAAGAGAACATGATGCTGGAAACAGCAGTACCTTGCCATTACCTTGTAACTGTGCAAGTGCTACTGAAACTCCACAGTCCAATACAAATGCAAGCACTGAGTCAAATCCTGAATGTTCTCAGGTGATAAGAGATAGAGGGCCAGTAGTGATACCGAATGTCAGAGTAGAGAGGGTGCAGGTGCAAAACAATGCTGCCTCAGAGCCAACCATGTCTCCACGCTCTGTGGCTGAACCTATGGTGATCCAGTCCTCTAGTGCTGCTGATGATTATGTTCCAAAGGGAACAAGAAGCTCCCTGGTTAGGCAAAATGATAACTTGCAAATAAGAAGAAATTCTGACAGCCCAAGAAGTTCTTATATTAGTGAAAATGGGGAAGGAAACAATGAGCCTGTTGCTTCTAAGAACAATACAAAAATGATTAGACCTGAGAGTACTCTATCAAGAACTTCGTGTAATTCTGGGGATTCCACTGAAAAGAAATGTGGACCACAGAGAGCTTTCATAGAACAACGAGAGGATGAGATCATTGTGTGGCGTGACAGGGACAGCCCCAGGGTATCCCTCATATTGCGGGAAAGTGACCCTGAGGGGGCTGTAGGGGGCTACTGCCACGACAATCCAGTCATGAAGGCAGTCTCACCTAAACAATTTGTGAAGAGTTTCTCCTGTGACCATGAGCAGGAGCTTCCTCGTGCATCTGCCTTCCAAGTTGTGGAATCTGAACCACCATCTGGTACACAGGCTAGAAGGAGTCTTCCTCCTAATTCATTGGACTTCATCTTCAGACCTATTGATCCTGATAGAAATACTGGGACCAACCTTAAAGAACCTTCACCAGCAGCAGGATCAGACAGGTTGGGATTGATTAACCCAAGAGCTGTGCCTCTTGCCATAGCCCTTACTTCAGAGGGAGGCAGCCAGAAAAGCCCACTGCATGCTGTTTTCACTCCCAATGGACCAAATACTAGGAAATGTGTGGGGCGATCACATTCCATAACTTCACAGATGTCTATTGCATCTGTATGTTCAGAGACTGGAGAGATGCGGGAACGCCGTCAACAGGGGGCAGCAGCTGCTGCAATGACAGCTTTGCAGACTGATGCCTCTTATCCTGCCATTGCCAATGAGAGTAGGGGAGATACTTTCAGAGTGCAACCTGACTCTAGTAGACATATACCAGCTGTGCAAAGTGACTCACAACTTTTACATAATAAAGCAAATTTTTGTAACCAGGACAATGTTGACCACACTCACGGGGACAGTCCAGTTGGAATAGTGGGTGAGGAACGCAGGGACAATCAGCACAATGGGGCAAGGGTGAAGCAAAACCATGATGCCACAACAGCAGTTGGCAAGTCCAAGAAGAAATCAAGAAACAGAGCTCGAAGAAAGTCTTCAGCAGGGACAAAAGACATTGTTGGCAATCATAATGGTGCTGCTGCAGAAAGTCCTGCAGCAGGTGACAAATCAGTCAATAATGGCAACCCATTGGTTAAAATGTACATGAAAAGTCTGAAGGACCCCAATCCCAAATTCAAGCAGTATGGTTTTATTGACAGCCCAGATGTTCTGTCCACACGGGAAACTGTGCAGTCTTTGGACACAGACACTCCTGATCAACAAAGATCAAGATCTGTAGAAAGGAGGAGGTCAAACTCGGGTGACAGGGCAAGGTCACAGAGCAGGTCACGAGACCATTCCACGGGGAGGAAATCTCTTAGTCCAGGATGCCAAAAGAAAAGACATTCAACACGGTTGTCCGGGAACTTTAACTACCAGAGTTTGCCAACTCATGGTTCTCCAGAACATCAACCATTTACTGCAGATCAGACCACAGAGCACAGTCGACGCCAAAGGAGGATACAAGAAACTCCAGTTTTGACACTACAGAGGTCTAATTCTGAGACCTCTCTCCATGGCACACATATGGACCGCCCTAGTGTCACAGAGGGCCCGAGTCCCAGAGGCAGTGCTGTTAATACAGAGCCAAGGGGAAAGGGAGACAGAGGGAGGAGAGGGAGGACAATATCTCAGAATCGTAGAAGTTTACCTTCTGTGCCCCCACACAAGAGTTATGTGTAATATCATTACTTTGTTTTGCATTAATTTGATACAGTGTGTTGAATGTAAAATGACCAATATCTTGCAAATTTTGACCAATTGCTGTAAATATTACATATGTGTAAAGACATACTCAATTGTGCATTATTTTGATCATTTTTTTCAAATGTTTTTGTATGACTATTTACTTTATTTACACACTTCCTCAATGTAAAAATTAAGTTCAATTTTTTTAAATGATTCACAAAAGACATCAAAGCACTGCCAATTCCTTTATTGTGTCATTTTGTCCCTTTGGGAGAACTTGGACACACATTGTGAGCAATGTATGATAGAAGGGATTTGTTTAGGATTTTAAAAACATCCCAGAAATGAGTTTAGGTTTAAGTTCAACATGCATGAACATGTCAAATATTTATTACTTGTGGTTATTATAATTAGTTCTAATTGTATGAGTTTTTTATGGCAGACCATTTCTGAAAAGATCTGGCTGTTATAGAGGCTTTTCAAGATATCTTTTGCACGTGGGACTTAATTAAAGTGATCCAATTTTCTCCTCAGAAATAACTTTAAGAATATTAATTTATAGATTCTGTAAATTTTAAAACCTGGACAGATTGACTGTTTTACATTAGACTGAAGGAAACAAAGACATTTGGTATAGATATTCACATACCTATTACTGTTTTGAACTTTTATTTGGAAAGTTAAATTTTCTCATTTTCATGTTCAGTAAAATCAAGGGTTTTAAATTAATTTTTTTGGTGTTGACAAAGTGTAGGAGAGATGAAATAAGGATCATTGTTTTAATTTCAGGAGCATACCCCCTTGAAAGATTGTTTGGAAGATGTACTGGAACTACTGTCAGAGGGGCTATCTCTCCCCAAATTGGTATTTGTTTTAAATTGAAAGCTTTTTGTCTGATAGTAGGTAGGGATATTGGTCATGACCACTTTAAGTCAAAAACTGCAGGACCATATGCATTTATATTATTATTGATGTTGTAGAGATTTCAAACCTGTATTTAAATATACTATTTAGACATAGAGCACTTTAATTTTTTGAAGAGTTAAATTGACTTTAAAAATAATTTGCCAGCTTGGGCCCCACAGCAATTTGAACTACCAACATAGTTTAGATTATTCCCCTAGGGTAAAAATGACCACAATATCATGTCCAATTGTTTCAAGTCAAGTTTCTTACTTGTGACAGTTCCAGTTGAAGTTATCAGTAAACTAGTATAGGACTTTGCCAAGTATTTTTTGTAGTAATTGTTTAGAAAATTGTTTTTGCACACAGATGCCTGTATGCCAATGGTCACACATAATACTGATGTTTATTTATAAAGCGGCAGTCACTTTTGTTTTTTTATATCATGAAGAAACTCAAAAGTTTTTTTCCATATGGAAACAACTTGATTCCATATCTGGTTTATTCAATCTCACAAACTCCACTGTCTCTATTTTTTCGGAACATTCAGCTGCACAAATGATGGAGTTGCAGGTTTTATTAGGCACTTGCAAAGTTATTCTTAACATTTATGGAATGTCTACTTCAGTGAAGTACTGGAAATATATTAATGGAAATTGACTGCAAGTTGCATCCCTTATTATATACGTACACAAAATACATCTAAACAAAATGCTATTAATACATCAAAACAATTTTCTATTGCCATTAAATGTAACAGTGAGTGAATCACTTGCTATATCACAGCCAGGGTAAGAGATTAACAATAAGTGTATACATGACTGAAATCTGGATTATTATATAATTAAATTTTTAAAAAACAATAACAAGTAAATATACAAATGGATGTAATAAAATTTATAATAAGGCTCAAAAATTCTCAATTCTAATTAAAGAGGACGGCTTTCCAAAGATTATGCTCTTTTTATAATATGCTCAATATTAAGGGAATTTCAAGAGCTTAAAACAATTTCATAGTCTGAAACATCTGCTGGAAGATCAAACCTCTTCCTCCTTTCAAGAAAGGAAAATAGAATTAAATCAATTAGAAATTGTCCACAAAATTCACTTATACCTACAGCAGCTACAAAAATAAATGTGGATTTATGTCTGATTTACCACAATAAATATAAATATATTAAATATGCTATTATATATGTAGCACATAAAGCAAAAATTTGTTTTACATTTTCTTCACTGTGAACTTTTTCTGTGCAAAGAACCTCATAAGGAAACTCCCTGTATCATTTTTATTGAAAGTGGACGGAATTACAATATAGTGACCTGGTTCTAACTGAAAACGTCCACTGACTTCACGATAATTGATGTAAACACCAGATTTGCCTGTATCATAGTTGTAACGGAAGTGTTTTTCTGGCAATCTGTTTTCTGGATCTTCTGTCTGAAGTGAAAAAAAAATGCAGCATTTGCAGCACTTTTTGAGGTTCATAAAAGTCTAAACACATTGTAACTTTATCATTAAAGGCACACAATGTGCATAAGACCCTTTAAAGGGATAATAACTCTTCGTTTTGGCCAAAAAATGAATTTTCCTGGAGTAAACGACAATTTTCCCATACTTACCAATGGTTAATGAATCCATTTTTACATTCAAAGTTAGTCCCTGTTTTTTTTTCTAAAAAGTTTTTTTTTTTTGCTTATAATCTCTTAAGAGATTATAACAGAGTATAGCCATTAATGGAGGTCAAGTGGTCTAAAGACAAGCTCAGATATCAGAATAATAGCTATAACTGCCGTTTTTGTGGTACAACAGAATATATTATATTTCTATGAGTTGTTCACAATGTTTTTATTGTGAAATATAGATCTCATATGAAGAGTTATTATCCCTTTAATATAGCAACAAAACGATTTTTCCAGGAACTTTCAGCACTTTCCCTTCATCAGCTGTAAACCAACCCTTTCCAAGACTAGAAAAAATTAAGATCCACACACCTGTTCATAAGCTTGTGATTTCTATTTTTAAGATAGTGGCTCAAAAATAAATCTATAACTCCAACATAAGTATGAGAGAATTTCTAAAATTGTGGTTGCCATGCATTAAGTCTTGTAAGTATTGCAAAATACCAAAATGGCTACTTGAACCTAACAATGGCTTATGTCCAAAGAAGAGCAATCACAACAAAGAGCTTACATGTATGGCAACTTCAAACCAACTGCTTACCTTATAGATCACAAATCCAATCTGTAACATTTTGACTCCCAAATGTCGCTGAGATCTGCGATGCTCTTGCATCAGAGCAATCACAACACTACACTTTCCTTCATCATCTAGATCATCTATACTACTATCAAAATCATCTAAAATAGAATGGATAGTATATTCATAACTGAGTAATACCTGTAAAAAGCATGAAATTTGATTATTAAATCAATGGCCAATAGATCATCTAAAATATGTTTTGCTATCACTATCACCAGGTGATTTATTCATTTATGGATAATGGAAAGTTATCATAAAAAGTGCAAAAAAATCTGACACGATGTGAGGCACTTTAAAGCACTGTGTCAGTCTTTTATCCCCAGGAACTGCATCTGTAATTTTTTGTTCTGAAAGAGGGAAGAGTCCCACACCAACATATTTCAATTTTTGCTTAAGTTTTCTCATTTTCTCATTCATTAACGGCAAACACTGAACATTTCTAAATCTTAATGTATACCTGGCTCGGTTAATGTTAAAAGGTATTGTGGGTTTGTGGCAAAGCTGGCTAAATCATTTCTACATCCTCCTGCTGAAATATCTTTTTTCCACTCTCCCTTCACTTTCTCAATGTGACCTAAAAAAGAATATTGCAACTTCCAGAAAAATAAAATGTTGGTCTGGTTTCCATAATAAATGCACTAAGTGTATGTAAATTTGTAAAGCATTTGTCTTTCAAAAGCATCAAAACCCATTAGACTTATACTGATAATAGATGGAAATGTTAGCAAATTTCTCTTTATCAAATGGGGATACCCTATCAAAAACCACTGAGGGAATTTCAATATATAACCCTGTCAAGATCTAACTTTTACAACCATGAGTGAAATTCACCATTCTCTATCAATATTGAGAGTGACTCCAAAATCATGAAACCTTAAAGTCAAAAAGGGCATATGGATCATAATTGAGTGAAGCAATTTGGATATGGTAAACCTTGTTCAGGAAAAATGTTGCATTTTTCATAAAATTTTGGTATATAAAATTTAAGCTCTTTGTATGCTTTTAAAATTTACTATCTCTTATCATTGTTTAAAAATGATTTTCATTTTAACAAAGAATTTTAGAAACCCATAAAATGTCCATTAGGGCAAAAGAGACATTTAGCTATACCTGCTTGATCTGTGACCCCATCTCCATCAAAATCTGGACCAAGGGTACAAATTGTAACTTCTGAAAATTCTGAGCAGAAATCTTCATAGCGCATCCAAAACTCTCCATCCCCTTTTGATATATGGTGAAGCTTTTCTCTAGTTTTTTCATCAAGCCACTGCCAGTTTTCATCGCTTAAAGAAACAACAAGAAATGAGCATGCACAAATAGTTGTAACTCATGAAATTAATTGCATAATAATTTGCATTAAATAAGGCCGTGTTTGAAAATTACATTTATTTAACACCAAAAAAATCACAAAGACATACTCATCACTCCAAGCTCCTCTCCACTCAGTCTCATTTCCCCATGGATTCCTGATTCTAAGAAGCCTCTCAATAATTTCCACAGCACCAGGACGTTTTACTGTCACCTACATAAATTTTAAACAGTGAAAAAGTAAAAAATAATTACACCAAATGATGTAAAATTTCAACTCACTTATTTGAACTATAAAGCACCACTATTTCAGTGTCATATCTGTTGGGATGAAAACTACCAAAACAGGGTTCAGTGGTATAAAGTGCCATAAAGTTCTGAAGAGCATCTACACTTTGTCCTGCTACTGTTCTGTTCCCACTATTCATTCTCTAGCACTGACAAATAAAGACAGCATAGGAAGAGATAAATACAGATGTTGTACATTACTTGTCACATAAATGTTAATCATTACAATAAAACCAAAAACCTATATAATATTTAGTACTTACAGTTGCTAAATCAGTGATAGAGTAGGCATGACCACTAACTAAACCATTTGGATCTGCTTCAATTGACATGGTCCAATCTCCCTGAAAGAAAAATGTGATCATATTAAAATGAAGCTACAGCTCAAATGCTGATTAATTCATAGTTTGACACATCTCCAATATATTTTTAATGTGTTTTCCTTTACATTTCTAAATCTGTGTACTTTTACCATCTGCTTTTCTTATGTAGGCTTTTTATTTTCATTAATTCATAATAAAAAAAACTGTGCTCATAAAATTATTGAGAAGTTTCCTGACATAAATATTTGACAATTAGTGTGACTGTGTTCCCACCTTTCTGGAACAAGCAATGAATGCTCCTGCCTGATGAGCCCTGTGGAAATGTTTAAACTTATTGACATCCACTTCCTTCAATTCACACCTCTCTGCCAGCCCACCAGTGAGATCAACAAGTGCATCCATGGTCTGCCCACCTTCTATGGCTTCATAAGATCCATGTAGTCTGGAACATAAGAATTCCATCAATTTTTAATTTGTTTTCCAAATATTGTGATCTTTTTTATGAAAGTACATGTATGCTTTGCTTTTTTTCCTGCAAGCAATTACAAGCAGTTTTCCTCCATATAAATTATTAGTTGTGTTTTAAAATCTATTTTTTAAAATTTTGAATAAAACACAAACATGTCTTTGAGGATCAGAATCCAACTGCTCTATATCATATTTTTCCAAAGAACAGTGAAAAGCCCTGCATAAATTTAAATAAATATCAACTCACTTAGCATATGCTTTTTCAATGAGTGGTGGCCAGAACTCTGTAGGATCCTCAGACTTGGCATAAAATAACTTCCCATCCTTTGTTGGCAGGAGATCATCTATATACACATCCACCCATTCCCCAAATCTCCACATACAAAAATGAACTATTCCCTTATAACCATTTCCACACAACACCTGGTTCTTTCCAATTATCTGAAATTATAACAAATGGCAAATTACCAATTAAAAATGTATTTCTTTAACCTTGTCTTAAAAGATGATGAAAATTTTCATAAACCCTTGTAACAATCTTAATCTATTATCTGGAAAAATGAAATATACAAACACATACTTATTTTTATATTATATATTTATTCTGTATACAATATAAGCATATTGTTGTGACATCCGAACCTTTTATTTCTTTACATCTCCATCTATCTGTCAAACACGAGAGTTTGTTAAACCACAAAACAAGACAGATTTATTTTCAATCAACTTGTAAGCCTGCTTTCTTCATTCATGAGATGAGTACCTTGTTCATGAATCTCTCCTGCACAGAGACAGCAGCACAAGAAGAAAGGAACCAACAATCTCCAAGGATCCCCTGTTTTATGTCATCACGAGTCACACCATCAACTGTCAGATGTGGTATCTGACCTTCTTTAACTATGTCCTAAAAAAAATTAATAAATTGGTACAAATCGTTTATAAAGGGATTGTCTGCCATATTTGAAAACTCCAAGAATGATCTACAAGCACATAGCCCTTCTTGAGTTTTCAAATATTGAAGGGAGTCATTTGCCAAAAGATTTTTCAAAGCCATAGCCTGAATGATAGAGTCAAACTTTAATGACAGAGTCAAACATAATGCACATAAAAACAATACTATTATTACCCAGACAATCAATACATTTCTCTCGGCAAAACTCTATTACTTTTTCAGACAACCTCAGAGAACAAGATAATTAAGATAGCTTGTTTACAGATCAAACTTAACACTACTTAGAAATGGAAAGAGGACGATGCATGGTCATGACGCCCCAGGGAAAAAATTCATTTGTTGAACTATGATGCATATTTTGCTTTTATGTCACCCTATTTTGTTGGGATTGGCAGTTTCTTTTGTTTAATTGCAACTGCATTCATTTTTCAAGTGTATTGTCAAACTACCTTTGGTCTGAGCCAAACTACATCCTCTTCAACTCTGCCACTGTAAAATAATGCCTTCTGATCTGCCTTGAACTCCTCATCCACAAACAGTTCATTCTCTCCAAATCTTGCTAACATTTCTTCAATTTTACTATCCTAAAAAAACATGCGGAAAATTAATTGTGAAAATGCTGACTTGTCTTAGATATATATCCAGTATGTATATCATGTTACTTTTTATTTTTGCAAGACAGAAGACAATAATTTAGACTTATAATTCAAGTAAGCAACTTCAGAGGCCATACCTCAGTGACACCTAACAAATGTGTGGCATGGATGTCAGGAATTTCAACTGGTTCGGGAAACGACGATTCTTCGCCAGTTTTATCCTTCTCTTTCTCCTCTTCGCAGATGTCAATTGGTTTGCCAATTGTTCCATTTTCAACATTTTTCAAAGGCTGGGTCGGGCTGCTCTGTTTCCTTGTTTCATTTTGAAGTGGTTTTTCGTGGTTCACTTTTGTGTCTGCGTTTTTACTGCCTTCGCAGCCCATTTTGCCAAGAGAAATGTATTAATTGTCTGGCTAATAATAAGAATATCACGAGGTGTAAATTTGTCAAATCCCGCCCATTCTGATGATAAATGTCAGTGTAAAACGTGTTTTTCAGTTGTCTGTCAGTGACCACTGGTTTTCTGTTTACTGTCTCCTGGGCGCCATCTGCATTAAAAAAATGCTGATAAAAGAATAGATGGCGATACTATTTGTGATACAAGGCAATCCCCTAAGAAGTCTAGATTTATTTTATTTATTGATCTCAATTGTCTTTATTATTTGCTTGAATGTATTCTGTTCTGTTTTTTACAGTTTATTCACCTCATTTTGATAATAATTTTTTGTTCTACTATTGGTACCAGGACACTTTCTGCCGGAATACTTCGTGGGAACAATGGTGCGTCTTGAACGTAGTTGAACATGACCTCAGTAGACCTTATCAGAAATTGCGTAGACTACCAGTGAAAGTGAGCAACATCATGTTGGAGGACTTCGAGAAGATATGGGTCTGCTTTGTGTTTTCGTCCATCATTTTCTTTTCAATTTTGAGTAAATTGGTAGCGTCTTTTGGTGCTCCTAAATCATTCTCAGGTGATCCATGGGTGTGGAAGAATTTTTCCATTTCGTGGATTCATGCACTTTTCTGTGCAGTTTGGGTGCTAAGCTGGTAAATATCGCTGGTTTAGATGAACAGTTCTGTTAATAGAGTAGTAACGTTTTAATATGGAAGAACAGTAAAGAAAGAAAAGTAACTTGTCAGTAATAATTTCATTACTAGTAAATCTAAATATTGAAAATTTGATGTTTAATTATATTTTTTTCACACTACTAGTAATACTTTGTCCATGTCAGAAAGAATAAGAGCACTGCATTCAATAAATATACAGTACCCTGAGCTTCAAGTCAGTTGTGTGCCAGCATCTTCACTTTCAAATATGCATCTGCATGCCTTTTCCACTTTGACATTCATCACAATTACAGTTTTACTAGAGCATTGGCTATCTGGATTTCATGGCCTCAAAGAAGGGAATGTGGCATAGTAAAAGGTCTGCACTTGGTTTGGTAAACTTAAGTCAAAAGACCAGTAAGGTTCAGACAGGACAGTTGGGTACTTCTTTGTACGGAACTTTGAAGATGAAGAAGCTGGTATGCTTCAATTGGCTCTGAAACTCGGACTTATTAAAAGAAACTCCAATTTTAATTCTCCTGGATAATGTCTTTTCCTGGTTTGTTTTCACGTTGATTGTGGGCACAACAATGTTTTTTCATCTTTTGGATATTGAAGGGGATAGTTCATAGGGTTTTTGTTTTGTCGAATTTTGCTTATTATTAAATCCTGTACTTGTGCCTCAAAAGCATATGTGACCTCAAATTGAAGTTAGCAACTGTTACAGCAATAAGACCACTATTTCAAGATTTTTTATTGGAAATGAAAATACATTTTACTGGAAATGAAAGTACCAGAATAAGAATGCAAGAAGCTGTAGACTTAGGTTAATTGAAAGTGGTATTATTGCTGTAAATTAAAATCTGTGTCATTGCTTACCTGTATGCCTTGAGAAGAAAGTGTTAGTTGATAAGAACGAAATGATAGTTTAAAGACCAGAAAAAATTGTTGCAATTTTTTTATTTCTGTGTCAAATCCTGCAAACTGTCCCCTGAATTGTTTGGAAGCAATTTTTTGATCAACTTAATAATGTAATTTGAAGGTTGGAAGTTAAGGGCTCATGAATATTTATCATCATTTTCACATATCTACAAAGAGTAGCTTCTTCCAGCCTCCCCTCCCCAGCAAAGAGTATAAGGTGAAAAGCTATAAGTTATTACCTTTGGCAGCAATTTGGATCATAATTTGTATATTTTTCAGGGCATTAACCCCCCCCCCCCCAGGATACTGTTTGTAGACTCATGAAAATGATGATTAAAATTTCAAATGATGACCTTAACACTAATTCTGTCACCATGTATTTTATCAGAGCTTGAGATTAACAAATGTATAACTAAAGTGTTTTCTTAAATTGAAGATAAAAATGTTTATTTTCAATCTTGATTATGCATGAAATAATTTTTGGATATAAGTCTACAACTTTTGTGCCATCTTACCACTTACCATTTGTTTGTTTGTTTTTTTTTTCTTTTTTTTCTTCAACATTTGGCTTGAATTAATCATAAATTATGTTTAGAAATAATATATACATAAATGGTTAGTGCCAGGCAACATGTCATTCAATAAAATTTTAGTCCATAGATGCTAAAAATCTTAGTCAGATAAGTTAAGTTTCACAAAGAATCTTTAATGCTGCTTTCCTCCTATTTTGTTCTTAAAACTACAAAATCATGTCCAAGTAGATTGGTAGCACAATTTTCATGCGTTAGCATTCCTATTGACGTTTCTGATATACACTGACAGTCAGTATATTTCAGAACCATCAATAGGAATGCTAACACATGAAAATTCATGCTAGTAGTAGATTGGATGATCAGTAATTGTTAATTTTTACAGGATATGAAAATTTCTTTGTAGTTTACTTTTTCCTGTATCACACTCATGAGGCCATCTTGATGGTACATCCCAAAACAATCTCAATAATCGCTGATGATGAATCTGAGTTATTATTTTAGCCTGTTTAGGAAAATATTATCTAGTAATTGATGCCAGTTTTGATTATGGAAATTTTAGTCCGGTCTTAACACTGCTTTTTGCTCATCATGGTAGATGTACTCGGTTCTAGTACCTGTGGTTTGGAAGGCAACTGAAGTGACAGCTAATTGTATGTAAAGGTCTCTGACTGCTTTTGCTTACCAGACTTGCTGGAGTGTGCTATTTGAACAGGCTTAGTTAAAACCTTAGTTACCTAGTCAAATCTTTGATCATGATTCATTATTCTTCATAATTGATAACTGAATTTGAATTATGATCATTCTTATGGTTCTTGGCCAGTCTAGAAGGGTTTGCTGCAATTGCATATTCACATGGTTTAAGTATAAATTATTGATAATCCTTCAAAGAAACACAAAAAACAATAAAATTGTTGTAATAAAACAAAAAAGTAATACAGTTTTATCCATGAAGCAGGACTTTCCAGAATTTTCTGAGACTTTCAAAGAAAGAACAGGAATGGTCATGAATATTTCTCTGCTTGCTGCAGGAATATGCATGATTGTGTAATGGTTTGACAACAAGTCATGACGTTGACCACATGGAAGCAATGCTACTAGTATTTTGAATACTTTGATCACTTCACTTGGACAGTTCAGAGGAATCATAAGTGAACCCTCCTACACTAACCAAAACCCACCAGCTAGGATATGTCATGGTTTGTGGATGCAATAAATCTGTGCAAGCTTTGTTCCAATCTGGTCTTGATTTAAGCCTGCTTTAAAATTGTGAAGATTCTTTGTGAAATTATTATTTTATTAGTTTAATCCTTGAAACTTACAGTTATTTTAGATGCTTACAAGTGTACTAGTACTCTAATTTGCATATATACTATCTCTTCAACAGAAATGGGCTGGGCTATATAGAGGATGGCTAGAGCTACTGCCTGTCTTAATGCTGGTAATAACGGGACACCTTCCGTTTCACTAAAAGACAAAATTACAAAACAACCAAGGCTTATTTCACCTGTCAACTTAGTACTTCACATTTAAGATTTTCCTGATTTTTTGCTAGGTATCAACCTGATTGATAGTGGAATTAGCCTAGTTGTTTTTGTAATCTGTCTTTTTTCTTTTAGATGCTCAGAAAAAAACTAAATATCTTTCAAATTGTGTACGTTGTCTCTGTCATTGGTGCACCTAGGTATCTGTTAATGTTAATACCTACTTGTTTCTGTGGTATTTGCTTATTAAAAACTGCTGTACTATCTTACATCTGCTCATGAATATTTACATTCTATGTGCATTTACTAAATACTAACAATTGATGGTTGTACAGTTTGAATTAATTTTAACCAAAATATATTATTTTGATATCAATTATTTTTTATTGTAGTTTTGTGCTCACTCCAGAAATGGTGCTTGACTTAGTCAAGAGTTATTCCATGACATCTTATTTGCTGGTTTGTTTTTCTCTTGGTAGGTCTTTTAGTTCTTCAGGTTTCAAAAATGTAAAATGTAGTAGTCATAATGATTTTTTTCCCTTGCATGTTGCAGTTTTGAGTACTGTTTATCAGAAAATTTCATCTTTTGAACATTTTAATTCACCTCTGGAAAGTGCATAATGTACATGTAGATTTTTTTTTCTTTTTGCCTACTGTATGTATTAAGCAAGTTTCCATAATTTGTTTATGGACAGACACTGTCTGGACATAAAGCCATCACTTGAGTCTGTTGTTGTCATCCACTTTTTAATCTTAATTACTATTAAAGGAAGAATATGTACTTATTAATCCCCAACTTCAACTTACAGGAATGGTTCTTTGGACAAAAATATAGCTTGAGTTTAGTGAACAACCTCGCAAGATTACTTTTTTAAGACAAGAAGGTTTTTTCCCCACAAATTTTCATTTTATTGAAGTGACTGTGATCCTATGGGGCTAAAGCCTTGTGCAGGTTTTATTTTTTGAATGCCCATAATAACAGAAGTATTAAAATTGGTGGTGGTGATCGATTATGTAATATTGCATAATAATCAACAGATACATATTTTGTGCACTGTCATTTAATTGTTTCTTTATCATTTTAGAAATTTATATTGTCACAGCTTCTATTACTTTTGTCATATATATCTATCCATTTGACAGTTATGCTACATTCTTTTAAATGTGAGGATGTGCAACTTTTATCATAAGTTAAACTTGGACCATGTAAGGATTTTCTTTTATAAAGCTTATGTGGACATGCTTGTTTAGATTTTCTAAATGCACTGAGTAAACTTCATTTGAAATTATAACTATCAACTTCATATATTTTCAGGGTACTTTACATTTGATTTTCTTGATATTTTGATCAACAAGAAAATAGCACAGATGTGGGAAGTGGCTTTGCACCATATCGTTGTAAGTGAGGGACTCTCTTCAATGTGGTATAATTATCCTCAAACCAATTTATGGAATTTTTTTTTTTTTTTTTTTACCAAAAAACCTACATGAACTCAATTAATTATTTACAAATACAGTACAGTCAGTATCTGTGCATATTGGGAGTACTTGTTTATTATAACCTTCCCATCAATATTTTTGTAGTTGTCGCAATACTTTTTCTCCCTTTCATTGGCATTTTGTGTTTCGGCCATCACTGCTTACCATATTTTAGTTTTACTTTGAATGTAGCTACTATATAACAGGGAATGTTTTGTTCAGTATTTACTACAGGTCAATTTAAACATTAGAAAAATACATTTTTTCAGAATCAGAATATAATTTTGATGTGGTATTTGGGGGATGCCCCATAACTTTCAAATAGTATGTTTTTGTAATTAAAGTACATATTGAGATGTTTAATATGTATGTTTATGGTGCAGGTTAAGTTTAAGAATAAGCATAATCAGTATAATTTCTTGTTTCTGCTGCTTTCCATAAATGGTATGGATCTCTTGCAGTTTGATTTTATTTAGGTCATTATCAGTGATGCCAATGTCATGTCAGTGTCAGCAATTTTTTTCATTATTGAAACAGATCCAACATTTTAAGATATAATGCTTTTTATATTTTGTAGGTTCTCCTGATATTCTACTACAACATTGCAAACTGTCATTGTATAGGCTTCATGGTAGTGGCACTCCTAACTGAAGTAAATTCAATCTTCCTGCATGGTCGCAAACTCATGATGTTAGCAAAAGTGGAGAGGTCCAACTTGGTCTTCAGGACAAATGCCATTCTAAATGTTATCACTATTCCTGTGTGCAGGGGCCTGGCAATTGGATGGATTTGGAAGGCTATAATTTATGCTAAGGAAGATGAATTTACACCCTTCAACTGGTGGCTTTTGTTTATTACAACCCTTATCATGACTGTCATTAACAGCATTCTCTTCTGGACTGTATTCAGAAATGATTTTTTGAGAGGAAAAAAAGGAAAGAAACTAAATGCAAATAATAATGATATGAAGATTACAGATATGGCTCAAAATATAAATGGCTTGTCAAAAATTGATTGAAAGTTTTGCTTTTGAATACTGATATATGATAGATGCAACTAAAGCTGCTTATTTTTTATTTTTGTTTTTGTTTTGTCTAAATAAAGAAGGGGAAGATGGTCTGTTTGTTGTTTGAGGAAAAGTGCCATTACAAAACTATGTCACTTGAAAGGTGAAAATTACTTTTTTAAAAGTAATATAATTTTAAGATATGGCAATGGTCATCTTTTTGAGCTTTATTTTAATTTAAGATGTACATGTATGCAACTTATCAGTTACCACTTTAAAATATTTGTGGTTAATTTTTTATGATACATAGTTTTAGTTTTTGTGCAAATTTTACAAAGCCTGTTGTTGGTCTATCTTTTGTATGTGATGATTTTATATAAATTTATAGTCTAATCTTAAAAGATATATTTTTGCAGAACATGATNAAGATATATTTTTGCAGAACGTGATTTGCACTACACATGTACTCCTAGTGCACTTACATACTCTAGAAATTCTTCATTAAAATTTGTATTTAGAATGGATATTATTTTAACAGGATCGAAAGGTCATGCATCTTTAGTATTTTAAATGTTACATAACAGAAGTGTAAAAATGTGGGATGAAAGTGCTAGGGTGAAAATAAATATTTATTTCCATTTTATGATATGAATATATGTTGTGGTTTAAATATAGTCATAAATCCCAATGCAGAATGGGTAATTTGTTTTAATTTCAAAACTTCATTGCTGCACACATCAAAGTTCTAAATCAGTTACTGACACAGATTGTGTGCATGCTTGTTATCATACAATAATGTATCTTGCCAAACTAGATGCTGTTTGTGTGTCTGGTGATTGATGAAAGTGAACAACAACAACAAATATTGTGTAATATAGGTAGATTCTTCAGCAAAGTTCTATTTCAAATAATATTATAAATGAATTTTTAAATAACTGTAATAGGTTAATTATAGTGAAAATGAGATGTTACATTCTCTAAGTCTGCAATGTACATGTACAATGCAAGTTGCAAGTTCCACACTAAATCAATTTTCATCAAAATTATACCTCATGTATCACTTAGATTTGCGATTTGAAATTTGAATTATTTAGGTTTTCTTTTTCAAAATATTTTTGAATAATGTTTATTTTACTTGGCGGTAATCAATAGAATACACATTCAAAGCATGCCTATTTTGGCAAGTACATGTACATATATTTTGATAGAACATGAACTGATTGGTAAAGGTTATACATTCATGGTACTGTAGATCAGTACTTCCATCATCCTCTTCTATCTCTAATCAAATAAATAAATGTGTTTTACCACTGAAAAGGATTATATTTTTCCAAAGCATGTTTGTGATGGAGGTGATATATTCAAAAACTGATGGACTAGTTAGTAACAATTAAGGGTTAAATTATACATGTATTTTTTAACCTTTTCAATAATGTGCGGGTACATATGACGTAATTAATTAAAAGATGAAATTTATTCTGATGAATTTTTCAATCTTAATAAACAGTTATGTTTCTTTCATTGCCCCGTTTCATGTCATTGTGTATTAAAATGTTATAAAAATGAAAGTATTTGAAAAAAGGGAAGATTTCATGCAGTTATTAAAAATATACATGTACTGTAGGAAATTTAATTTTAAACAAGGCAGCAAAGCTGTCAAATGTACAGACAAAAAGCAGGAAATAACTATGCACAAAATAGGCTACTGCCAATTCTGATGCAAAAGTACATAATGTTAAACTGCAAATTCAACATCAAATTTTAACAAGACAGCACTGTTCTGAAGTGGGTTTATTTCCANCTTAAAAGATATATTTTTGCAGAACATGATTTGCACTACACATGTACTCCTAGTGCACTTACATACTCTAGAAATTCTTCATTAAAATTTGTATTTGGAATGGATATTATTTTAACAGGATCGAAAGGTCATGCATCTTTAGTATTTTAAATGTTACATAACAGAAGTGTAAAAGTGTGGGATGAAAGTGCTAGGGTGAAAATAAATATTTATTTCCATTTTATGATATGAATATATGTTGTGGTTTAAATATAGTCATAAATCCCAATGCAGAATGGGTAATTTGTTTTAATTTCAAAACTTCATTGCTGCACACATCAAAGTTCTAAATCAGTTACTGACACAGATTGTGTGCATGCTTGTTATACAATAATGTATCTTGCCAAACTAGATGCTGTTTGTGTGTCTGGTGATTGATGAAAGTGAACAACAACAACAAATATTGTGTAATATAGGTAGATTCTTCAGCAAAGTTCTATTTCAAATAATATTATAAATGAATTTTTAAATAACTGTAATAGGTTAATTATAGTGAAAATGAGATGTTACATTCTCTAAGTCTGCAATGTACATGTACCATGCAAGTTGCAAATTCCACACTAAATAAATTTTCATCAAAATTATACCTTATGTATCACTTAGATTTGCGATTTGAAATTTGAATTATTTAGGTTTTCTTTTTCAAAATATTTTTGAATAATGTTTCATTTTACTTGGCAGTAATCAATAGAATACACATTCAAAGCATGCCTATTTTGGCAAGTACATGTACATATTTTGATAGAACATGAACTGATTGGTAAAGGTTATACATTCATGGTACTGTACTGTAGATCAGTACTTCCATCATCCTCTTCTATCTCAAATCAAATAAATAAATGTGTTTTACCACTGAAAAGGATTATATTTTTCCAAAGCATGTTTGTGATGGAGGTGATATATTCAAAAACTGATGGACTAGTTAGTAACAATTAAGGGTTAAATTATACATGTATTTTTTAACCTTTTCAATAATGTGCGGGTACATATGAAGTAATTAATGAAAAGATGAAATTTATTCTGATGAATTTTTCAATCTTAATAAACAGTTATGTTTCTTTCATTGCCCCGTTTCATGTCATTGTGTATTAAAATGTAATAAAAATGAAAGTATTCGAAAAAAAGGGAAGATTTCATGCAGTTATTAAAAATATACATGTACTGTAGGAAATTTAATTTTAAAAAATGATTGAGCTCAGCTTTCCTGAATTTCAATCAATTTGGACAAAAGAATCAAACCTGCGTTTCGGTTGTATTTATTTAAGCGAATTGATTCAAATATTTCGTACAAAGTACTCGGAATGTGTTTTTTATTTCACTAATACAAAATTGCTACTTTCACCGTCACTGCATTCAAGGTATATTTTCTAAGAAAACAGTAGCAAATAGAAGCTATTTTTTATGAATAAGTGTCGACAAACTAGGCTAGTGATAGTGAACATATTTTTCAATCTGCAGTGGACGGTATTTATTTCAGATTAATTAAATTTTCTGCCAATCCATGGAAACGGCGATAGACTGAAGGCGACACGTAAGCAATGCGTTAATGTGTTTAGATAAAGAGGGCGCTGCATGTCAATTTCAACCAATGAAAAACCAGGTCGTGCTAACAAGCGCCAAGTTGGATTGAGGTTTTGCGCCCAAACATTTTACAATATAATTTGATCAGCTGATTTTACAGAGAAAGAACAGGTTACTTTTGATATATTTTAAGGGCTACTATGATGAGCAAAGACGCTCATAAAAACCACTGAATTAGAATGTCCAGGCACCATTACTATAGGTAAGTCGGAAAATTTATTGCTTAGCGTCGAGAGAATGAGAGTCGTAGCATTCTGTTTGTGGTGTGGTATCTTAATAACCGGGTGTCGATGTAAAGCTTTATTTCGTATTGATTGATAGAATTCGAGCTAGATAACACGAATTATATAAAAGTGATTTTATTTTTCTATTTGCTCCTTTAGTTCCAAATACCTGTAGTTCTTCAGTTACCGGCATTTATATCACAGAGGTGGATCCCATTTTTGCGCGCTGCAAATGGAAGCCATTTTCATTGTTGATTACAACGTGATGAACGTCGAACGTTGAGACACCGCGTGAGCGTTATAAATGATATTATATTGAAACTACCAGCAAAGGAATGAAAGTGATTCATGAAACTATAGCTTCGACTTAAAGTAGACTAAAGGTTTTTTTACTAACTCGCGTTGAGATGAACTTGAGCCTGCTTGGTGGTAAAAATTACAGAGTCGGTTCATTCAGGTAAAGACAAAGGCGATTGGAGGAAAGCCAGAAGACCAATGGAGAGTAACAAAAATTAACGTTGAAATGATAATATTAGAGTTAGTTAAGTCAATCAATACCTAGGATCAAACATATTAATAATCGTGTTGTGAAAACGAATAAATGCAGTTGAAAATACATTTGTATTAAGGTGAGAGAATTTTCACTTGTTTGGACTTGTTGCCTTTCAGTTTGTTCTCATGTACATCTGGTGCTTCAATTTGATATTAATACATTTCCACACAACAAAAATGAATTTATTATTAAGAAAATTATCCCATTATTTTTATGTATTATTTATATAAATATATTTAAAAATTCACTGTTGTGGTCAAATACAAGAAAAATATTCACCCATGAATGGTGAATGTAAACATTAGTCCCCGTCTTGATTGGATAAGATGTCCACACATTTCTCCCTTACCTTTCATTTTCCAATATTGCTGAAGAAACTAGCCATTTTGAGTTGCTGCTTAATGAAGTTCATGATAGGTCAATATTAATTAGGACTGCTTCTCACAGTGTTTTTCAGGTATGAAAATTTGTTAGTTTCAGTCCTGTTTTGAGTGAGGAGAAAACATTGAGATTCCAACTGTGAGTGTAGCCTTCCTAACCTTACCTGTATCTTTGCTTTTTATTATGTGTGTTTGCAAATATTATTCACAATTTTTTTAAGAACCAGACATTATACAACTACTGATGATGAGAGTGATGATAATGAACATAAAGATCATGACTATGATATGCCAGCAGTGAGAGGAAAGAAGTACATTAACAAGGGCAGGTGGACAAAGGATGAAGTGAGCAGTGTTTTACATTTACAGAAGAAATATTTCTGATTTTGCATTTTTCAAGACTTTGGAACCCCAGAATGCCAACTTTTTGAAGATAAATTTTAACTTTATAATTCATGTTTTGATTCAAAACTAAAATCTCTTACAGATTTTGTATATTTTTAACTAACTAACCACACAGTCTAATATTATGGCATCTACCAAGGTATTGTTTCACCTTTGGTGCATTTTAATAATGATGCACAAATGTAGAAGCAAGTATATTGAGAAAAACAATTTTTTACCAGTACCCCTCTTGTCCACAATGGACACTTATTAAGACTTTGAGGAATATGTTGTTCTTATGAAAATCATTTTTATTGAAATGTATAATATTGCAGGATGACAAATTAAAAAAGATTGTTGAAGCCCATGTAGGCCATAACTCTGATTGGAGGACCATATCAGGATATTTTCCTGACAGATCAGATGTGCAATGTCAAACTCGGTGGCAGAAGGTGCTCAATCCAGACTTGATCAAGGGACCCTGGACAAAAGAGGTACCGATGCTGTATTGCAGAATTCGGAAAAGAAACTTTGGTTCTATAAACAGCTGATAGAGCTATATATATATAATTTGCAATATCTACTACAATAATAGAAATGGTCAAATATCTGTCAAAAGAAGTTATTGTAAAAGAAACTATTGATTAGATTAAGTATTTGGAAATGGTCCTTACACTATGACATTGTGTGCAGTTTTAAACGTATATAATTGCATTACAGGAAGATGACAAAGTACTGCAACTAGTGAGGCAGTATGGGCCAAAGAGGTGGACACTCATAGCAAAGCACTTGAAAGGAAGGACTGGAAAACAGTGCAGAGAAAGGTACGATGGTTTTTGTAATTTTAAGTATTTTTCCCCAAAATTGTGGCAAACATGATAGGTTCTTTTGTGTCAAGTTAATATTTTAAAAAGATTATTTGATTCAATTGCCCCTGCTTTGTATGTATCTGCCCTAATTTGTATGCGAGATGTTTTCATCTTCCTTTATAGGTGGCACAACCACTTAAATCCAGACATCAAAAAGACAGCATGGACTGAGGATGAGGATAGAATGATCTATCAATTACATAAAAAAATGGGAAATAGATGGGCAGAGATTGCCAAATACTTGCCTGGAAGGTACCTGTTGATTTGTATGAATTTATTGAAAATCTTTCAACTTTGAAAAAACAATAAGAAAGCAGAATTAAGAACATTGTAATTCTAATGTCAACTGTATCTTAATGCAATTTTAATTTGGAGTTTTATGATTTTAATTTTAAATGACATTATGCTCATGCTGACAATCTTGCAAATTCAACAATATGTTTCATTTTTTGTAAATTTTAAGATTTAAACCTTAAATTTCATAATTTGTAAAGGACTGATAATGCTATCAAGAACCATTGGAACTCTACCATGAGGAGAAAATATGAAGAAGAAGAGCAGAAGAAGAGAGGCAACCCATACACCCCTAGCACCTCCAGTATGCAGGGATTACAGCCAGTGCGACTGTTTCAGAGCACACCAGTTTATCAAGTAAGTAAACATTGGAAAACTTCATGGGGTTTTGGTGCTGACATATAAGAGAGATTTTCTTGGACTCCACAGTACTTTTCTAGTGTAACAGGGCTTGACAAACTATATTCAGGCACTTGGCCTGTTATGCAAGTAGGTCTGAAAATGTGAAGATTTTGTTTTAAAGTAGATGAGGTCTTTGGGATGTAAGCTTTTATCCTTCCTTTTTCAGTCACCAAGTGGAATACAGAATTATGGGGGTAGCTTAATTATTAACCCTACTGCACAGGGGTTTACTGGTAAGCTTCACTATTATAAAGGGTTTCCAAAAGTTGTAAATTTGTCTGTAATATGTTTGGTTTTAAGTCTTTGTAATGATATTTTCCTGCAAATACATGTATATATATTCAGATGTGGAGGATGCAGTCAAACCAGACATGCTGAAAACTTTTCAGAATGGCTTGACATTTGGACCGGCAGTAATGAAAAATTTGCCGGACCGAGTGGATTTTTGTCTGACCAAAAATCACTCTATTCGTTTGAGACAGATACTACCAGTACGATAAGGGCAGCTTACTTTGTGAATGTGATAGTTTTGAAATGGAAGGGCAGTACGCTTTGTGTTTTATATAATTTTATTAGTGAAGTATGTTGAAAGATGACTGTAAATTCAAAATTGCGATTCTTAAAGCTATTGGCAGTCCTTTGGACCGACCAAGTCCAATTTTCTACCGGTCCAGACAAACTTTTCCGGTCATGACCGATCTGGCTGACAGTTTCAGCATGTCTGCAAGCATGTACCAAGTTGAAGACCAAAACATTTCAGCTCTGTCTTATTGACACCTAAGAGAAGTAAATATTTTTAAAGGATGTTTTTTTTTTGTTTGTTTTTAATACAGTTAATACTATTTCTAGTGTAATATATTGAGCACATGTTAGCAAAATGCCTATGATCTTTTTCAGACCAAACTCAAAATCAAGGAGGAGTTTCCAAAATGTGCCATATCAGTCAAGTCAAATCTATTTCCCCACTTTCACCCCAGAAATGGGCTGATGCTGGTTTCCTATCTCCTTTGAAGTAAGTGAAACCCAAACACATATGATATATCTTCTCTTCAAAATAATAGTTTACAGAGGCTACCTGTTAATTTATGCATGATCACATACAGACAGCAACATTTGTTTAGCAGGAGTGAAACGAGAACCTGCATTTTGTCTGTTTATTTGATTTTACTAGGTACCATATTCAGAATTTTTTTAACCTATCCAAATTTATTTCTGACTTTTACTCTAATGGATTTTTCTTAAGTTAATTTCAGTGCATTGTTATTTTTAGGGGAATCCCTGACTTGGTCGACCAGATGACAGACTCCAATTCATTTGGTGACATGACTACTTTTGATTTCCTGACTGGTACTGAAATAGCTACTGGAGTCACACCTATTAAATTTACTGGCCTTAACAAAAAAGGATCCACAAGTAGGTTAATCAGCATAGTAATATTTTTTAAAATATTTTGATTTAATGTTATAATTTTGATATAACTAAAAGTTGATATAGAATGAATTAAATGGATTTTTCTTGGTGAATTTCAGATTACAGGTTTGATGGCCATGATGTTGCATCTTTAGAAGGTGGCCTTATCTCCATTACCTCTCCAATTGCCTCCAAGTTCAGCACCCCTCCCATTTTACGCAGGAGTAAGAGGAGAAAGCAGGTGAGAAAACTAATAATTTTTAATGCACTGGATTGTATCCTTAAAGATGCATATGAAGTCAATTTTTTGCTACAAAAGCCAACCAAATGCCAGCATACAGACTCAAGTAGCATAACTAAGAAAGTTACCAAAAGGCATTGTTTGATTGTACATCAAAAAATTGGTACTACCAATATTTGAACGGATTTTTCTGCTAGCATTCTATGCTGTATGTCAATGGGGCAGAAAAGTAGGTCAGGAATTTAAGTTAAATTACTTACCAAAGAATTGAAAGAAAGGAGCAGTCTAAAGCTTTTTTATGACCAATCGAGTGATTTATTCAGTTTATCCCTTGGCATGACAAATTTATTTGAGTCGTATAAGAAACTAGTAGAAGTGGTTCATATGTATGTTACTGGGAATCCACGCTCCACCAATGCTCAGTTCATATGTACCTTTAAAACACTTCTCATCACTGTTTGTCAGTGTCATCTATTTTTTATTTCTTGCTTTCTTTCTTTATTTTATGTAGATGTCACATGTGTGCAAAGCAAACATTTTTTGTTTTTATGGTTAATTTTTATTTCTTTGTTTATTATTTAAGAAGCGCACAGCAAAGAAGGAATCTAGGTCAATTTCTGCTCCCACAGGCATGGAGAAGACAGAAGTTCAGATAAAGGCTGAACCCCAAGAAGTAGTGGTAGAAAACAAAACAGAAAAGACAGAAAATTGTCATAATCTGACACCCATTGTAAAAAGTGAACCTAAGACACCCAAGAAATCTGGCACGCCTATTAAGGCCTTACCTTTCTCACCTTCTCAGGTGGGTTTGTGTTTACTGAAATATGAAGACTTTTAGCATACCTTTTTGTATTATTTTGACTTTTAAGAAATTTGTTTGAAAATGCAAAAGTTCATTAGGTTATGAAGTGATGCTTTATTTTAACAAAGTATTAATTTAAAACCTACAATTACGGAATGTTTTATAAAACAATAATTTAGAGTTGTCCTTTATTTTTAGACCTGAAACAAGCAGTTGTTATTTAAAGCTTTATTTTATTTTATTTATTTATTTTTGCTGCATTCTTATATATTTAATTCAAATTTTTTCTTAATCTTCAGTTCTTCAATAGCCCTGATGGTGTCCCTGGGAGGAAGTTGACGTCCACTCCAGTGTGTGCAGCCCCGAGGAACTCCACTCCAGTCCACCTTAGTGCACCTCCTGATATGTGCATTAAGACTGAACATGGGACAGAAAGGTGGGTGTCAATAATAACCCATGTTTTCATGATTATCATTCACCTACAAAGCCTCGTTTCTGTAGCCATACACAGTCACAACTATGAAAAACATTTCCATTTTATTTCCCTATAATACCAACATTAGCATTTGTAACAAATTCATCTTGTAATTATAATAAGATCCTTTTGAGAGTCCTAGAAGGAATGACTATTTCAGGCTGATTTTGATTTATTTTTGACATGCCATTTTGTTAACTTTGATGTCAGGGAAAGCACAAAGGTGGCTGTTTTCAGAACCCCACGTACCAGAAGGGCCCTGCTTGATGTGGCTCCCAGGACTCCCACTCCTTTTAAAAATGCTCTAGCAGAAATTGAGAGGACTAGTGGACCAATTACAATGCTGGTATGTTAGTTCAGTAATGCTCCTAAAAAAGTTCATTGACTGCTAGACTTTTGAAACTAAAATGTATTTTTAGAAACAGGTATTGATGGAATAGTCTGTTAACATTCATTAGAGACATTTAAAATTTTATCTAACAGCATGGTGTGCCATTCCCTGTAGATAGACATTTAACAGCACCTGGCACCTAGTTGCCAGTGTGTTGATTACAAATTAAAAAATAAAAAAAGGTGTTAAAAAGGTAAGTTTTCTCTTCTGCTCTGTCTCTATTCTTAGACTCCTGAAACACCTTCCCATTTGGTGGCAGATCTCAATGAGGTGATTAAGAAAGACACAGGTTCTTCTTCCTATGAGACTGATGTGTCTGCCTTCCGTGGTGACCGTCACAAGAGGAAAACTGAGAAAGAGGTGGGCATTTCCCTCCAGTTTCCTCAGTTGCAACATTTTTTTTCTTTTCTGCATAATGCTGTAACAGCTGTTTGAAACCTTTTGACTACAATCATGCTTTGACTTGTACTCTTTCAGTGATTTATTTAAGGTATTTAGTACAGGTAAGCAAAAAGCTTAAGAAATTCATTTTGCTTTTAATAATTGTTCCTTTCATACATGTTTGTCCTTTGCCTTACATCCTCATTTTACAGTTTGACACTTGATTGAATTTTATTTTCATTTCATTTTTTCTTTAATCAGAATGAATCTCCCACTAAGAAGGCTAGAAAGTCTTTGGAGCAAAAATGGTCCACTCCTGGCGAGGTACCCCTAGGACCAACTGAAGAGGATCTTCTCATAATGCCTGAAACACCGGTATGGTCACTTATATTTCTCCAGCAGATTTGTCAGGTTACAGTTGTGGGGTTGAAAAAGTTCAAAGTGCTTATTATGGTGACAGTAAAGGTGGAAAATATTAATAAATTTTGTATAAGTAAATTCCAAGCAAATGGATTATTATCTGGATTGAAAAAATGCTGTGATAGAGACAGTAAAATCCCATTTTAATGTAATTAATGACAACACTTTTATTTAACATTAAAGATTGAAAAAAAAATGATGGAAGTGATAATCCTGTAATGGGTTTTAATAAATTATTTATTTAATGTTTATATTTTATTATTATTATTTAAGATTTGATATGCAGNTACTCTGACCTTGAAATTGACCCTTGACCTACCTTACGAAAAACTTAAATTTGATTGTACCATATATATTTTTTGCAATAGTTAAAAAATTCTTGTTGATTGCATTTTTACAGCTTGTCAAGCACAAAACTGGTGGCTGTGTCCCTTATTTTGTGTATGTGGGGGTCTATACGAATGCGTTTGCTCCAGCTGGTGGTACAATATTTGGAGGCGGTATCGCCTCTCTGATCCTCTAGTTTTATTTATTTTTTAACTGTTTCAACATTATTGTTATTTGATTTCATTGCAGAGCAAGTCTCTGATAGGAGACCACAGTATCATCTTTTCACCCCCATCCATTTTGAAGGAGACCTTCATGGACCCGCTCAATGATGCTTTTGCTCTACCCACGTCTCCAGCTCCAGCAACCAAGGTAATTGATCAGCTTGTGAGTGTGAGAAGAATGGGCTTGGTGTGGTAGTTGGTTTCTTTTTGGTGTTCCTCTTGAATGTATTTGCAGTTTCAGTAAAATTGCCTTTAAGCTCAGTCTTACATGGATGGCATTATTAAGTTTTTTACTTCAGATATAACTTTCAAATACATAAAAAGTTGGGTTTGAGGTCTCAATGTGTTGTTTTGCTTTACTAGACCAAGCGTAAGCCTCCCCGCATTCGCTTTGATGTTACCCCAAAGAAAATGATTGGCAAGGTAATTTCTGCTTTTCAAGTTAATATTCTGACTTGACCTGTTGTTCTTTCTGCAGTTGCTCTGTGATAACATGTGATTGGAAACAGTGTGATGATAATTAAATCCCTTCAAAAGTTTATTTTTATTTATTTATTTATTTATTTGTTATGATTATTATTATTATTATTACTAGTATTTTAATCCTTGTATTATATACTTTATGTTGGTTCTTAGGGTTAATAGTTAAAAGATGTCTTTAATCAATTTACATTTTCCTTGTAAAGCAGAAATGTACGAATCAGTTGTAAATGTTTCGTTAAACTTGGTAGCTGGGTAACATTCAAAACTATTCTCCCAAAACTCTTGTACAGTCTGAGTGAATGTATATTAAGATTCTCTTTAATTTGCTTATCCTTTTTTGGCAATAGCACTTTTATGGACGTCTTAATTTATTGATTGTTCTTGATATTTAGATGGACACTGCCTGGGAAAGGGTTGCTTGTGGCAAGACACAAGATCAACTAGACCTGACAGCCAAAGCCAAGATGTTGTTAAATGTTGCCATTATTAAGCCAAGGTCATTGAAATTATGAAGATTTGGGTTATGTATTATTTTGTCAAGCAGCATGTCTAACATGTAACTTTTCTAAAGAGATCACTGAGCAAAGCCTTGTTTAGCATAAGACAAATATCTGAAACAAGAATGATCTCATCAGATACGCCGGTTCATGCTTGCATTAATTCATTAACTTTATAACTGCAGAGGTTTACTTAATTGTAAAAAGTAAAAGCTTATAGATTTTGATTTATATTTCAAAGCATTGAAAACTTGTGCTCATATGATGTGTCAGCTTGATTGAACCACTGATGTGTAACAGGAGGGGGGTATGTGACAAATACAGGCATGTAAAATAATGTACATATATGTGTACCTGAGTAACTTGTAAAGGACAAATAGGAAAAAGTTCATACACCATTTGTAAATGTTTCACACAGCATCCATGTGATAACATGTCAAGATTTAAGTGCAAATGTTTTATATGTAAATCAGTGATTCAGCTGGGAGTAAATTTGAATGACCCCGGTGCTTATTTATTGTCATATCATATATAAGAAAGGGAGAAAGAAATAGCATTCATTACCATTAGACATACACACTGTGGTAGTATCATAGCATAACATGTTACTTGCCAATCTATGGCTGCATTCGTGACAGTGGACTAACTCGTCTGAGGGCCAAATATGGCAACCGACTAAAAAGCTTGCCAACTAATCTGCTAATGGACACTGAATCGATTCCCTGTGTGGAAGTATTCAAGTGGGTCGGCCATATTTGACCTGTGGATTAATAAGTCCGCTGTTCTGAATGCCGTCTATGCAAACTCTACAATTCTACCAGCCAAAAAAAGTTTAAATTCTAGAAGTTTTGCACATTGTCATGATCTTGATATTGGGGTATTGTTTTAAAATACCAATGCAAATTTTCACCAGTTGACAATAGATGGAGTGTCAATTGGTACATCATGATGAATTGAAAATTATGTAACACCACCCTATTAAAACACTTAAGTTATATATACTGATACTACCCTATCTTAAAGGTGTCTACAGTGATCTGACCTATATTAAATGCTGCAAACGCTATGACATTGTCCTGTGTTAGACCACTTCATTGTAAACTCGTATGCTCTTCCACATCATGATATTTTCATCTCTGTCACACTGGTCTATTTTTATTGTATTATTTTTGAAGCATAAGGAGGATTTTTTTTTTTATTTGTTTGTTTGAAAATCATTTCTTTGAGTGAAGTGCCTTTTCATTTGTAAATATTTTTATCTTTCTAACATTTGCAGGCATGACATTGAAAAGTGATTATGATAGTTAACACTTGTAGATACATTTTCACATGTAAATAAACATCAAGAGGGGCTGGTTAGATAACAAATGCATGCTAACAAAAAAAAACATTTCCATATCTCAAAAAAAATTATAAATCCTGAAAATGGTTGTAGACTATTGTTACTTTTAAATAAATTGAAAAAAAGAAAATTAGTAATATATACATAAATGTGCATTTTTAAGTTCACTATGCAGAGGTACATTTTTTTCTCTCCATGTGCATCTTTGTTGAAAATGATTGTTGTCTTAGTGAGTAATTAGAGTTGTTGTTTGTTTAGTAAATGTAATTTATTTCCTTTAATGTACATATTATCACAGTGTGTGCTGTCCCTGCAGATATGGAGACCAACCAAAGTCTTGGGATATAATTTTGGATAATTAGTGCGTGCATTCATTGTGGTTGTTACAGGTCTTGAATTCTACTGCGAAGTGCTTGTGTCTGCCTAATTTATACTAATTAAAGATATTCTAAATCTATTTGTGTGTGCAAAATGAGGTTTTTGCAAAATCAGGATTGTTTTCTTTAAATAATTTGGTTATCCATCTTTTACTGTAATATTTGTTGTGTAAAGCAGATAGTGCCTCTTCAGCTATGGTATATGATAAAGATTGGATTTCAACAGCAAATAAAACTTGCATGTGATTCAAGTTGATTTCTTCCATTTTATTGATCCCAATAAGGGAATTTCTTCAATTTTTCCATGTCGTATGAGGATGTGCAACACCTCAAATTTTCTTTATTACTCTTGGCTGTGCAACCAAGTAAACTGTAGTGACAAATTAATTGGCACTTTGCCAATTTTGACTAGATTTTGGTTAGGGCAACTAATTTACTTTGAATACAACAGATGAGGAATACATTTAAATATGCCACCTTGCTTACAGCATCTGCCAAGCTTTGGAAGCTCAATATTCATAATATTATTATGCATGGCAAAGCCACATTTATGATTTTCATGAAGATAATTATAGTCAACTGTAATTACCTAATGCCTGAGAAAAAAAATAGCTAGCTTTCCCTTGTCAACACTACCATAGTTAACAATTTAAAACTAGTTTAAACTGTATAAAAAAATATAAAAAGTAAAATATATCTTCAATCATTTACATCTGGTGTGTTACATAAGACTGCTAAAATTAATTTTTTTTATTGATTATACAAAACTGATTTAAATGTTAAAAATTCATAAATTATATTCTACACATTCTTCCTGTATGAGATGTATAAGTTCCATTGCAAATAATTGTTTTCTTTTGTCTATTTCATTCTGTCACATAGCTTCCATGTGGGCACTATAACGTAAATATTTATGTCAACATAAGTAATTGTCTCAAAGGGAAAAAATTACACCTTCACTCGTAATACACAGCTGAAATATCGTAGTAAACTGATCCATCCGGCATTTCTTGTATCTTGTGGTTTATGTGTTTCACAAATCTCATAGTGTCTTTGTCCCTGTACACCAAGGCCAGGCAGTTCTCCATGGGGTTCACTGTTAGCAACTACAACAATAGAAAATAAGATCTCAATACGTACTGCTCCAAAGACGATAAACTAAGTCTGATATGTAAGTTTGCCACAACTAAATGCATGTATCATTTTATCACACTTCCTCACCTCTTCATCCTCGCCCTTTGCAACATATGATGTGTATCCGCCATATTCCTGCTTCCAACCTATAAAGCAAATAACAATATCAATTAATAAAATTTTTAAATGATGGTCTTAGAAATACTGCTATCCCAGGCCTTGAAAATGGATTAGCCGTTTACAAATTTGAGCCTCAAATTTGTGCACACGAATGCCCAAATTAATGATGCAAACCACGATTTCATGACACAAATGTAAAAGAAGCAACCACGAGCAATGCGCTACAAACCACGTTGCTTACCTACCCTTTGGTACATTGGGTATGAGCTGGAGATGGTGGAGAGTTCATTGCTACTGTATTAATACATGGTATGGATAGCAGATTATTGAAATACATTAGTTTGTTTTGTTTTCAGACTTAATTATTTATCATTATTTTTGTAATAATAAAGTAAATCCATGAAAACATATCTGTGAGTTGGATAGTGTTGAAACTTGCAAACTGCAATTACCACTTACGAGGCCTGCACTCTCACACAATCTAACTTTAACAGGGAAGTTTGGACATGGATTGAAGCCACAGTTATGGCAGTACTCAAAGGCAAGAAATCTCAGTCAGAATAAGGGGGTCAGTCATACAACTTAATCAATAGGTAATTGGCAATAGGTAATTGGCAAGTCTGTGTAAAGTTAATCCTGTTAGGTTTGACAATTTTCTCTGCTTTCTTTAATTAATTAATTTTATCAGTAAATGTTAAAGTATTTTAGTATTGTTATTTTTAGACTTTTTAATTATTTGTAAAGTGCATTGAAATGTAAAAAATGGAATGCGCTATATAAGAAATAAATATTATTATTATTATTATTATAATAGGTAAGAGTAGAGAAAAGTGCATGATTCATCCTTTTTCCTGTACCACATTAATGGACTTAAAAGAACTGACCACATTTACATGACTTTGCCAACAATAAAAAGAGCAATCAAGTTTGAGTGACAAGATGAGTGTAAGACGATTATTCAAAAACTATCAAACTTGCTATTTTGAAAAGATTGTTCTTAGAAAGTGAACCTTTGCAATTGTAGAACAGCATAGCATCCAGAGCATAGTCGGACTTTTCTGCATCAATATCGTGCATCAATGTGTAGCAACCATGTGACCAGCTTCTTACTTCCACTCTACATCTTGGGTTACCAGTAAAACACTCATCATCTGAAATTTTTTTATTTCAGGTACAGAATTTAATTACTTAAAATATATCTGAGAGCAAAAAATCCAGATATTTTTGGGCATTGACAAATACAAATGTGACAATTAATCTCTTAACATCATTACACTAAAAATCCACTTTAAATCCACACAAAGTCAGATTATCAAGTTAGATTATGGTGGGTCACGTGACAAATTACTGCTTAAGTTATATGTTAATTATCACCAAGGAGAAATTTCTTCCTTTAAGGGAAACTTAATAAAAAACAAAGTACATTTACAGAAACTGGACATATTCTTTTACCTGGGTATCTTTTCTCTGCTTGGGCCACTCTGTCTGTGCTACAAGCAATTTTATTGCCTGTAGCTTGTGTTTCCTTATCAGGGTCAAGCTTCTGTCTTTTTGCTGAATTATTATCACTAGCATCACTATCATTGGAACTTTGGCATCCACCAAAACTATCTTTTTGAGATTTTCCTTTTATTGATGCAATATTATCTTTCGTTGCCGACTCCTCCATATTTTTAGTGTTTTCATCCCTGTCAGCAACAGCATCAGAATTGTCATTGTAATTGGCAAGTCTGTGTAAAGTTAATCCTGTTAGGTTTGACAATATGAGAAACATTGCTTCAGAGCTGAAGAAAGTAAGACACTGCTTTAAGATTTCTGGTAGGTTTTCTTCATTGGCACTGTGATATTTCCTGAAAAAAAGCCCATGAAATGCAAACTTAAAGTTATATAGTGTATAAAATGTAATACAAACTTCAACCTAATGCTTTCAGGATGTAATACAGAGTTGCAAAACACTTGAAGAGAGTTGGAGGCTGAAACCAAAAGACTAGGGATGAATTGGAAGTAACTGGAGAGGAGAGGTGAGAACAGGACTGGATAGAGGTATTTTTAAAATAGCTGCAAAAGGGGCAGGAGGCATAAGTGCCATAACTGAGTAAGAAATCAGCTGGTGAAAATAAAATCACTATTAAAACAAATATTACACAAAAATGCCTTTAAAATACTAAGATAAAAATCCTAATAATAATAATAATAATAATACTCTTTGGTATAACTTTAAATTATCAATTCATACCGCACTTCACAAATGCAAACCTTTTTAGTGGGGAATTCTGTAAATTCCACTTTACAGAATCTGTCCTAAGTGCTGCCATAACTGCATTATATTTTTCTTCCTGTAAATGATGGTGATTCATGATATACTATGGAGTGATAGACAATACTTCTTACTTGTTTTGGAAAAGTAAGTTATCTTACTGGGTACTTTACAAGATAATTACCTCACCCAAGCAAATATCACATCTAACAAATACAATATAAACAACATTCCAAATATATAATTGCTTTTAGTTTGCTAAAATGTCCCTACCTTTAGGAAATCTTGTAACTGTATCTCCGATTCATTTTCAAACTTTTCCTGGATTTCTGCTTGTACCTCCATGTCTAGATAGATTGGATTGATCCATTCATACAAAAATTCTTCCTGTAAATAAATAACATTTAAACCCTGTCAGTATTTCTAAATCTTGTTTTATACTTTTGACATTTTATCTTATCTGCTCAAAATAAATCTCAAGTGAATATGAGCAATATTCAAGCTTTTTCTATTCGCAGACAAAAATTATAAGGTGAAACATCAAGCCACATAAAACACCATAAATGTTAAACATGTAACCATAAGTACAACAAGATAGTTCAATATACTACTTTAAATAGGATATTTCCTCATGCTGGTTGCTTACTGGCACTGATACATATTTTTGCAGAGGTCTTGGTAGCTCATCATAGGGTGGTGCACTCCTGGGAACTGTGGGACCATGAAACCAACCATTCACTGATAGCCTGGTTTTGTCTGATGTCAGAACCTCTGCAACCTACGATGTATTACAGGAAGGTTTCATAGTAGAACTTTTAATTAAAGAGCACACTTAAAAACTACTGAAAAACTAAGTTTATTAGTGCAAACCTTCAAACATGTACTGGTACCTTAGCCCCCTATTTATAATTTTTTATATGTAGTGTAAGGGCCATTTTCCATTGCCAGCACTGTGAATAGCATATATATAGTACACATCAAAAACACACAAAAAATGAGAGTTTGAATGTTGCAAAAAAAGGTGCATGCTTTTAATGTGATAGTCAGTCTACACAGCATGTAATGCATAGCACAAACTGTACTGTTACAGATTTCCAAATTGAGCCACATTCATGGTCAATACTACACTACTGTCTCCTTTTATGCCTTCTGGCATCTGGGGCCATAAACAAAGGTCCTACACTGCATTTATGGTCAATAAGGTCAAATAAATCTAATGTTCCTAAAATTTGAAATGACAAGTCTACTTACATCTTCTATAACATAAAAAAACAGCAAAATGTGTCATTTAAATCTCTTCTAACTCACCTGGTGAAAAGATGCTGGAGTAACTTCAAAGAAAGCAAAGTTATTCCAAGCTGGAAGTACAGACTTAACAACTGTTTTTGGCTGCCCATGCTCTGTGAATTATACAGAAAACAGGTCACTTATACAGATCACTGAAACACTGACAATTATAAATATTCTTCCTTAATTCACATTAAATAGAAGTTCAATCTGAAGATCAGTAAAATTTGCTTCTACATTATCTGGAGATGAACAAAACACAATTTATCTTTGACTTAAATTCAACATATTTCTGTTCATTACCTTGAGATCTGGTTACATACAAAACATATTTCCTGCTTAAACACTTTCATGCAATAAAAGAATTTGAATGCATATCATATTTATCATAACAGTCAGTTCCTACAGAGTGCATCAAGACATCCAGTTTTTATACATTTGTCAACATCCAATCTAATCCTCACCATCCATATCAAACAAGTCTAAGGCTCCTCCATCGCTCTGTTTCCAAGGTGGAACAAGATATAAGATGAATGCTATCCTCCTGCTGTCAAGTTCATCATCATGGCAAAGTAGAACATCTGAACATAAAAGAAACGACAATTTTAATTTTATGGTTAAAACCATATATTTTTCAATAGTGATAGACAATCTACCATGCAAAATTTCATTAGCAAACATTCCAATCAAACCAGTAAGTTTTTAAACTACTACAACAAGTTGTACATGTACTTACCAGTATCATCATATCTAGAGCAAGTCAAGTCCACTTTGTCAGTGAGTGGAATTCCTGTCACTTCTCTCATCCACTGAAGAACATCTCCATATAGGAACTGGCACAGCATCTTCACACAGGGTGTGTGGATCTTCTTCAAGTCATTACTCTAGAGCAGAATGACTTATCAATTAACGGTCATTACTGTGGACATTCTTCTTTCATCTGTGATCCCCCCAAGATCAATTTCAGTAGTCACCAGTGCAACTACCTCCCCCCCCCTCCGGATAAGAACAAAATAATGACATCACAATATTGCAGTAAAGGCACTGCAACTAAAATGGGATTATAGCTAGAATTAAATGTTTCTTGAATTTGTACCAGTCAGAGTGTAATGTGCATTGTTGGTATCACAAGGAAACCATATCATTTAATGAGTTAAATTAATTGAAATACAGCTATTGCATTCAAATTTCAAAATATGCATGTCCAAGTATCATTTGCTATTGTACTAGTATGGTATTCATGTGGTAAATGTATCAGTTCTACTTGAACCTACCTGCTGGAATTTGTATAAGTCATTATTTTTCTGGTAGAAAACCTGATCCAAAAGTTCATCTTTCAGTGTCTCCAAAAAGTTCCCTGGGTCCTGAATGAATTTTGGCAATACACAGCAGGAAAACGGAGTTGCATGGAGTATAGCTTCACCTTCTGAGAAACAAATTTTTAGTTAAAAAGTAGTAGCAAGTCTCAATCTCACCAGATTTGAATTATAAATTGGTACCCTACTGTGTGTGTGTGTGTGTGTGTGTGTGTGTGTGTGTGTGTGTGTGTGTGTGTGTACAATACAATATTGCGCTAGTACTCTGTTAGAAAATTATTGCATGGCACCCTGTGTGATTTCAAGTAATCAATGGGAATGTGGACCTCCCCAGATATGTCCTTTGTATTTGTCAATGGGGGCGATTTCACACATAGGTGCTGAGTGGCGCACACCCCTGTCCATGTTATGGAATGCAAGTAAAGCATGGCATATGACTGACACTACCTTCTGATATCAGAATGTAGGCAAACAGAGTAGCACTCCTCTTTGCGTTTTCTGATAACACACAGTATACAGCAATATCAGAAATCGTAATCAGGACAGGAGTGCTAGCACGCAGACGCAAAACAAAATCTTTTTAAAATGTCTAAATGTTACCTCAGCTTTCTTTTGCTTGTTGTATCTAATAGCAAAAAACTTTTTATTATATGTTTGTGTCACCCTTTTGTACTGATAATTATAATTACAATCACTGGTGTACATGTATATGACAGTGACAATTAATATAATGACATCGATTTCTAGGCCTATTCAAAGTGAACATAAACCTACAGACCATGATCGAACGTCAATTTGTCTACAAATGAACATCTAAAGCTCTCCTTGAAACCCTCATCGACAAACATCGGGTTTATTCCAATTGGATCCGATAATTTTCCTTCTTTTTTGTCTCCACTGCCTTGTTTAGAAGTCATGCCACTGGCTTGTTTAGAAGTCATGTTTACCGACGTTAACACAATCTCAACGTGCATTAGGGAGTACTCTTTTATGGTTGTTGGTTAAATTGTGGTTACAGATATTAGGAGTCAAAGGATTAACACATGGCCATAATATAAAAGACACATGTCAGTTGTTATAACACCAGTAGATGAATCAAAGAGTTATTATTTTGATCAGAAACGTCTTGTTGGAAATGCTTTGCGACATTCACACTTCTATAACGGGAGACGAAAAAGCATATTCAGACTCCACTTTACGACAAAAGGCAGACGCTCACTTCCCGCTTCCGAGGCAACGCCAAGAAATAGGTATGAGTGATGTGGTTCTTCGGTTTTCTTACATCGATGCTATAGTTAAATTGATAAAGTAATGATTTTACTAAAATATTTCAGTAAAATATACGATGATTAACAATTGTCACTTTAACTCTTTCAAATTTTACTTTAAAAGTGTGCCGAGAAATCGGTTTAGTGTTGTTCATCAGTTTTTTTTTTAATTTAGAGTGATACAAATATCAACGACATTGATATTAAAAGTCATAGTGATACTGTATTGAAATTGACAAAAAAAAAATAATAATTAAAAAAAAAAGGCGGGGGGGGGGGGGGGGTAGATGACTCTCTTACGGAAGAACCCCAAAACGTCCACCACAGAAAAAATATTATTAATATAGATTAAAAGCATATTCGCTAACCGCATCTAGCAAAAACTGAAATGACACAAGTTGAAAGATCTGATCTACTCAAGTTTCATTTTTTTCTTTTGGGAAGGGGGGGGGGTATGACTACGAGTATTAATATAGGACGCCATTTACGGAGATAATATTTAGCGTTTGTGTTTTTGAGGAAAAGTAATAAGATTTTATTAAAATTACTGTACAAATAAATTATCAGAATGCTTGTACTTTTAGAAGCTGGTACATTAAAGCCAAATAAAGGACTAAACATTTTTATTGATTGAGGCATTGTAGGAGATATTTTCCAATGTGCTCAAGATATATTTTCAAAAATGATCACAATTTATTAATTCAATGACTCTGTTATGGTTGCAAGGATAAACTGAAACTTTTGAATAGTCAACTGACAGGAGATATGAGATATAATTCCTTCTACTGGTAAATCAGACACCAGAAAGCATGGTTGTTAAAGGGGCTTTGAAATATGAACCTTGCTAGGTCAAAACAATAGTCCTCTTATATTGAAATCAGCAGTGGCCTACATTCCAACCAATAACATCTTAAGCAGAAGATAGAGCCCTAGTTGCTTTCAAGGCAGTGAGTTAAAGTAGATCAGTGTTTTTAGTACTGCTGCCACATATGGATATACTGGTACTTCTCATGAAAGGTTGGTGATTCAATTTTCACGATATGCATCTTATTTGTAAGAATTTGTGTAGATTTATATAATTTGATTTTTTTTAATTTGAAGTTTCACATGTCAATCCACATGTAAACTTGTTATATATGCATGGTTGTGTATAATATGCTGGTAGCTTTGTTTATTTACTGGTACACATATTATTCTAATTTGTAACCTTTATTTTATCCTACAGAAATTTCTTAAAAATAACCTCTGATTCAATTGCTTTTGGTTTGAAATTCTTGTACAAGTTTTTTTATTGTTGATCAAAATGTACTACTGGTATATTACAATATTTGATTGCATTTTTGTAATGTTAATCCTACATTATAAAATGTCATATATTTATATATCTTTTTTTTAGTCTTTTTCTTTCAAGTTTTAAAAAATAGATGAGAAATGGAGTCAGCATATAATAAAGCTTATATCAGTCACTATGCAATTCAGATAAACAGAGCGTACTAGTATTTGATGAGCAGTTTCTAATGAGCCTTTGGCAATGAACATATACATTAGATTATCTAGAGAAATATAGACTATAGGATTATGTATAAGCTTAATGCAGATTGAACACCAAATGTAATGTTAATTACTCTGTAAACACCATCTATAGATGATATTATGACCCTCTTTTGGTAAGGGATTACAGTTTGAACATTAAATATGAACACGATGAATGACCATACAACTTCACTACAATTGTTGTCAAAGGAATAATTCTTCTCATAAAATTAGTTTGTTCTAACAGAAGTACTGTGTAATATAGTGAGACACCAGTGAATTACTTCCGTTGTTGCTAACAAAAATCAATTGCTATTCAGACCTTAGTCTTCAGAGAGAAGGTTTCCAAAGAAGTTTATATTATTGCTTCTTCTTGTGATTTCACACCTAATTGTGTGATTGCTTAGTAATTACTTACAGCATTGCAATTGTTCGAGTCCTTAAACTTGTCAGGTCTAAATCTTAAATCACCAGGGGAGGTATATATAACACTAATAATTAAAACATTGGAAAATATGGTTTTACGATTACGACATGAAAGATTAAAATGTGGTGACTTTCCTTCTCAATTGTAATGTGACAACCATTTTATCTATTCGTTAAGGAAGAAACAGGTAAAATTTTGATTGATATTTGTTGCAGGAACATATAAAAAATTTAAGAATCCAGAGAATAGGCATCTTCTTTTTTTTTTTTTTTCGTAATAGTTTTACTTGTTTCATTGAATGCAACTGTCTCACCAAAATACAGGTAGAAAACAGCATTGGTTATTGATTTAACATGTCTAATCTGTTTAAGTGGTCATAGAATCCATGCAGCTTAAGTAATAGACACAGCTAAGTATGATTTATAGATTGGTATCCAAGGAGGTTGAACCTTGTGTTGATATTAACTGTTGTTGTATAGAGACAACTCGCCATCAAATTTAAGGACAAGCTGCCATTTATTAAGTTTAAGTTAAAATTATTTCATTCAAATTTATCAGTGTAAAAAAGTACACCATTTTCATTTTTTTAATTTTTTTGAAAATTGATAAAGCTATTTCCAGCATACATATATTTCACTCATAAAAAGATATTTCAATTTTCATAGTGTATTTTAATGTTATGGAAAGAATTTATTCTAACTAACAGAAAAGTTTAAATTTATCATTTCTTCATGCATTTAACGTTAATCAAATTAGTTGTCTGCATGTGTGTATGCAAGCAGTCATTTGTATACACATGCTTGCAGGTGTGGTCAGTGCTTAGTTTACATTTGGATTTTTTTCAAAAATTGAAATGAACACGTAAGTTATGTACAAAGCATCTTCTTCAGATGACTCAAAATGAGTAGGCTTCATATGCCTCATACGCTGCAGACCAAGTCCAGTCTGTTTGCAGTAGGACACAGGCAAGCAGCACCCAGTGGATCCAGTGTCACTGCCTTTGGTTGTGGACCAAAGCATGACTTTGACCATGACCACCATAAAAAAGAAAGAATGGTAAGGATGTGTGTGTGTGTGTGTGTGTGAAAATGCATGATGCTTGTTTAGATATTATTTCATATTGTTAATATATATTTGGTTATTTATATTGAATTTAAACTAGTACATTTAAATAAGTAACTTAAAACTGAAGGATTTTAAAAAGTAAAAGTATTCAGTTCTAATATTTTCAGGTGGTATGTGACAAAATATTTGTTGTAGGTTATCAGATTCAATGTTGTCACAGTTTTCAGTTGTTCAGTTATTGAAAATATTGAAAAATGCTTCCCTTGAAAACAATTTGATGAGGCACTTAATGAATAATTTAAAGTCATGTTACAGATTATTATGTGTGATACTATTTTAGCTGGATGATGATGATGCTTCAGAGTGTATGTCTAGTGGCTGTACCCAACTCAAAAGTATTGATAATGTGTCACATTACATTCCAAAAAGGTGAAAGTAATGCTGGTGCAAAATATTTATATCCCATGAGGTGAAAAGTTTTATTTCCTTCATAAAACAGAATGATACTATTTTAAATTATTTATTTGGGACTGAAGCCACTATTTCTGTGGGGAAAAACAAAATTATGTTTATAAACCCCCCTTTTTTTTGGGGGGGGGGGGCAGTGATTGTTTGTCTTTTTTTTCAGTGAACATAGATCTGTTTAGTGCTGGTTTTATTTTTTCTTTAGGTATGTTATGAGAACACGTACCAAATGGACCCTCCAACAAAGTTTAAACCAGAGAGAGTCAATGTCATAATCAGGGATGTTTTACATCAGTTTTTAAACGGTAAATGGTTTTCCTTAATGCAATTTCTTGTAGTTCAAATGTATACTATTTTTCAATTTATGATTAATATTAGCAATTGTGAAATATTATTATGTATTTAAATTAAAACGAGAGTACAATTACAAAGGATTCTATTCAAAAGCCAAAATCCAATTATTTTGATCAATATTGCAATGTTAAAGGTATTGTATATGGGATGTACCTGCCAAAATGAATTTTCCTCTGTAAAAAAAATTCTCCTACTTACAACTCATTTCTCAACTGGTTCTTTCACTTGGACTTGATTTTTTATTCTATTTTTAATGATATGTTTCAGTTCTAAATGACTGTCCAGTCTTGTAGAACACCATTTCTTTCTGTACATTTCAGAAGAAACTATTGATGACGGGTACTTTTACTTGAGGGGTTTTATCATTTTTGAGGTCTGATATTAGAAAGATAAGTGGCTTTGCAGGACTTGTAGACAGACTATATGACTTAGGGAAATTTGCAAACACGCATAATATACCTTTAAGCTTGCAGTGATATGTTTCAGTAAAACTGAATATATTTAAGTGATATATTTTTTCTCTCTTTCATAAGGCAAAGAGTATGATCCAATTCAGTGTTCTGTTTTAACAAAAGAAATTGCCAAAGAAATCAAAAAGAGAGTCAAGGAACTAGGATTTGCAAGGTATGAAAGTTAATGAAAAAATAAAAAGAGATTTAGAAATTTTTTTTTTTTTTATTTTTCTAATTAAACACATTTTAAAACACTATCAACTTCCTCACACTAAACTCTGTCTCATTTTGTAATTTATCATAATACTAGTAATATTGTGCTTTTGCCATTCAAATGTTGTAGACCTAGAGATCATATTTATACTGAATGTTTTCTACGCTCATAAAATTTTTGTCCTTTCTGGTAAAATGCTTGAATTTTGGCATTTTGTCCATGTAGTGAAGTGCAATATATTGAATTTGTAACTTTACTTTATTTCAGATACAAGTTTGTTAGTGTGGTAAATATTGGTCAGAAGAAGGACCAGTGTGTACGTGTTGGCAGTAGGTGTATCTGGGATGTAGAGAGAGACAATTTTGCCTCAGATACCTTTGAGAGTCCACACATGTATGCAGTTGGGGTGGTATTTGCAGTTTATTTTGAATAGATGTAGAAATTTTGTTACTTGGGAAATATCCTGCGATAAAATGTTTGTTATCATTTTTGTTAATTACAATGATACCTGAACCTACCTACAAAATGGTAATGTTTTTAAAGGTGAAAAGAAAACCTTTATTTAGACAAATAGTACAGATGTGATGCGTAAGTGCCTATGGGGCTAAATGAAAATAATGAAACATGTCAACTTGGACTTGATCAAAAGGATATGTACTGGTATATAGATTAATAATTTACCAAAAAGTTGCTTTGTTGCTATGCAGCAACATAGTTTTGTTAAATGCCATTAGCCAAAATGACAACTCTAGAACATGGAATTGCTTTTAAATCACATTGGTATCTAATCAGGCAATATGTATCTTTTCATGTAAGGTTATAGTTGATTTATTGAAACCAAATACTGGAAATGACTATAATTACCTCCAGTCATTACTCATTTTTTCTCTGAAATAATGCAATCCTCCATTTTCATAGAAATATACAACACTTTTTTAAAGTACGTACATCAATCATCATATGTTAATTAAATGTTGCTTAGATGGAAATATTTGAATATAATATTTAAGTTGCATAATACTTGTCATCAGTGAGGCTTCAAAGAAAAAAGTATGATTTGTGAAAATGAGGATGTTTAGTTATATGGTATTGTATTATTATATTTTGGTTGTGTAAAGGCCAATTTGACAATCCATGTAGAATGGTGGTTTGCATTATTGAAATAACAGCTTTCGTGTAAATGATTTAACTTTAAAATTTTGGTGTCAAGAGAAAACATATTTAATCTGTGCTTATTTGGATTGCAAGGTAATATGTGTTTGATAACAGAGGTATATTATTTGCTGAAATTAGTTTGACAGGTCTTTCTTACAGATGCTAAGGAAAGGATTAGATCAAAATACATGCCCCCCCCCTCCCCCAAGAAAAACACAAGAAAAAAAAGAGAAATAAAAGATTCACCTTATATTCAATGTTATGCCTATAGAAAATAATTCAAATTTTAAATTCCTAGTCATATTTTGTTAAGTGCTACAAAGCCAGTATTGCTAAGGTTACATAATATTTTAATTTTATGTCATTAGTATGTTATACCAGCACAGTCACACACCTTTGTTTTTACATATGTGATGCACTGTTTTATTTGAAGAGTTTTATTGAGTTGAGTGCAATTTTACAGTGCAATGAATCTCCATAATGTGAACAAACCCACCAGAGCTTTTATTAATAGGTTCTACAATACATTCACCAGTTTACAATATGGTAACATTTTTCTGTTAGGGAAAAATGCCTATAACCAGGATTCAGACAAACATGTAATTTGCTGAACAAAAGTAAACAGCATTGAAAATGCAATTTATTACACTGTACAAAGAAGGTTTTAAAAACTTGTTTGAAAAAACAATGCATTTTTCAACTCTTAACTTCAACTGTTTTTTTTTATGGTTTTAGACACGTAAATTTTAATGTGAAAGTTCATGTAAGTTCACAAACATTTGCAATATTTTTCTGAATAAACTTCTTTTGGGAAAATATGCTGCCTAATCTGTTTACTTTTGCATGTAGATGTTTAATTAGATCTTACATAATTTCACCACATTCTTATTGTCTTAACTTTATAAGACGTTGATACATGTGATTCACTTCAATTTGCAGCAAATTGTGTTTCTGATTGCATTAGGTGTGCCATTTCAGTGGTATAGGGTGTTAACACTGTTATGCACTTCATTTTTTTTTTTAATCCTTATAATCATTCATTTCATTTGCTCATTTCACTGCACAGTCATAACGCCAGCTCTGCAAAGGGGAAGATGTTGTCAGATTCTGAGGATTTTTTTTTTTTTTCATTTTCACTGACAACCACAAGATATCACATCCCTGTGAATATTTTTTGCCAATTTTTGGTATCATGATATATATTTGATTCTTTCTCCCACTGATTTACATTATAATACTATCTATATTGTAGTTGTATTGCAATCTGAATCACCATTTTGATTTTTTAAAAACTAATTAATTCTCAATTTTTTGGGTAAAAATCATGCTCACTTGCTCATGCACTTGTTCTTGCTACTTAAAGGGTTTGCTTCATGCCGTCAGAATGGNATTAAAACATACCTCTAGTGTATAGATTGAGTGCTGTATCTTCAAAATTCGAGAAATGGATTTTTACATGAACATTGTCCTTAAACCATAACAATAGATCTTTCAAACAGTCTCACTCAATAAAGAATTCTGTAGTCTCCTGATTTCTTCCTGAATATTTTTTCTTGCCTGAACTTCAAACTTGTCCCTGAACTCTTTAGTGGCATAAATGTTGGGAATTTGAAGGAATGATTGTAAAACCTGAAATGCAAAATACTGCACTGAACAATTTGAGCACATGCTCATGATAATTCTAGAAACTAATGTGTTTTAGGAATACATTCATTTAGCCCAGACTTTAAATGCAACTTAATACTGTTCACTAGCATATATATATATATATATATATATATATATATATATATATATATATATATATGCATGTCCACGATATTGGGTAACAACAATGGGTTATCACCTTTGAAAGTCTGTCAAAATATTCCTATGTGTTGGGTTACAATGTGAAAGGGGATAGATTTGTCTTATTATAGCAAATATATATATAATGAAATAATTCAATTTTGCAACTAATATAGTGTTCTCTATTTTCATCCTGGCACTTTAAGTACTCATATTTGGTCATGCTCAAAATAGTACATATGTAATGTTTTAATAATGTTACTTTGATAAATATTACTATTTATAAACTAAATAGCAAAGCTGACAAATGTACACACATGCTGGGGTAGTGCTAGCAAATTTTTTCCCTTAGCCAAATCACTATTTTTTCATCACTTTTTCCTCCAAATGCTTTAAATCTGACTAAAACAAAATCAACCCTTGTTTATTAAGCCAATGTAAGTAAGTTTTAGTATTTGGCTAAATTGGGGAGTGTTAGCGTTACCCCAGACATATATAACCACACACTTTGCAAGCCCTCCCCCCTTTCCCACACACACAGACAATTACTCCCCATCAATTGTGCATTTACCTGGACCCTTCTTGAATTAAAATGTTCAGAAGGTATGTGGATATATTCTTGTCGAATCTGATCAGAGTACTTTTCATAGTCTGTAAATATAATTAAAAAACCAGATATATAGCTTCAATTCGATCTGTGTGTTCTGTTTAATTTATTCAAAATCAAGTCCACATAATATAATCACAATTACAGTGCATAATCTTCATAATATAGTATCAATTGTGCAATTGTCCATATGAACACCCACAGAATAATTCTTTCAGATATACAGTTTATTTCATTTTTTTATTCTGCAATATATCCTGGCAGTACTTACAACACATGTACCCAGTACTCACCTTCATCAGGCCAACCAAGCACAGCCATGTCAAAGTCCAGGAGGTAGTGCCAGTCTTCCTTTCCATAAAACCCTGGAGTGGCATGGACAGGTGTCTTATGACTCTTGGTTAAAACAATCCACCCTGAAACCAACTCGCTTTCTTCTGAGGGCTAAAAAATAAAACAAAACCTTACATATGTTCAAACACCATATATTAAACTAGAATTAAACATAGTATTCTCATGATGTGACATTTGTCCAAATTTAACATTACAGATAGTTCTATTAAATATTTATGATTCAAGAGAATGTGGTACTAATACTCTTGTGCTGAGTGAAATGCATACATGTATAGCATGATATGATTACCAATCTCATTTCTCTGGCAAATTTTTTAAAGAATTCTGCACTTCTTTCTTCGTTGTCATCTCTTTTAGGGTCATATATCACACTGAAAAAAATTGGATATATCAAATCCAATAACTTGAGAGAAATTACCAGTATTATTATTTGTAATTTGTTAGAAACACTTTAAAATAGATGACATTTTCTAATCAAACACTGACATAATTTTTCACAATGTTAACGTTTTATATTGTTTTTATTGGTTTTATGGCAAACCCCTCCTTAAAATCATTTGCTCATCCCTAAGTTTGTGCCATGCAAGCAGCATTAGCTTGTTATCCGTTCTTATTTAAAAAAAAAAAAGAAGAAAAAACTGACATTCCCAGAATTAAGTACCTGTAGGTACTAGTACTGGTACAATGTACTGTATCAGTTTATGCTAGAGTAATACATTAAATCTTCAGTAAATATCCCCTCCACACCCACTCACTCGTGAAATATCACTGCCAATGCAACCAATAACGGCTGTTTCAAATGTTGCTGGTGGCTAGACCACAGTTTTAGCATGTTGATAATATGATGTATAGTATGATAATGTCTGTGAGACTCTGAATAACAATCAATAATGTCAGGAAGGAGGGTCATAGCCTGCTCTGAACTCCCAACAATTCTTTGCCACACTTGTTCTAAAATGCCATCGTGTTTGCTTTCGCTGTCAACAATAGGTAACACTGATGCCATTTGCCAGAAATTTCATACGAAATCCCAGTGAAAAAATGTCCCATGTGCATTTTGTTTACATTTGCCCTCAGTACCCATTTTCTAGCAAATTACGACACAAGTCTATCGACATATTGGGAGAAATTTTAATTCATCCCACGCTAATTTCAATATTTTGTTATCTAACTTGTTGTCTGTCATCTAAAAATATAGATCTATAAAATTTGGGAACTTATAAACATATTGTACGTTGTTGTACGACATCAAGTACCCACCCGTCTTCATGAGCTATTCGTGTCTGCATGTTGGCGAGTAAGGTTAGACAGTTGTAATGTAGCTTTTCTTTCTTAAAGGTGCGAGCCATTTTTGGGTTTTTGAGTTAACTAAGTTTAATGCAGATACTATCAGGAATAATTTTCTTTTGTTGTGTTTATTTTTTCAGGCATTTAGAATTAGATGTCCTGGCTAATGTATCATTTGAAACCAACAAGAACATGTCAATCATTGTGGAGTGTACCCAGGGTTGGGTTATAGATCACGAGGAAAGCTTGAACAAAATTTACCAGACTTGCCAAGACTGGACTAAAAACAAAGATGGACAAGACTCGGAAGATGCAGATAGGAAAAAGCACAGGCATTTTAAAAGCCATGAAGATCTGTTTGCTATACATGGTCCATTCATCATGAACAGTCAGTATGAAAAATTGAAAAAGCAACATCTAGAAGGAGAGGTGAATCTGGCTGTGAGTGATATTAACTGTTTTAGATACATCTCAAACATACTATGAAAGAGATTTTATGATTTCTACTCTATAGATGGGATGGTAAAACAGGATTTTTTGTTTCAAGGCTAAATAACTTGAGTCAAAAATGACATTTTTGTCCACCATATATGGTCCTTGGTCATGTGAAAGGTGATTTAGCATCTGAAGCCAAAACCTAGCAAACAGGACACTTTTGTAAACCCTTCGACTAAGGTCCATAGATATTGGACCAATAGGTCATGTTTGACTTATGTTCAAAATAATAATAATAGTAATACTGTTTTATCATCTCTAACATAAAAAAATAGAAAAATTTGTTGATATCTTATGATGTCAGTATCTTTTGATAGCAGTTCTTAAGTACTTAGTATACCACTACAGCATGAATATTCCCCGCATTACAACGTTTAAGTATGTGACTGATTTCTTAAATACAGATCTAGATGTGGTATATTATTATTATTATTATTTATTTATATTTTATTTATTTTATTTTATTTTTTATTTATTTTTGTAATTGTATTTGAATAGACTTGTTTAATTTAAGGTAGATTTTAGTGATCTTTCAATTTGGGTCTTGTGTTTTCTTCATTAGAATCAATGTAAAGGAAATATCTGGCTTGGGTATTTCAATTTGTGTACTCCATAATTATGAGAAAAATACAAAAGCCTAGCTTATTTAAACTTGGATCTTTCTAACTGGGTAGGTTGATTATAACAGAACATTAGGTGCATTTTCACATAGCCATTAGCACTTTTAACTTAATGTTTGTTTAGAAAAGATTAAATAATTTACATAATGCATTCCATTATAGATGGTTGAAACCAGAACCTGGTGCAGAAGTGAAAATTTGATAAATAAAAACCCTACAGAGACATGGCAGGCTGAGGTAAGTTCTGTCAAATATGCCTTTACATATTTATCAGCTATGGCAGATATTTCTCTTAGCATTTGTTCAACAGCTTCTTGATACATTTTGACAGGTTAGTGAAAGTCACCTTTGTCATTGGTGCTTTACTGTACAAGTTTCTAGTTAGTGTGAGGGTCATTTATTATTTAAAAGATGCCACTGAATATTTTTCTGAAAATTTGCATAGCTGACTGAAAAGGAAACTATGAGGTTTTGCATTAAGCAAACACATAATATATATAATAAACAAGGATAGGAACTTTTGTATAAGCTGGTATTGGAACAGTTAGTCTGTTTAATGAGTATATGCTGGCATTGGAACAGTCTGTTTAATGCGTATATGCTGGTATTGGAACAGTTAGTCTGTTTAATGCGTATATGCTGGTATTGGAACAGTTAATCTGTTTAATGCGTATATGCTGGTATTGGAACAGTCTGTTTAATGCGTATATGCTGGTATTGGAACAGTTAGTCTGTTTAATGATAATATATTCCATTTAGCCTTATAGGCTGTTGGTTTTACATTTTAGCTAGAATATTGAAAATTCTTACCTTATGACTTAGGGAATCAGTGTCCATTTTTTATCATATATTATACTTCATCATTTTCCTAAATTTTGCATCACCCCTCTTTTCCAGTCTGAAGAGTCACTGTTTGCTGCATTTTGGAAAGTGGTGGAAGAAGCTAAGAAGAAGGGATACTTTGTAAAGAAAATTTTAACCAGTGATCCTTTTAGCAACAGTTCCTATAGAGATTTTGCCAACACAGAAGAAAAAGAATCTACCAACAAAGTGCGTGATGCCATGAAAGTGGGGAAAAGTGACCAGAAATTCAGCTATGGGGGCCTTTTAGGAAAAAGAAAAATATCTGAGGATGTCTTTCTCAGTGAAGATGTTACAGCAAGGTGTAAGAAAGTGGAAAAACAGAATATCAATGACAAAACCCTACAAATTGATAAAAATCATATACAAGAAGGTCAGGCTACATTTTTTGAATCTTGCCGAGAATCATTTTCAAAAGTGACTCCAACTCCATTACTGCATTCTGGAGCTAAAAATATGAAGTGCTTAACATCACCCAAACCCATACACAGCATGGATGTACAGAGCTTAGCATGTAAAAGTGGACAGTCCTCTTCAGAGTTGAAAACTTCAGTGAAACTATGTGGTTCTTACACTACTACCACTTTAAATGATAAATGTGACTTACCTGCACCCACTGAGCAGGTCATTGTGACAGACTCGGAAACAAACCACCATGCAATAAATGTTGACAAGCATAGCGAGAGTCATGTTTGCTCAGATATAGAGATGGACGGAATGCCAGATAGTTATAAAAAAGCAATGCTGAGGTGGAAGAGAGAACAGAATCTTGCTGACCAGGCTTTTGACAGGTTATTGAAAGTACAAGAAACCACAAATCCTCAAATTGGCTGCCAGTCCTTAGAACAAACAGATCGAGAAGACAACATACCCACTCAGCTGCGTTGGCAAGAGTACAAGGCATCAAAGAGAGGTCATTCTACACAGACAAAATTGTTCCCTGTACAGATGATAGTAGACATGGCTCATCTACCATCAAGGTTACAAGAACAAAAACACAAGCATTTGAAGTTGTCAGGACTGCATTCACAGCAGCAAACTGCACATAAAGTGGAATTCAGTGATTGTGACACAAAAGTTCAACACATCTGTGCAACTGATGAACATGTTGGCTGCAAGTCTGATTGTGAGATATCAAAGGAAAATTTATTTGCAAAAGTGAACCAGCAGAGTGGGGTTTCAAATGGGTTGCTTTACAGTAAACCTTCAACAAATGGCAATAGATTGCAGGATGAGCAAGATTGTCATAGAAAGTATGCCCCTTGCTGGTCAAGTAGTGTTAAAAACTACCAATTTGAAAGCCAACAAGAACAACAAGACTCCAGGCCAAATGACACAAACCTACATGCTCAACTCAATCCTGATGCTCAAGAAAAACAAATAGAACAAAACTGTCACTCTGAAAACCAACAAAATGAATCTCTGAGCCAACACTTAGATGTCTGGTTTGAACATGATAACAACAAGTCTGCAAGGCTTGCTGCCAAGATTGAAGGTCCCGGAGACAAACTTGCTCTGTCCAGCCAGAAACTTGCTAAGACACATATGAGCATATTAAATTGGCACATTACTAGCAAGCAAGGTGACAAATTATATGGCCACATTTTTATGTAGAAATTTATGTATGACTGTCTTAGAGGGAAAGTTTACCTGATTTTTGCAGTCTTAAGATTTTTCATTTCCTTTAGTTAGTCTACACTTCTCTCAAATACATAGCATATTCATTCAAAATAATGATAAAACATGTACCACTCTGCTCAGTTATTGCACATTGTGAGATTGTACTTTGCAATCAGTTTATCAGATTAACATGGCTCTTCTTGTTTCCAATATACTCATGTAATCACCATCTTTCTGTATTCTACTCAATGCCAGGAGGAGGTGTGTTAATCTGTTTAACTGATTGTATTCAGCCAGAGTTGCTGCAATGTTGGATTGATCTATGTAGACCAACAGCTTTAATGAGAAAGAGCCCATAATCTCTTCATGAGTCTGTAGTGCACTCTGAAAACATGGGTGAGGATGGTCGGGTAGTACAAGAAAATTGTTCAAGATGCCAAGATGTTTTCATTTGAAAATCTTACTACATGGCTATACAGGTAGTCAATTAACAGTTCTAATTGATAATTTATGAGCATGTTATTAAATTTCAGAAACTGTGCCACCAAGTTTGTTCAACACAGTGATTCATCATGTCAGTGATCAAGTGTCTGTCATTCCATGGCTTGATGGAGAGTACCTTGTGCCACCATATTGCTCTTTCTTGATGTCAGATGTTTATCACTTAAGACCTCTGTTGAGAGGTTTGGAAACAAGCATTTTCCTTTGATTACATAACATAGCATGCCTTATGTATATGTATCATAATAAAGCAATCACAACTTAGCATATTTTTAAGTGCCCAAATGTGGGGAGCACTGTGCCAGAATGTCAGCTGTTTATTGATTTAGAGTTTTTATAAGTTACAGACTATTGTACAAATTGTTTTATTATGAGAAAATGTTCAGGGCC